TTTCTCATGTAAATGTGACATAAGATCTTACTAATAATCCTATTTCTTGGTTGGAAATCTCATTTTTGCAAATATGACTTAAATATCACACATTTCTTTCTTTTTTCTTTCTATTACTATCATTCTTATTTTTCTTGTTTTTTATAATTATTAAATATAAAATATCTTTCTGTATAAATTCTCTAAAAAATAACTTATACAGTCACATCATAATCGTGTTACATAATATATGATTTCAATTATCTTTTTAAGATGTAACTAATCTTGAATTAAATGATATAGTAATACTTTTATGTAATTAATATTTGTTAAATAAAAAATTTGAATGAGTTATTGCTCTTCTTGTAAATATATATATCTCAATAAAATATTTATTTAAATTTGTAAATTTTTAATTTTTAAATGATATAAATATTAGAATTTGTAGGGACCAGTATATATATATAACATTTGATGTTGCACACGTGAAATGTTATTATATAAAATATATTTTTATTTCAATATTAATCTAAGTCTCTTTCTGTAATATTATGAATTGGTGACAATATCTTCCATCTCATCGTGTAAGACATACGATGATGAATTTAGAGTACTTAAATATTCTTCGTGTTGATACCATCGTATATAAGAAAAAGTTTGTTCATATTTATTTAAGGACACTTCAATAGGTAACAATGATCCTGAGCTAAAATTCATAAAATCAGTAATGCCATATTTTATTTAAAAATATATGTAGTATATATCAATTACGATTTTTACCTCATTTGCCAATCTTTTTCGTAAGTTAATTTTGGAATTGGCAGAGGGATGCCTGATGGTGGTAAACTCTGATGCGCGATTTCCGTCAGTAAAGTTCGACTAAGGTCAGTGATAAGTTTAATAAATTTTTCACTATCTTGAAATTCATTGTCAATGGGAATTGCAGATGCTGGCATCAACTTATCTGGAAGGGATCGGATGGAAAACAGGATATCGGAAGTTGACACATTGGATACCAATTATAACATAGAAGAATGAATCAAATACATTTATGCGATTCTTATTTTAAAAAATAAATTAACATCTCTCAATTACAGATAGAAAAACAATTATCTTAAATATTAAGTACATAATGCTATATTATAAATATTACAGATCTTTGTGCAACAATTTAATTTAAAATAATTAAAAAATTCTTAATGTATAAGATAATGTATTGATCTATAAAAAAAAACAACAATCTAGCTAAATACTACGTGTATCCATAAAATCTATGAAATTGCTGTAGTATAAAGCAGTAATTTGTACAAATGAAATGAAATTGTGATGTCGTTGTTAATCCCAAATGAAAAAATCAGGGATCACACTGGTAATGTTGTTAAATCGGTACGAGTTGACATTCTATTAATACAAAATTAAGCACACGGCATACTGCAATTAAAGGCTGAACTTAAGCTGGTCACTGTAAATAAAGCAAGGAAAAAAGTGTTATATATATCAGAAGCAATATTATTGATCGTCATGCAGCAATGATTCATTCTTTAACGTCTGTTAGTATGATATTAATATTTTTCGAGTACACACGGCAAATAAATTCAGAGTTTGATATATCAATATTAATAACAGTAATATATCTCAGTAATCGCCAGAGAAATGATCTTTGATTTTACTATTGTTTCTAGAATATCTATGATTGATCGATTGAAATGCAGAATTTTGGGCAATTGTGTTGAAATACATTAAGTATTGCTAATAAATTCTGAAACTTACAATAATCTGCATCCTTATGTTGCACTGCATTGTGCAAAGCTAAAGCGAGATATGTATGATACTTTATGTAACTGTGCTCCATTACATCCAATTCTGCAGTAGCTAGCAATAATTTCTTGCGCGACCATCTGTCTCGGACGTGAGTACACATTTCGATCATCTGAAACATAATGTAAATTTTGTGTGGCTCAATTGACACTATTGTTATTTAAATACTTTATACATACGTTGTTTATGGTTGTCATTAAATCTTCAAACTCTTCTGTCAATAAGCAGTGTTCGTGAACTTTATTCAAGTATTCATTGTGCACTGCAAAATAATTGTTTGCCAAAAAATCATTTCATTAAATCTCTCTTGGAAAAATTTTGTATTTCGCAATCATGCAATAAAATATGTACACATTGAAAAATTACCTGATATAATGGCATCAAGACTATCTGCCTGAGCGAGAACTTTTTCTAGTATAAAACCTAGGCTCTGTAATACTTGACCAGATAAGTACGTATGTATAGACCCTATTGCGTGTAGCAACCAAAACTTCAAGCTTTCAAGGCGTCTTATGTGAAATTGTTCCACTTTATCCTTTATATTAGACAGCGACCTAGAATCTTCTAAATCTAGAAGAAGAGACAATAAAATATAAATGTTTCGAAAAAAACATTGTGTATCTTAAGGATGGCTTTGTTACTTACCATTAAACCTTAAATTATTTAATGTCCATAAAGCCCATTTCAATTTCAATTGAAATCTAAATATTTCATTGTATTTTTCCAAGACTTTCTTGGTCAGCATTATGCTGATAGGCCATTCCACTGTATAATGCAGTGTTATGCTATTCACAGCTTGCAACACCTGACGAGTGTTGATATTGCCGTGAACTGTGATGGACCAGCGCGAACTCGTGTCTGGCCAATACTGAGAAAATATCTCTTCGAGAATGCATGACAGGAAGTATGAGTTAGCCCACATTTGATTATTTTCAATCTGAAATAAATATAACACATTATAGCAAAAAAATATTTATTATTATGTAGAAAACCAATATTTCCCATTTCTCACTTTACCTCGTGAAATAAGATTTGATAGAATTTATTCATAACATGTCCAGCTTCCATCATGTAAACAAATCTCAATAGCTTCAAATGTGTTTGTAGCTTGTATTCCTCAATCATAATATTTCTCACTAATTTGCTGGCACTGTTGTAGCGTAAAATTAAAATCTCAGACAGTGTATTTTCCAAAATATTTTCCAATGGCAGGATATATTTTATCTTCTGCAATCTAAAAAATAATACATATATTTTAGATTTCTCAATTATTTTAATATCTATATTTGTAAACAGCTTTTTTATAGATATATACTTTTTATATAAATCGTATGTACGGTCTTGCTTTCTTTTAGAGTCGTGAGTATTACGAGCGTCCACTGTGTCGCTTTTATATAATTCACATGGCATGTAATCTTCCATAGCTTTCATGAGAAATGGATTATGTAAAGTTGATAATTGTTGTATTATGTTCTTTTCAATATCAGCGTCATATTCTTGTAATATTTTATCCACTTGCAGCGCAGATGTATCTGTTTCTTCGACTGATGGACTATATTTAGATATTTCGGATAGTAATTTACTTTGTAGTTCATTGTTTAATGAAATCTTTGTATCTGCAATAAATTAAGATAAAATATAGTTACAACATACAAGAATAGTATAAAATAAATATCATTCATAATTAGAGACCATTATTTTCACTGTCCATCTTCCACATATCAGTAATACGATCTAGAGAGACAAGCAATTCAATACTGTGTCCCATATGTTGCACTTTTTGCAGTAAGAACTGCATGATCGGATCTGTCAGGCAAACATTATCAGACAACCGTACTGTGAATTTTTCATTTTGTTCATCATTTTCCGCTAATGCATCTTCTGTGATCCTAATATAATAATAGATATAAATATATAGATACACAATAAATTATTAAACTTTTTATTCCAACATTAGTTCTTTCATTTACCTTACTATTATAAATTCATCCCTCCAGTCTTCCAATCGTCCTTCACTCAACCATGTATCAATTATATTAAGATAAACAGCAAGACTACATAAGTACAAATTTGTACAAATATTTGTTCTTTCTCGGTTATGAGAATTCTGCATTTCATAATATAAAGATGATAACAATCGAGATGCACATTTCCAATTAGGATTAGCTGTCCAATCAGTTGTAACTTTTTGATGTATATCATGAAGTATTCTTATAGTATTCAAATATTTTCTTAAACTAGTCGATAAAGTTAAAAATGTATTGCAATTCTCTGTGAAGAAAAAAATATGTAGCAAAAGGATTATAAAAGTAACAAATAAATAAAATATGTAAGCTTACCTTGATTCATAACATCTTTCTCTATATTAATTACTTTATTCTTGAATTCATATAAGTGCAGCTTAAGTGCAGCATTATACGCTTCATAGGTCAAAGGAGGACTCTGAAGTTCTGATTCTTGATTATAAACTGATTGCAACTCGGTTCCAAATTTTTTAATATCATATATCATTGAAAAGCATTCACAGAATGGTGACAGAATACTTTTAAAAGCAGTCTGAAAGCAACATCACATGTTATAAAAAAAATACTTGTATGATGTGATTCAGTATAAGAGATTGCACAAGAAAGTGTAAGATTGCCAAAATATTCTTATAATATACTTACAGTAGTCAAACTTGGTATAGATATATCAGGATGTATTGAAAATTTCGATTCACTTTCCTGTTGAAATACTACCATAGATGTTTGAACATACAACATCCATAATAATTCTCTACACACTTGATATTCACTGAGAGTAGCTACTTTATATGAAGCTGATATGCTCGTCCCATGCCTGTAAGCACAAATGTGTATTTACATTAAATAATCTTTTGTATTTAAACAATTAAAAAAAAAATTTACCAAATGTCACATATATTGGCATCACAAGATTGTTTGATAACAGGACACTTTTGACATTCTAAATTATTCCACCAGTCCGTTTGAACATTTGATAAGAGCCATTTTTTAGATTCAAGATTTTGCACTAGCACTACAGATAATTTATCTGTTGTGGTATCAGAAATTTCTGAGGATTGTGCAATATCTAATTGTGTATTAGGTATTTGTGTTGGCAAGGAAGTATCATTTTCATTGGTCTCTTCTTCTTCTGATAGATCAGACCATTCCTAAATAAACATAAAAATTGAAAATATTTAATCATATAATCATAATAATATAAAATTATATAATAATCATATAAATAGTAAATATAATTTTATAAAATATATCTTTGCAAATACTTACATTCTCACTATCGTCACTTTTATAATTACAAAAAAAGTTCTCTTGACCTTCTTTTAAATACTGTACCCAATCAATTTCCTCCGTAACATTATCTTCACTTGCAGCAGCTGCGTTAAAATTATACTCTCCACGTGTAAGTTTTAAGCTATCTAAATTGGACTTATGAGTTTCAGTAGACAAATCCAACAGGAAAGTTAACAAACACCACTGCAAATCATACTGCGGATGCTGCTCAAAATCAAAACTTGATAAAAAAGAATCAATGAACTCCTGAAATGTTTTAGCAACTTCATATTTTCCATGGATTAAGAATTTGGTAACTATGGCATTTATAGCTTCTTTAGTTGCATGACTATTAACAGACAAGTAACGATGATGTTTGATATTTGACAAGCAAAATCGTTCACATATCCGAAATCCTTCTTCATCTTCCTAAAATACATAAGAATTTATATTTTAGATTATATACTTATGCCATGTCATCAATGATATTGTAAATGCTACTCTAATTTTATACACGCATACCTCAAATGATGTAAGTGCTTTTATAAGTTGTTTTAAATCATTATGAATATCATTTAATATCCGAGTACTCATTTTTACTTAGTATCAAAATCATTTAATAAGTACTATAGGATAATATGTCATCAGCAAAACTAAAAAAACAAATTTAATTATACATTATATTTAATACCAGAATAATACATAACAATCTTTTTTAATAGCTTTTTGAGTTAATTAATTCTTTAAAAATAACGTATGAGATAATGTCGTTTCTTCAGAAATCTGAGCGGAATAAAGAAACGTATAATATTATTACCATCAAATTTAATATTTAATATAAATTAGGAAAGTTTACATTTATTTTCAATTCGTGACACCATCACACATTCATACTGTTCATCGAATTACTGCTTATTGAATCGTCAACACAAAATATTCATCGCGATAAACAAACGTCTGTTTACGCCATAGACAATATTAATGTTGAATCATTTGAAAACACACATCGCTATAAAATTTAATGGTCGAAATATCAGGCTGTTCAATGTTTGAGGTAATGAAATTGGTTGTCCAATAGAAAAATAAATTTTTTAGGGATTTTAAGTAACAATATTGTTATTTGAAGAAAGCATATAAAATTATGTAAATAGGACTTTAGCCTTATATCTAGATGTAAGTATGCCGCTCAATACCAGTTGTAGTTTATGGATTTCTCTGATGGATTCGGGTCTTTTCTCCATGGAGATGGAATAATCGCAAATAAATTAACAAAGTGGATTTGTATGCGCAAAGTATACAAAAAAAGGAAAACATTCTAGTCTAAAGAAGGTGATAAAATAGCGATCATATAACAGTGAAATGGATGAAGCTAAATTTCTGAAAAGGTAAGAACGATTATCTCTTCTGCATCTGTCAAATAGTGTCAGTCATCTGTCAAATACATATGATCGTTTGACAGATGACACAAATGTCGTAAACGTTTTACAAATACAATTATAAGTGCAGTAAATTTACATATTCGCTGTACTGATATTCAGGAAAGTGAGATCTGGGACATTGGACGTGCATCCAACGGAAAAGGCCCTGGTAGTAAATTACGATGTCGAGGCGTTGATATTAGGGGAACTGGGAGATCCTATGCTTGGTGATCGCAAGGTATGCTTTTTTTTTGTATTTATGTTTATGAATAGAGTGTATGACATGTAATTTCTTTGTAAAATGAAAGCTATTGTTTGTGTGTGTTATTTTAATTTACAGGAATGCCAAAAGATAATCAGATTGAAAAGTTTGAATGCGGATACAAATGTCTCCCTCTTGGCCAAAGAAGTAATGGAAAAATGTTCATTAATACACGAGTCCAAGTTGCGCGAAGTTGAGCAGCTAATATATTATTTACAAAATCGTCGGACTAACGACACCAGTATGGGTAATATATTTAATATAGTTTTTATGCTTGTACTGTCTTAGAAGTTTATTAAAGTTTGGATTTCTATAGGTAATGATAGCAACTCTCATCCACCAAGGCCAGTATCATCAAATTCAGTGACTACGGAAAATAGCGAAATTGAACGCGCAGTCATTAGTAATGTTGACAGTTATATTGAATTATTATATGAAGAAATACCAGGGAAAATTAAAGGTTCATCATTAATTTTACAATTAGCGAGAGTACCAGATAATCTTTTAGAGTTGACAAAAAATGGTAAGTGTGTATTTTTTTAATAAAAATTTTAATGAATGTTGTGTTGATACAAAAAACCGCTTATTAATAATAATTTTTCTCTTTGGTACAGAATCATTGTTAAGTGCATTAGCTCGAGTCCTAAGAGAAGATTGGCGACGCAGCATAGAGCTATCGACAAACATCATTTACATTTTCTTTTGCTTTTCAACATATAGCCAGTTTCATAATATTGTGCTCGAATACAGAGTAAGCTGAGAGTCTTAATTAACTTTCTCAAGCAGATCTGAAACACTTGATACTTATATTTCCTTTCTCATAGATTGGTTCTCTTTGTATGGATATAATTGACTTTGAACTGCGTCGCTATGATCAGTGGAAGGAGGACATGGAGAAACGCCGAAAACAATTTGAGAACACTACTGGTTTAACGTTTTTTCCAGTGGGAAATAATGACAATTGTGATAGAAAGATTAGAATCATCGACGACATTTGGAATATGGAAGGCCCACTAGATTACGAAGTCAAAAGACGGTCCACAGAAATATCCACAACTTTGTCTGAGAGTGACATTAAGAAGTTAAAAGAGGAACTTGAGAAAAGTCGCAAGAAATTTAAGAGTTTAACTAAAAAGCAGGAACAACTGCTGCGGGTTGCATTTTATCTACTCTTAAACATCGCCGAGAATGCCATGGAAGTTGAAAGAAAAATGCGTAAGAAGAATGTCATTGGTATGTTGATTAAAACGTTAGACAGGACGAACACTGACTTGTTAATATTGGTTGTCACATTTCTGAAGAAACTATCCATCTTTCGTGAAAACAAAGATCTAATGGTAATATTACATAATATTTTATGTTGTATATAATAAAGTATGTGTATTAATAGTAAATGCATTGGTATTTACAGACAGAAGAAAATGTTATAGATAAATTACCGAGACTTCTACAAAATAATAACGCTGATCTTGTGTTGAGCACTTTAAAACTGTTGTTTAATCTTTCTTTCGATGCTAAGCTAAGAGCAAGAATGATTAGAGTTGGCATGTTACCAAAATGGATCAAATTGCTTATCCAGGGTAGGAACTGTTTAAAAAGTTAAATAATTATTTTTTAACATGAAAACTATAAATTCTGTACATAAAATAAAAATTCATATGTTCACAGCTGATGTAAAGAGTAAGAGCACAATTTTGGGACTGCTTTATCATGCCAGCATGGATGACAAAGTGAAAGCAATGTTTACAAATACAGATTGCATTCCAATGGTATACAAAAATCTAAGAAACTTTTCTACATAATTAAAAAAATTTGAAACTTATTTCATATGTATATCCTGTTTAGATAACAAACATGATATTAAGTTCCGAGGATGAACACGTAAGATCTGAATTAGTAGCACTTGGCATCAATTTAGCTATCAACAATAAGAATGCGCAACTGATGGTGGAAAATAACCGTTTACAAGGTCTCATAAAAATTGCATTCAGAAATCAAGATGCTCTTGTAATGAAGATGATTAGAAATATTTCGCAACATGATTCGACAAAAGAAAGTTTTGTTGTGAGTTGAGACGTTTAATACTTAAAGTCATGCAATCATCATATAATAACTTTGATTTAATGTTTACTCGTATACATTTTATAGGAATTTGTGGGTGATTTTGCTATGGCCTTGACTCAATCTGATTCTCAAGATTTTGTACTGGAAGTAATTGGTGTTTTGGGCAACTTAGAATTGCCTGATTTGGATTATTCTCAAATCATTCAACGTTGCAATCTTATACCATGGATCCGCAATAATCTAGTCCCAGGTATGATCTCTTTCTTTTTTCTTTTTGTCATCCCAATGATCATCCCAGATAGTTAAATGTTAGCAATGTTGACAGATTGATAGTAAATTTGATATAACCTGAATTTGATCTGCTAACATTTTGTTTGCTAGAATTTTGCATAATAAATTGATATTAAAACTGAGAATAGAGATTTGAAAGATACTAAATACAGATTAATAAATATATTAAAGCTGTTTTGTTATGTCTTGTCTTTATGCACACAGGTAAGGCACAAGACGATTTGGTTCTTGAGGTTGTCATATTTTTGGGCACTGCAGCTTATGACGAAGATTGTGCTCGTTTGCTGTGTAAAGCTGATATACTTCTCTCTCTTATCGAACTTCTTAAAGGTATGTATTAACGTTGATAAAAGCGTATGATAAAATTTTTACTGTACGATATTATTTCAGCCAAACAAGAGGATGATGAAATGGTTTTGCAAATTATTTACGTTTTTTATCAAATTGCAAAACACGATTCAACGCGAGATTATTTGATCCGCGAAACTGGCAATGGTAATAATCAATTTCTCCAATTGCTGAATTTGTCAAAAACACGCAAAATAACACCACAATGTCTTATGTCTTATGAATATCTTTAATCTCGATTTTATTTACAGAGGCTCCTGGATATCTGATTGATTTAATGCACGACAAAAATCCTGCAATCAGAAAAATCTGTGATGCATGTTTAGATGTCATTGCTGTAAGTAATTTTTTGAAGGAATATATTTTATGCAAATGTTTTTTCTTGTTTTCCTAAATTTATAAACAATATCTCGTAAGTGATACATTGTGTAAAAATTTTATGTTAAATCATAAGAAGTGTTAAATCATAAGAAGTGCTAAATATTCTAATTATTTTAGATATGTGACAAGAATTGGGCGGCTCGCATAAAAGTAGAGAAATTCCGGTCACATAATCAGCAATGGTTGGAAATGGTTGAATCTATAGGCGCAGACTCGACCACTCACATGCTACCGGATGACGATGACAGTTTATCTCCATTCATCAGTGGTGATTTGTTAAAACATACCATATTGTTTCCCTCTGGTAATAATTTTTTTAAATAAAATTATATGCAATTGTTTATTACACTTTGACAATAAATTAATCATTTTTTCACAGGTAATGCAGCATCATTTAATACAGATGATGGATTTTCAATCATGAAAAATTCATCGGAATCGTCTGAAAATCCTAGTCGGCCTGTCAGTAGGTACGCGTCGAATAATTCTAATACATTTGATATGATTAGTCCTTTTAAAATAAATTATGATACAGCATGAAAAAATTAATTATATAACATTATTTTTTCAGATATCGAGATCTCGATGATATAGGCGAACTCATGGCGCGTTCTAAGTCTCGTATGTCCATTGGTTCAGGTATAGAGGATTTATATTATAATTCTAGAGTGAAGTTCAATGATTCGGATAGTTCCCACGTATTAATATGAAGATTAATTCAAATGTTCTGATGTAGATACGCGACTTTTAACTTTTCGAAGATAACAAAAATATTTTACATTATCTGAACATTATACGTGTTTGATGTAAAAGAAAATCTTTGCTACTATTTACTAAGACGTGCTTGCTTAAATCGAAGATTTTTATTGTACACATGATAGATTGCTTTGATCTCATAGTTAAGTATTTTAGTGCCTTTTATTTTTTTATACATTTATTTATGAACATCAGCTTTACACTGATGCGTGATTCTATTACGTTGCAAAATAACTGATAGTGTTAATTAAGTCCTTTCGAATCTCTTTTATCTTGTGATAGACTTCAGGCAGTCAAGATAGTGTAATGAATATGTGGTTAAATGTAAAATTAGTATTTACGATATATAGTTCAAAAGTGTCTCGTAGTATTTATATTGTTAATATCAGTTAAACGACAAGTGGTGTATGAAAATATTTAACAATTTAGAGTGACAGCAGGAATGAAATTATTCCAAGATACAGTATTTTTTGTTTATTTATTAAATTATTAAATATAGTAAATTGTGCAATAAATTATATAAATATATGTAACTTCATTATATATAAATCTTTTTCATTCTTTCTCTAGAAAATAATCCGAATATATAAATATTCTCTCTCTTATATTGTTTTTCCGTCGTGTTTCATCGCACCTCTTGTTCCTTTGTGTTGTCAATTTATCGCATTTATTAACATAAGATGGTATTTTATTACATTAACAAAATGCATGACATATAGGTACAAACTATCCATTATATGACAAAATAAATTATGATATCTCGTAGTTTTTAAGACAATGATTTATTTAAAAATATGTTCCTCAAAATCCAATTCCTCATTGCAAAATTACAAATTACATGAAAAGGATAATAAAGTATTACGTGAAAAGGAGAATTTATTCAGAATTTGTTCTTGGTCTGTTATTAGAACTTGAACTTTGTCGTATAATAGATTCATCGTTAGGTTGAAATATAATAGTGTAACTATTGTCTCCATCAGTGAAGAACGTGTGTTCTCGTAAGCCCCAACTAATGGGACTGTCCGCAAATCCCTGTACATCCAAACTAATCCATGATACAGTATTTCGTGATAATATATAATCTTTTAACACATTATATATCTCTTGCATCTTTCTGCTCGTAAAGAATCCGGTATACTTCAAATACTGTACTTGCCCAACTTGTATTGAAGGAGAAGGACATTTATATGGGTTTGCATCATCTGTTTCTCCATTCGATCTAAGAATGTTATATTGAAATATTATTATTGCACTTGTTTAACGTTATTAATCATGGACGAAGAATTGTTATTTTATAGCATAAATAAACATACAGTTTACAGTCAGTGCTGAAGATTCCGAGCCATTCAAAGAATTTATCGATATTACATTCATCTTGAAGAGTTGGTATCATTAATGAGTATTCAGTTCTTTGAGAAAATCTTTGGGAAGCAAGATCAACTGTATAATCTAGTTTCTCAAACCATGCTGCTATGGAGGATGGGCACACATTGTACTCTGAAATATTAAAATAATTTAGAGAAAGACATATGTATGAATGCCATAATATCGTATTACATTGCATTATAAGAAAGAGAGAACTTGATACGTACGTGATGGATGCCATGATACTATAACATTAAAGTTTTGCGAGAGTCGTTTTTTCAATGCTATTCGAACTCTTTCAAAATTCTTATTACCAGGAATAAAATTTTCATCATTTAGATCAATTACCACTACTTTTGTATATAACCGGAAAAATATTCGGATTTAATATGTGAAGAAATATATATGCATATATATAATGCTTATAATAAACTATGGATTGTTTTATTTTGGTTATATTTCATTATTATTTTATTTCTTAAAACTTACCATAACGCGTACGAGATTTACTTGCAAAGAAAGAAACTCTTCCTTCTAAACCAAGAGCTTGGTAATGTGCATCTATCAAAGAGAGCACTAAATGTCCACTTGGTGTTAAACATATAGAACTCTCCAAATCTATTTTAACTCCTACTGTCAAGAGATTGACTTCCCCTAAAATTTGAAAAATAAACATTAATAAAATTATGTATAAAAAGTTAAAAGCAAAATTTCATCTAACATCTAAATTTATTTAATTTACTATATATTGTACAATATTATAGTTATGCTTAAAAAAATTGTTTGTTTGGACTTTTTTAATAAACAAATTATAATATAAAATGCAATAGCTATGTTAGCCCAGAGTCAGGTGTTGGTTGCTCAGTTAAGAATAATTAACAAATGGTTATATCAAACGTTTCGGCTCATTTATTTTGGCCATCTTCAGTGAAAGTTATTAAAGACGAACGGACATTAGAAAAATAAAATAAAAAGAAAATAACAATAAGTATACGCCGCAAGGTTATCGTGTATCGGTTACGGAATTCATTCGTTTACAGTAAGCATATAAGAATTTTAAAAAATATAAAAATATAAAAAAATAATTTATAACTCGGACAATCCAAGTAAGATTAGTTCTATATTTTTATAACTCCGACAATCATTTTAAATTCTTATATGCTTACTGTAAACGGATGAATTCCGTAACCGATACACGATAACCTTGTGGCGTATACTTATTATTTTCTTTTTATTTTCTTTTTCTAATGTTTGTTCGTCTTTAATAACTTTCACTGAAGATGGCCAAAATAAATGAACCGAAACGTTTGATATAACCATTTGTTAATTATTCTTAACTGAGCAACCAACATCTGGCTCTGGGCTAACATAGCTATTGCATTTTATATTAAAATTAACATTTAAAAAAATTACAGTTTGCACTTCTTACTTACAAATGTGTGAATAAAGATTATTTCTTTAATTTAAATTAAAATAAAGTATTATATAAATAAGTACAAGAAAATCATGCAATTATATAAAAAATTAATAATAAGTATTACCTTTCTTGACAAAAGCTTCAATGAATTCTCTGTATAATAGATCGCAGGCACGCAATCCATTTACTTGATAATAATTTGTATCGATCAATAAACAATTTTGTAAACGAGTAGGAACTGTAACAGTGTCAGGAAGCACTACGGATATCTAATGATATTAAAAACATAAATTGTACGAAAATAAAATCTTAAAAGTTGAGTTTTAAAAAAGCAAGCAATGAACTTACAGAATGATTGAAGTAATGAGTTTTCATCGGCATAGGAACACTTCTTTTTCTAAAATCATACTTCTCTATGAAGAATTTATGCGGTGGTGGTTTGAAATTGTACTTTGGACAGAGCATATTGACAATTATAAAATGATATTCTAATATATGTATTAAAAAGAAATATACATGCACAAAGCACCGGCACACGTGTTATTTACATGTGATAAGTAGAAATCAACATAACCTAATCTAACCTAACTTAACCTAATTTAACATAAACTGTTGCTATCCTAATATTCATAGACTTAGAGTAAGTGGCACAAGTGCCTCGGTAGCGCAGTAGGCAGCGCGTAAGTCTCATAATCTTAAGGTCGTGAGTTCGATCCTCACCCGGGGCAATTTTTTTGTTATTATAGATATATTACCAAAATATAGTGATTGTCTAATGTAAGATAAAACTATATTGTAATGTACAAATATTCTTTTAATTCATATAAAAATTGTACAATATAAGTAAGCTTATCGCTTAAATGCAGGTACATGACACTATTAACATCAATGTGTAATAAAAATATAATTTTTATTTTCGTTTCTTCCTACATTCATTAGGATTCTTTTTCATCCAGTATTTAATAGTATTATCTGGTCTTATACCCAACATAGCTGATTTCGAATTTACATCACGCATAATGAATGGAGAATAACCAGCTATATAATCTTCATGGAGCGGATTGTTTTAATACGCGCTAAACGCGACGGACGTTGATCTGGTACTGGCTGATCTTCACATAAATGGGATTGTTTGCGTGTTTTCCACCTTTCGGCATTGGCAATGAGAACTGAAAAATTTCATTAATATTATTTTTACATCTTAACATACATCATTGAACCATAAATTAATTACACTAGGAACTAAAGCAACATACTTTCTTTCCTTTAGCCGAGAGAGGTCTTTGGAAGTTTATATGAATTTGTTGTTTTCCATTCTCATCTAAAATGACTTCCACTTTCTTCAGTGTCTTGTTGCCGCAATGTGGACAGAAAATCTTTGTCATAACACTTGTGGTCTTGAAACAGGCATAACATCTGAATATGAAAGTCCGCATTTGTTTAATGACTCTGCCATCCAATGAAACTACATTCAATCCCATTTGCATAAGAACGTTCTGCATTGCAAAATCCATCGTTAAACATGCAACGGTTGCAGATTTCTCTTCGAGAATTTCCAGATCCATTTGTTTTCTTAAGTCAGCAAAATTTCCTTAAAAAATAAAAATTATTACAAATTAATACAATATATGAATCGTACATTAATATTGATCAGAAAATTTGATTGACAAAATTAAGTTTACCTGGTGTGATCCAACCGTTATCATCGTCGTCTTCATCTTCAGTTGATTCCCTGTCATTTTGGTCATCTTCAGATGTTGCATCAACTGGAGCAAGAATATCATCTACAACATTCGTATCTTCATTTTCACCTTCAATTTCTAAATCTGCTGGATTGCATGTTAGTTTAGCAAATTTTTCAGCCAAAATTCCTGTTTTAGTTTCTTCAACATCCGATGCTTCATTATCTGACTGATCAGATCTATCAGAAGTATGTAAAGTAGCTTGTATTTTCTGTTTTTCCACATCATTTAAAGAAGATTCTGTGGTATTTTGATCCAATTTTGGTTTTTCCTAAATATGAATATCAATTTTAATTGAAAATTTCTACACATTACACACATATGTACACACAAAAATTTATGAAAATATCTTACACTTTTATTTGGCATATAAAAACCAATTGGTAGCTTAACATCATCTTCATCTTTTCTCTCAGCAGTAGATTTAATGCTCCTTATTGTTGGAGCATCCTTCAAATGAGATGTTCCAACTTTTTCCTTCTCCAACTGATAAGTGAGTGCAATCACTTTAATGTCAGTAGCAGATAGGCTTGTATAGTCACCACTTTTCTTAGCAAACTCAGTCACTATGAATATATTAAATACATATTAATTTTAGTAACAGAAATGCATAGAAATGTATTTCTAAATAATATAATATAAAATGTTCTCTGCTACATATATTATTTATAATAGATTTTTCTTTCTTATATTAATAATATATAATAATAAGTTATTTTAAATTTAAAATCTCAAAATAAAAAAAAATACTTAAAGCAAAAAGATAATAGTGTAGGAATAATTATATAGTGTGATTAATCTTGCATCTTGCTAAACATATTCTTAGTTAATAACACATCTAATAGTGAATACATTAACATGCTTTATTTACCAAATTTAATATTTTCCGTAAAAGCTTCTTGAATTTTTAAATCATAGGGTAGTACAACTAATCTTCTTAATTGTCTCTTATTTGTGATTTCATCAACAACAGCTTGTTCAGTCAAAATATTGACTCCAATATCCTGTGAATATTAATATGATTTTTATTGATTTTCATATTTTATAAGCAAAAATGATAAAATGTGTGTATATATATTCTTAATAAATTACATTTTAAATAAAACTACACTAATATTTCAATAAAATATTTGATACATAACCTTCCCTCAACTTTATATAATCTCAAAATTAAAATAATGTGCACAGATTTATATATAATGTTTCAGTTAATCATTACCTGTAAAGCAGCATTCTTTATAAAAGCACTCGTATCAACAATAAGATATTGTACTTTATTCATATTATTCATGATTGTTGCGAAGTCTTATCAAAACCACGTGAAAATCAGTGCTGTCTAATTTTCTCGATAACCTCTGATTGGTTCTTGATAAAAAATAGGAACATGATTTACCTAGTAATTTTTACTTTTAAATGTTTTTATATCTTATGTTCATTAGTTTTCCGCTGTTATTTGTGAATGGAGAATAACTCATAGTTTATTATTACCAACTTTATAATATAAATTAACACTAGAAAAGAGATAATTAAATTTATGGAAGTATATAGTGTTGATAAATGTATATTGTTAAACACACTAATTGTAAAATATACAATCTGTATAAGCTTGCAAAATTTTATTTTAACAAAATGTATATTTAATGTAAGTATTAGTATTTTAGACTACTTGATGTGCCACTTTGCTGTTTGGTTGAAGCATTTCTTCCATCCAATGTTTTCTTAGGTTATAACCTTTATCTATATTTATATATATATATATATATATATATATATATATATATATATATATATGTATACATATTACAGGTTTGGGTATTCCCGTGAAAATCTCCTTGAAAGTCTGTATTTTCTACGCACAGTGAAAACTTGTATGAGGGCAAGATGTGTGAGCAATATAGCTTACTCCGTCAAGACTTCCTTAGTATAGCAGAACCTTTTATTGACTGTGGTATATTGGATCAACTAAAACAAAATTATGCACATGAGATTGATTCAAGACGCAAATTAAGTAGTGTAAAAGACCTTAAAACATTTATAAGATTATTAGAAAAACGCGATATTATCAGTTATAAGAATATAAAAGAATTGCAAAGCATATCAAAGTTATTTATTAGGAAGTCAGCTTTGGAAAGTAAGTTGCTCGATTATGAGAATTGGCTGAAGACTGTGCCTACATCACATTTATGTGATATGTATCAACATAATGAAAGTGAGTATTTATGATTTAATAGCTATATAAGCCCAGAGCCAGGTATTAGTTACTCAATAAAGTGTATTTAAATAAATCAGTTATAATATAGTTCTGAAAAAAAGAAAAAAAGATGTTAGATTGCTGCTGTATTACAATTTTTCGGCATACTGGATTGACTTTCTTAATTTGTTTGTCCGTTGATTTTTACTGGAGGTTACCCTTTGGGACCTTTGCACACTGTCTTGCTAATTTTTATAACTCCGACACTCAAGTAAGAGAATGTACAATTTTTTAATTCTGAATAATTTTTGTAACCACTCTTCGACAACCTTGCGTCTTATGCGTATATTTATTATATTTTACTAACGTTCTGTTTACTTTGTATCTCTTATTGAGGATGGCCAAAACAAATGGGCCAAAACGTATGTTATAACTGATTTATTTAAATACACTTTACTGAGCAACCAAAACCTGGCTCTGGGCTTATACAGCTATTACATTTTTTTGTTATAATTTTATTATTAAGAAAACCCAATTAGACATTTCTTTTATTAATAATATTTCTTATGATATTTACATCATTATATATCTTGATGTATATTTTATTTTCTTTGAATAATCTATAGTAAGAATGGTCAGGTAGTTTTAATGTATAAAACTTTGTTATGTACAATATTGTGCAGAATTGATTTGTTTTATTAATATTAAGAGTAATGCAATATAAATCTGAGAACTGAAAAATTTACATATAATACAAATTCATAATAAATTTACTTTGAAACTGTACATATTTTTAATTTGTTAATATTGGCAATATAATTTTTATTTTCTGAATCTATTAATAATATTAAATTAATTTTTATTTTTATAGTAGCTTCAGGGTCGTCACAAGGAGCAGAAAATGTAGAAACAAATCAAAGAACAACCTCAGAGCCTGAATGTTCTAATTTACCTCAATCATCAATGCATAGCGAAACTGTGTCATTTAATCGTATTACACAAACATTGCACTGTTCTCAAGAAAATAAAACAAATAATCTTGATGATAAAAGAAAATCGCTTCAACAAACAGGTACTTCTGAAAATTTTAAGTTTATATATATATATATGGTTTTGTATGTCTTTTTTTTGTACTTTTGTACTTTTATTTTGTATGTTTTTTTTTATAGTGTTACTACAACTTAAGGATAGGCTGGGTCGATCTTGGAGGAATGTAGCTAGACATTTAGAAATTAGAGAGTGTGAAATTGATGCTATACAAAGTAAATATCCTTTTGATTTAAAAGAACAGAGTTATGAGGTAAGATTTTGCATATACTAAATGTATGTGTGTGTGTAAATTTTATATATTTTTATATAGAAAGTTGTACCTTATATAACTAAAATTTAAAATTTAATTTTGTAATATGAGCCAGTAATATTAATAATACAAACTAGTTAAAAATGAATTGAAAATGAATAAAAAATCTATTAAAATGGTTTACAGATGCTGAAAATTTATATATCACAATCCAACACGGAAGAATGGGCAATAAATTTAATACGTGCTTTAGAAAAAGGAAGGCGTAAAGATCTTAAAGAACTAACAGAAGATTTAACATGGAAAACTAGTATGTAAAAAGATTGATAGTATCCTGTATTGATACTATTAATCATACTGTTAGAAGATATATAATATTTTATAAAAGTAAAAATTCAATACACAACAAGATGGATAAATCAATTATTTAAAAGTCACAGGTTATGTAAAAAAATATGTATACACATAGATGCAAGTATATTTTATTAATATTTATAAAAAAAAAAAACAGTTTATTTGCTAAACAATTTTAATATTATAAATAGCTCGTACTAGAAAATAGAGCTGGGTGCTGTATTTTAATAAAAATTATTGCTAAATATCAAGTAATTAAATACATATATAATTTCTGTTAATACATACAACCAATGCTTAACGGTTGTCTTGCAGATATTAGGTCGATTTAGCCTTATTTCTGCTGAATATTAATGAGAAAGCATCAAGCCTTTTAGAATTTGGTGAAAGATCAAAATAAAAAAAAATAAAAACGATTGACTTTCAGCATGGCTCCCAATATCCATAAGGCAAGAGTTAACAGGTGTACATAGAGAAGCATTACAAGAAATTATATATGTATTTATTTGTTGAAAAATGAAATTCCACAAATTACATTTAAGTATAAATGTATCAATCATACAATCATGTTATCAACTACAGAAAAATACAGCAGCCCGCGCGTATCTTTCGTAAACTATATCAAAACTGCATTATAAACTAATTTTTATGTTAATGATATCAATCTACTTCGATTCATCATATATTTATTGGTTTTCATTTAATTTCTGTCGTTATTACGAAAACATGGCTACAAACGACATAACATGCTTTCGAAAACAAGATTTAATTTTTCAACATAATGCAAACAAACACTTCCAATTATATTGTTAATATGTCGTCCGGCAATTTTTGACATTAATGTCTTAATGAACAACTTAAAGGTGATATCATAATGAATTTGGCAATATTTAAAGTGTATAAGTATTTTTTGTTTGATTTCCAGTTGTTGCCATAGTATCTTTATGTACTTGATATCCCATCATTGTTTTAGATGTGATCCTCAATCTTTCCTTTAATTTGCGGCTGAAATCAAAATAACATATCAATAACATCAATGATTCAAAAGCGTTATATATAAAATATTAAAGTGTCTTTTAATATTAAGTTATAACTATTAATATAATATATACAAAAGTCAAATAGCTTAATTCTTTACCCAATTTCCATAACACTATCTGCAGAATCCGCATTTGACGTCCAAACGCATAATTTATCTCCCTTTGTCCTGACATTTACTACAGCTCCGCATATATCATCAGAGTATTCATTGAAGGCTTCACCAATCATGCAAAGTAAAATTTCTAACCAAAAATTATCTAAGTCTGTAGCTCTTTGCTTCTTATCTAGATTTATTATCCATCGTCCACCGCATTTGTTCTGATCATCTTCCCACATAGGCCGAATTCCTTGCTTAAACATGCTATAGTCACAACCTTGTCTTAATTCAGACGCTGTTTTTATGTGGTTGTACAAGCTGCGCATAAAAAGTTTTCTTTGTTGTAATTCAGATTCTGTAATTAGTAGATACATTTTTTTACACATCAAAGAATAGTTACCTCCAGAAATCTTCAGCTGTATCGAAACTTGTGACTTCCCGGTGCCTCTCTTCCCATGATTTATTCCTGTCAGGTTCGTAATACCACAAAGTCCAAGTATTCTGCAACGGATGCTTGATTAAGTATTCAGGCGGGAATTCATCGGTGTTTGCTACTTCTGTATTTTGCTTCCGATCGATGTCCTAGAAAGAATATTTAGTATCATTTATACGATGCCATGTAAAATCGTGTCAAGACCGGACATAATTGTGTCGATACGAAAAACTTGCGCGAATGACCTTTCGTCTGTTAACCTAGCAACAATCGTTACTACCGTGTACATTTTTTTTCGATCAATCTACCGTATTTCGCAATCTTCGCATATATTTCCGGTAACGCGAATTATTTATAGATCGACGAGCGATTGCCGGTGCAAGGCACTTGCGAACGTAAAGGCGTTACAGCTTTTGCGGCTCTAGGACACTTTCTACATGCTGTACAAACGTAACGTGGGAGGGACGCGAAGGGAGAAGGATATGGAAAGTTCTGAAAAGGATTATGCTGTTATATGCGACGTTGGAATGCTTTTTTCGCCTATATTCGCGGATTACCGGCATTCTTGCATAGAGATACGCAACGCGATTGTTACATTCACACTGAAATACCTCGATTTCATCCGAAATATTCGTAGCCATGTCACTACAATATGCACGCTCGCTCCGTGGAAGCCGTGAACTGGCAGCAGGGGCATCAATCCACGCTCTCCGCTGGCGCTCTATTCGACTTCGCTCCTTCTGGGCGAAATCGGGAAGGAATGGACAGTTGCTACTTCGTTTCGCTTCCTGCAATGTAGACGCGCCTTGTGCGATGAGTCACTTATAAAAGAAAAGAATCCGTCCGTCTGTTAGTTGCACTTTCTACGTTCAAAATATGTGACGTAGGCTGTAAATTTAAGTTTTATCGAACGAGAGAGAGAAATGTAAAGTGTAGAAAGTGTGCAACCAAAGCGGAAACGGACATTCAAATATAAATAAGAATTCGTTACGAGTTGATTTTTTTATATGCCTGCAGTCCTAAAATTCGAATTACTTTGTTTTTTTAATGATTTGCAATTAAAATATTATCGGTAAGCAAACAAGTGTTATAGAACAGTGAAGATATAAAAGATTATCGGTCGAAATTGTGTTACGCGATGATTGTGTGGTTATGTAAATAATAAATATTTTCCGAGTTGTTTAATCGAATCTCTTGGCAACTGTTATACGATTCTCTTTGACAGTCATTCATATCTCGCTCCCATGCTCCGTCCTGTTTGATACATCTGCGCCCGCGTTGCAAGTACGAAAAAAAAGAAAAATAGGGAGCTAGTGCCCCTATCTGTGGACAAATACAGAATGTCATGAGTTCACGCTGTACATACGTACTTTATGTAATGTAATTTCACGTAGGATCACCGCGATATCGGGTCAGGGTCGTTCTTGTTTATTTATCTTGCAAAAATCATCGAGCAAGGGTTGGCACCCCTGACGTGTCTTTCTCCGTCGTACGCTCGTTATTCATGCCTGTACTACGATGTGTTTACGTTGTAACTCGGGAAACGCTACCTCCTCATAAGGACTGACCACGTTAAGCGTGTCTGCAGTGATGAAGCGCGCGGTAATATGCAGGCTTGTTTTTAAAGAGATAGTATTATATCCTTGAGACAGACTTTCGTTTAAAAAGAGAAGAAGGAAACTCCGTTTTTTTGTGTTGCTTAGCGTAATAATGGTTGTAATGCGTTGTATTTTTTCCGTTTTCTGATATTATTATTTAAGGTTAACTTGTCAAAGCTAAACAATGTTTTCATGCTTGATTGTACCAATATTGTAGTCGCGATAGAATGATTTTTACTTTAACAAATCAGATCTTTGGTGTATATGTTGCAAAATTTACAAATTGCAATATATTCTTCTTGTTTTAATTCATAAATTTTTGCTATTTAGATACTAGAAGAAAACAATGAAGCCAAAGGAACTTCAGTCAAGCAGGAGGCTATCAATTTTGGATATGATGCTTCGTATGCCAATTATTCTTCATCATCCTCTCCTTCCACTGTTGCTCAACCTTTACCAGGACAGCCACCTTTACCTCCTATACCACCTCCACCAAGTGGCGTCCCACCTCCACCTCATGTATTCGGATCAGTGCCTTCCCAAGTTGCTCCTATTCCATCATGGCCACATTCACAAGCTCCATGGCAATGGATAACACCTCAAACATCCCCTTTGCCATCTCCAACTCCTCACGAGATTACTAATACGTTTCCAAGAGAGATGCCTCTGAGAGGTAATTATGTACGCCGCGAAAGATTTACTCACAATAGAAGCAATATGTATGTTCAGAGAAATAATTTTCACCGGAAAAATAGAAGGCTGGCGCGGTTTGGGCAGTCGCAGGGTCAATTTGAGCAAGCTGCGTATTTTGGCCCAGCATTGGCAGGTGGTCTCGGTTTGGAGTGGCAAAGAAATAATTATACTACAGCAACGAATGATGCTATAATAAATCATATGGCCGTTCCTATACCTAATCATCCCATACCTCCTATTCCTTCAGGGGTCATAAACAGTAGGCATAATGAAGAAACGGAAGATCATGATTTGAAAATTGTAATAAATACATTCAAGTTATAACAGTTATAAATTATAACAGTTTGTTACAAAATGTAATTAATATAATCAAATTTTTTAGGAGGAGGTTATAGTAAAGAAAAATAAACCAAGGAAGCCAATGTCTCAAAGCTATCCCAGTAGACCGTGGAATAGAGAGGACGCGGAGAAAGCACTGAAGACTGAAAACGAATATAGGACAATTGAAGCACAGAGCTTAATAATTAAATTTCCTGATCCGGATCTAAATAAAGACATCGTTAGATCATTTCACCCCGGTATACAGAATGTACGTTTTCAAAGTCCGAGTGGACCAAGGTACTGTTTTATCCAAATGGCGAAGAATGTGAATATTGATGAAGCTATAAAAGATTTGGAGAAAATTCAATTTGGCATTGGATGCTTGAAAGTTGAAAGAAAATCGTTGAGAGATGAGGATAATCCTTTGCCTGAAGAGATAAACCCCTATACTTTATATATAGGAAACTTGCCTAAATACCTTAATGTAAAAGAACTGAAAAGTAAATTTCCAGCCGCACGAGTAGATGCTGGATACGCGCAAAAAATACGGCGGACACGGTGAGTTATGCATACACATTGTAGTTTGTATGGCGGGATTATTAAATTTTATTCTTGTATAATATCATGTCTATATTTTATTGCAGCTATGCTTTTTTAAGACACAATACTGTAGATGAGTCGATAGCAGCTTATAAACAAGCGCATGATATGATGTGGGACACGAGGAGTATTATTGTTAGATTTAGACGATTTGACAAGCCTAATGGTAAGAAAATTAAAGATGAGCCGAATAATGCTGCACAAGTGAAGAAGGAACAAAATACAAATCATGTTGAATCCAAGTCTAACGTTAATAAGCTGAAAGAAGAAGAAAATAATGCTAATCAAGTGAAAAAAGAGGATAAAATTAATCACTTGGACAAATCGCCGATTAATCAAGATACGGATAAAAGCAAACCGGTTTTGCAAGCTCAAAAGCAAAACAAGTCTTCCTCCCCTTCTTCTGCATTACCAACTTCAATTACTTCAGCTAAAACACCAGAAGAGCAACAACAACAACCCTGGGTAATAAATATAAAATCTCCTTACAACATTTTATATTGCATTTATATGTATTTAATTTAATTTGTATATTGTTTATGAAAATGTAATCATATTTGAAATATTATTACTGTTTTTTTTTGTAGACATCGCAGCCTCCTCAAATACCTTCAGCATCGGAGGCTCCGCCACCGTGTCTAACTGAGGCAGAAACTATCGAGAAAACGATGATGCTTACAGAAATCAAAGAGGAACCCTTGGATTATGAAGAGGTGGATATGTATAATATCCAATCGGACGATGACGACGATGACGACGATGACGAAGAACTGGAAGAAACTGATGATGATGAAGACAAAGATGACTTCCAAGACAATGATGAAGACGAAAATATTGATGATGATGGAAATATAACTTTCAGTGACAAACCGTTCGAAACAGCAGAAGATGACGAAGAACCAACAGATGTAAATATAACATGATTATTTATTTATATTAATTTTACATATCATTTTAAACTAAATTGATAATTTAATAATCAAGATGCAAATATTTTATGTATACTTTCTTGTTTCAGCATCTCGATCAAATGTTCAGCGACTTGGAGAATATGACAGGCGACATCGGTTTTTTTAAACATTGAACAATTTATCATTTCAATACATTTCGCATTACACTGATCCAATTTTTATAAAATTTAATTTCGTATGTAATATGTAAATATTACTGGTTACCTAATGTAAGTAAATGAGACTGCATGTATTTAATATAATAGTGTAAGCAATTATACAGTCGTATTTAAGAAGATTTTAGAATGACGCGCAAACTCCAACATCAAAGCACCATCATTTAGATGGGACTCTAAATGAGAGATTTACATGACCGACGTAATCAGTGTTACCAATTTTTATTAGTGTGACTATGTATATTTTATGTATAACATCTGGATTATATTCTTCATTTTATTATGATAATTTCTTGCAAATGTGATCTGTTTTTTAGAGAATTTTGTCTTTAGAGCCGTAACAGAAATTTAGAAATAAAAAAAGCATTACGTCAACCTTTTTGGTTATATATAATTGTATTTGTACTATCAATCGTATTATGTAATATTTTCTATTTTACAATATTTTTAATATTGAATATATAAAATGTCTCTTTATCGCATATTCCCGCAATGTATCTTTCTTTCGGTTTTCCTATTTTAAATTATATATGAGGCATATAAACAGCGATCTTTTCTTCTTCAAAAAAGTCTTTACGAATAATGCACATTGAATAATAAATATATTATATTTGCCGATATTATACACAAAGCAAATGACATATATTTGAAACTGTAATTTATGTAATGGAATATATATTGTTACTCTAAACATTACGATTCTTTTGAATGATGATTTGATAGAAAATGAACATTTTCTATCAAATCTGAGAATAGACAATAGCTTGTCATTTTTTATAAACATAATAAAATGACGTCTCGTATATTCTACATTATGAGAATATTTTTTTCGCGAAATTTTCCTCCAAATCTTGTAGCGTTAATTTTACACATGCATGTTTGGTTTTCGATTAAAACTTTTCAAAAATTTATATTGCGCTTATAGAAACCACATATTAAATAAGTACAATTAATCGTACGATGAAATTACTTATCTTTACAAACGCACAAGTGGTGATTTAATTACGTTTTATTTGTGTACATCACGCAAAGTTGCGCAATAAAATACCAAGTTATTGATTTGCGAACACGACAGCACGCGCGGGTGTATCGTGATCGAAATGGGAACTTGAAATCGACAATCGATCGCACGTGCGTGGCAATAACAGTATTCAGTAACAACGCGCTTTTTCACGTTCTTCAAATTTAGAAATCGTAGCACGTGCGATTAAACCTTTTAACGTGATATGAAAAAATAACAATGAGGAGGGTACGTATTGAATAATGTCTGTGCGTAATGTTCGATTGAATCTCTCGGCATTTGTCGCATGATTCTCTGACATTCATTTACATCTTGTTTTCGTGCTCCTCGCAATTGATATACCTGCGCTCATCTCGTGTGTGCGCGACGCGTTGCAAATCGATAGCCGGAAAAAAGGAGAAATATGAAGCCAGTGCCTCTGTGAACACTGTGGATAGCATAAACGAATGCGATGCGTTCGCATTTATGTAAAATAATGCACGTTGCATAACGTAATTTTACGTCGCACTGCGGGGTCGTCGGGTCAGGGTCATTTTTGTTTATTTATCCCGGAAAAAACATCGTGCGAGGGTTGGCATCCCTGACGCCTCCCTTTGTCGTATACATGCTTGCACAACGATGTGTTTACGTTGTAATTTGGGAAACGTTGCCTCCTTGTAAGGACGGACCACATTTAACGTGTCTGCAGTAATGAAGCGCGCGGTAATGTCTAGGCATACTTTTTAAAAGTGATACTGTGTGTCTCAATTTTGAATAGATTTCTGTTAAAAGAAAAGAGAAGAGAGGCTCCGACTTCTCGTGTTGTCATAACGTGATGAGTAGTGTGACGCGTTGTTTTTTTTTTTGTCTGTTTTCTGACAACATTATTTTAGGTTAACTTGTTAAAACTAGACAATATTTTTACATTCGATTCTGATATTGTGCGCATGAGAGAATGATTTCTGCCGTAACAAAGCTTTTGATTGTATATATTCTAAGTTGCAGTGTGCTTTTCCCGTTTTAATTCATACTTTGTGATCCTTAGGTATCGGAAGAAAACAGTGAAGCTAAAGGAACCTTTATCAAGCAACCTTTGTCTATCAACTTTGGATATGATGCTGCCTATGCCAACTATACTTCGCCACACACTCCTTCCACTGTTGCTCAACCTCTACCGGGACAGCCACCTTTACCTCCTATACCACCTCCACCAAGTGGAGTCCCACCTCCGCCTCATGTATTCGGACCAGTGCCTTCCCAAGTCGCTCCTATTCAAGCATGGCCACATCCACATGCTCAGTGGCAATGGATAACACCTCAAACATCCCCTTTGCCACCACCAACTCCTCGGGAGATTGATGGATTTTCAAGAGAGATGCCTCTAAGAGGTAATTATGTACGCCGGGAAAGATTTACTCACAATAGAAGTAATATGTATGTTCAGAGGAATAATTTTCACTGGAAAAATAGAAGACTGGTGCGGTTTGGACAGTCACAGGGTCAGTTTGAGCAAGCTGCGTATTTTGGGGCAACGTTGACGGGTGGTCTTGGTTTAGAATGGCAAAGAAATAATTATACCGCAACAACGAATGATGCAATAATAAATCATATGGCCCTTCCTTTACCTAATCATTCCATACCTCCCATTCCACCAGGAATCGTGAACAGCAGGCATGGTGAAGAAACGGAGGATCAGGATGTGAAAATTGTACTAATTAATATGCCTTAAACATCATATCAGCTTGTTACAAGTATAATTAATATGATCGAATTTTTCAGGAGAAAGTTATAGTAAAGAAGAAGAAACAAAGAAAGCCAATGCCTCAAAGCTATCGCAGTAGACCGTGGAATAAGGAGGATGCAGAGAGAGCTCTGAGGGTTGAAAATGAATATACGACAGTTAAATCGCAGGAATTAATAATTAAATTTCCTGATCCGGAGTTAAATAAGGATATTGTTAAATTATTTCATTCCGGTATACAGAACATACATTTTCAAAATCCTAGTAGACCGAGGTACTGTTTCATCGAAATGGGAAAAAATGTGGATATTGATGATGCTATAAAGGAATTGGAAAAAGTTCAATTTGGCGGCGGAAGCTTAAAAGTTGAAAGAAAGTCGTTGAGAGATGAGGATAATCCAATGCCTGAAGACATAGATCCTTATACTTTATATATAGGAAACTTGCCTGAATCCCTTAATGAAAATGAGCTAAAAAGCAAATTTCCAACAGCTGTACTAGTAGTAGGATATGCGCAAAAGATGAGGAACACTCGGTAAGTTATGCATACATTACATGTATACAGTTAATTTATATTTATATTTGTTGTAGCGAGGTTATTATTTTTTTATGATTCTGTACATATGCGATACGATGTCTTTATATTATTGCAGATATGCTTTTGTAAGATATAATAGCGTAGATGAATCAATAGCAGCTTACAAACAAGCACATGAATTGATGTGGGACACGAGGGGTATTATTGTCAAGTTTAGACGACTGCGAGGTAACGCTTGTATTCCTGGAGAGCCCAAACCTAATGTTAAGAAAGTAAAAGAGGAGCCAAATAATGCCACACAAGTGAAAACGGAAGGAAATGCAAATCATATTGAATCGAAGTCTAATATTAAAGACTTAAAAGAGGAAGAGAATAATGTTGATCAAGTAAATCAAGAAGATAAAATTAATCACGCGAACAAATCGCCGACGAAACAAGACACAGATAAGGTGGAAAAACGAGTGGAAAAACGAGTGGAAGAGCGAGTGGAAGAGCGAGTGGAAGAGCGAGTGGAAGAGCGAGTGGAAGAGCGAGTGGAAAATGATTCAAATCAAACAAAAAGTAAATCGGTTTCTCCAGTCTCTTCTCAAAAGCAAAACAAGAATTCTCCTTCATCTGCACCACCAGCTTCAATTACTTCAGCTAAAACAGCAGAAGAGCAACAACAACAACCTTGGGTAATAAATATAAAACCACGTTATGATACTCATTGCATCTGTGTAAATTTTAATTATTTCATATTATTTTTTCATAAAAATGTAATAATATTTGTGGATATATTATTTATGTTTTTGTAGACATCGCAACCTTTTCAAATACCTTCAGCATCGGAAGCTCCTCCGCCGTGTCCAATTGAGACAGAAGCTGCCGAAAAAACAATCATTCTTACACAGATTAAAGAGGAACCCCTGGATTACGAGGAGGTGGGCATGTCGTATAATATCCGTTCGGACGATGACGACGATGATGATGATGATGATGATGACGACGACGACGACGACGATGATGAAGAACCGGATGAAACTGATGACGATGAAGAACCGGATGAAAATGATGATTATGAAGAAGAGAAAGATGACTTCCAAAAGGATGATGACGACAACGATGAAGCTGTCGATGACGATGAAAATATAATTTTTAGTGAAAAACCGTCGGAAGCACAAGATGACGAAGAACCAACCGATGTAAGTGTAGTGCGATTAATTATTTACAATAATTACTTTATATATTGTTTTAAAATGCTAACTTAATTATTCAGTAATCCAGATGCAAACATTTGATATACTTTCTCTTATTTCAGCATCTCGATCAAATGTTCAGCGATTTGGAGAACATGACAGGCGATTTAAGTTTTTTAAAACGCTGAATGATTTATATATCGTTTCAGTAGACTCATATTACGCTGATCCAGTTTCTATAAAAGTTAGTTTCGTATGTAATATGTAAATATTACTTATTACCTAACATAAACAAATGAGACTGCATGTATTTAATATAGTAATATAAGCAATTATTATAGTCGTGTTTAAGCATTTTGTAATTATCATTTTTTCAACTGAATTTTAATGACTACCAGGCTTTGCAAAAGATTAGAAAATTATGTAAGTTATTATACCATTAAAATTATTATTTTGTATATTCTCTGCAGTGATCAATCTGTTTGTTGTTTATGTCAGCATTTTATTCGATAATCTTTTATATATATATATATTATATATATATATATATAAACAAATTTGTATACGAGGAATTGAACAAATGTTAGATTTATCTTCCACTTATATGTTACGAGTCCACAAACTGATGTCAATTATAATTAGGAGCTAATCTTACCATATTGCGAAAATATAGCATCTAATATTCTACGAATAATAATTCTTTTTTGCGCATAACCATTAAAAAACTGAAAGAATTTCTCTTTTATAATGTATTGCGTCGCGATTTGTTGCATATTCAAATACCGGAAATGCATCCCTGATAATTTAAAGGCGCCACCTATTTCCGCTTCAATAGGCAGCTACAAAAGCGCGGGTAATTGTTGTCCGAGGAAGCTGCGAGAATACTTGTTGCTTCGACTGGAAAGCAAATTGCGGGGTTTTCTACGAAATTCGTGTTGGCTGCTCGAAGTACTCGAGAATATCGAAATTTATCGACACTAGCAGACGAGTGACTAACAGCACGATGTTCGAGGCACGTCTCACACAGAGTGCGATCCTGAAGAAGGTGTTGGATGCGGTAAAGGATCTTCTAACCGAGGCAACGTTCGAATGTTCCGATTCCGGGATTCAGGTCCAGGCGATGGACAACGCGCACGTTTCTCTGGTCTCTCTGAATCTCAGAAGCGACGGCTTCGACAAGTACCGTTGCGACCGGAATTTATCGATGGGCATGAGTATCAGTTGGTGAGCCGCGATGACAATTTAAAGGTTATATACCGGGCGGCAAACAAAGAGAATCTGTTACTTTCGACTGTACTTCCTCTACTTTAAAGTAAAATAGATATGTATATATCTTGAGCTTTAAGGCGAGAGAAAACAGATCTGAAAGACATCTGAAATAGGAAAATTGCCACGGTAATCTTTGTGAGATTGTACGTATAATCAATTGTTATGAAATGCTTTCAGCATGTCAAAGATTCTGCGATGCGCTGGTGCGGAGGACACGGTGACCCTCAGGGCATGGGATAATCCCGAATCTATCATTTTTATATTTGAATCACCGAACAAGGATAAGCTTGCTGAATACGAGATGAAATTGATTAACATGGATCAGGAGCATCTTGGCATTCCTGTGAGACTCATTTACATATGAATAATGAGACTATATTGAGTCGCGTATCGTTGCTATTGTTTAATTATTATTTTTTTATAGGAAACCACGTACTCGTGTGTCGTGAAGATGCCATCTACAGAATTTACTCGAATCTGTAGAGATTTGAGCCAGTTTGGAGAATCTATAACTTTTGCATGTTCTAAGGAAGGTATTAAATTCAGCGCATCTGGTGATTACGGTTCAGGTAAGCTCATATTTTTTAGGAATATATATATATAGATAAACGATATAATGTATATATTATATAGTATGTCCTCTTACTTACACCAGTGAAATGTACTGTCAGCATCTTCGATATCGAAACTCGCCACGTATGGTATCTGTTGCACAGTAGATCGAAACTGACTGTAGGAGTTGATTTCAAATAAGCGTTATTAACTGGAAACATACTTAAAATATTTATCTTTCCTTTGAGTAAAGGTCATGTTGTGTATACTCTCTTATTTATATTTTCAACACTGAGATCACTTCTTGGAAATATTTGCAATCTAAATACATTTAGATTGTCCAGTTATAACAAATAAAGTAAATTTTCTAAACGCGTTTATACAAAGGCGAAAATTGAAAATTTTATATTTTATGAATAATGCTATAAGATGTTCTATCATAAATTATTCCCTTTTATTTCTTAAATTATGATTATATTAATAAAGTTTCAATTTGAATAATTAAATCTAAATTTTATTTATCTTAATTTATTTCCTTTAATTCAAGAAATAAAAGGGAATAGCTATTTATGTTGGAACATCTCAAGTGCATGTCATAAGTAATTTAATATATTCTTTTTATTTCTTTGCAGCCAATGTTAAATTAGCACAGACTGCAGACGCAGATAATGAAGAGGAAGCAGTAATAATTAACATGCAAGAGCCAGTAAAGCTAACATTTTCTTGCCGTTATTTGAATTGTTTTGTGAAGGCTGGTCCACTTTGTAATCAAGTTCAACTGTCTATGTCCGACGATGTGCCTTTAGTATGTGAATATAAGATCGGCGATATTGGACACATCAGGTATTATCTAGCGCCGAAGATCGACGACGAGGAAGAAAATTAAAATAGCGATAAGAATAAAAGTTCGTATACAATGAATTATAATTACCGATACCGTATTACGTTATTGATTGCTTTGGAAAGTCTTATCTGTTTAGCATTAGTTTTGACATTGTCATATTTATTTCAATAGAAAAAGATTAAATAGCTTGACATTTTAATTCCAAGGAAACAATGTCGTACATATATTTTAGTAATCGAGAAAACTAAATATTCCATTATTCAATATTGAGGTACAAGTAAGGCAAAATATGAAGTACTTTTAAGGTAATATATTATTTTAATTTTACATTTAAAAGTTATTTGGCTCGTCACAGTGCTAGCGCAATGCAGAATTGACACTAAAATTCATAGTAGAGTGACACAATCGTAATGATTAGTATAGCAAAATGGTGTCATCCTCTTAATTATTATTCACATTGTTACTGTTCCAGAGACTGTGACAGTATTTTGATAATATCGCATTATTTTTTATATGTAAGAAGAACTCAATATATTTTCAAAAAATTTGATAAATTTTGAATATATTATATGTTACTCTTATGTCCTAACCTAGATCGAAATTAAGTTTTGCTTAATGCAAGTATCTTACTTTTTATATGTTTGTGTGTATAAGCTACTTTAATATAAAAATACATAATTAACTTACGAGCTGAGGGAATAAGAGGGCTATCTTGGATGGAATAGCCTAGAAGTATACAGTTAAATCTTACATAATTTGGATTTCGTATAATTATTCTAAATAATTAAGTTAATAATTGTTAAATATTGATTTATACTATAGAATTATTTTACATGCAAGCACTCCTCGACAGATCTCTAAAAGATAAAGTCATTAGCATTTGTCCTTTGTATTTAACTAAATTCTTTTTTTTTAAATAAAATAAATAACTTTTTTTACGCGTGCACTATATTAGAAGTGAAGAAAAGAAAGTTAAAAACAACCAAATGAGACATTTTTGGCAATATTAATCAGCCTCTTTGGTATTAAAGCCCTGGTATTGCTTTCTTGTCATAACTCAATCGAAAACTGTTTAACGAGAGAGGAGAGCTCTATTATTTTATACATTATTAAAAAGAAGATTATTATATTATAAAGAACGCGAGATTATTACCTTTTAGAAAAAATAGTTTGTATAGATTTCTCTCCAATATGCATTGTAAATTTTTAAGATGCGCTCAGTTAGCTTTTCCGGTGGAGATTCACACAGCTCTCTACTTACAATCGGTTACTTTGTCACCACACATCTTGCTCTGATTTGGCATCCTTTTTATACGTTATAGATACGCATTCAGTCTACATAGACATAATATTGAATATACATAAGATGCTGTATGGTCTCTCCACGACTGAGACGCTATATGCAGAACAGAAACAGATTTACGCATCGGAAAGGAAAGAGAAGGGCTTTTAAGTGTTCTTACAACCGTTGCTCCCGTATAAGCTGGGATGTACATATTTGTCATGCAGTGTCCTTAAATGCCTCAGTAGATTGCTCTTTACGTTGAAGCCTTTTTTACAGTAGGAACAGAGAAAAGGCTTCTCGCCCGTATGCGTTCTCTGGTGGATCACCATCGACGCGTGACTCGGGAATTCCTTTTGACATATGTTACATAACTTTTGGTGATTGTGAACCCTCTTCGGCTTAGGGGGCGCCGAATTGTTCATCAAGGCCAACTGCTCCTCCGTGTGCTCCGTCTGTATGTGGCGCACCCATTCCTGCGGCGTGGAGTACATGTTGCCGCACAGATCGCACTTCAGAGGCGGGAAGTCCTTGCTGTCATCGCTCATGTCGTCCTGAAACCCAAGTAGTTTTTTTTTGTTTTTTTGTTTTTTCATAATATCTGCGTATCATCGTACACGTGCATCGTATTGTATTATGAGGAATTAATAATTACTTTTCGTTTCTTTCTCCGATTTTCAGTCATGTCAGCGTGCGTGTATTCTATATGTCTCACCCAATCCGACGGCCTGTTGAACGTTTGACTGCACATGTCGCATGTCAGTGGTGTATACTCCTCCTCCTCCATATCTCCATCCTCATCCGCGCTGTGTACGATTTCCTGCAAAGAGAATGGAAATCGTTATCACCGCCAATCGCTTCACGATATCAAAAGAAGTGAGTGGATCATCCTTATTTTACGCACCGGTTTTATATCGATCTCATGGTCTATCGTAAGCGACTCCGACGGATCGATCGACTCTTCCCAATCGATCGGCTCGTCCTTCACTAGCAGTTCTAAGTTTAATTCAGTCTGGAAAGGAGGAAAGAACATATTAAACTTCATGCTGTCAAACTAGAGCGTTTCTTCTTTACAGCGTTACTACAACTAAACCTAAAGAACTGCCTCACATTTTCGCTTTCACTCTTCGACTTATTCGACTCGACGTCGCTGCTGACGCTTTTCTTCTTCTTTCCGTTCGTCTCGAGATTCTCCTTATTTTTGGTCTGCTCATTATTTTTGTTCTCTTCTGAGGTTTTTTTGGTTTCAGATTCGTTGACCTTTTCCTCGTTCTTCTCGGTGCTTTTCCTTTCGACCGGCTTTGGGGACTGTACATTATTTTGGCAGGCCGTGGCCGTCTGTTGCGTGCTTTCGACCACCTTCTCCGGAGTCGGCTGTATCAGCTTGATTTTTTGTATCTGACCGGTGAGTTGCGACGGTTCCCGCTTGTCGCGCTCGATTTTCTGATTGTTCGATTGTATGTTTTCCTTCTTGTTGCTGCCGGTGTTCGATCTCCACAGTCCACGCACACGCAATATATCGCCGGCTTTCAAGACTCCCTCCAGTTGATCGTTCGTCACGGTAGCCTCACCACTGTACATGTACTGTATCAGGATTTTTAGCGTGCGGTATCCAATTTCTGTGGGCAACACCTAAAGCACAGAATAATACCGTTTCGAATTGACAATGGATTCGCGATAGCAAGTAAAATGAATGATAACGATAAAAAATTCGGTGAATTCGATACCAACCACAATTATCGGAGCATTGGTGTTCGCGCCGAAATGGCATGTCTGAAAAATATGACTGAGATACGACGAGCAAGCCGCGAGGACGAATCGATGAGCCGCCACGTGCCGGCCGCAGGATGTAGCCAGTAGAACGTCAGCGAAGGACTCCGAGTGAAGCAGCGTCGCGACGGAGCTGTGCAGATGCGCTCCGTAGCTGTGCCACTTGAGTTGATAATTCTCCGAGGCGGCGATGGCCATCTTTTCTGTATCAGACAAAAGTGATATGTTTATATTAAAAGCAATGTAAATTATAATATATATGAAAATTCCAAATTATTAAGAATCATACAACATTAGACTTTTAGGCCAAAGCAGACGATAGTGCTTATTTACTAATGCATGTTTATATTTGCAAATATAAATCATCTGTCTTGGCCTAAAAACCCAATGTTGCATAATTTTGATTATTAAATAATGTAGATCTTCACAATTTTGGTTTTATCAAAAGTATTATTTTGCGCTAACAATTTAACTTACTTAATAATTACTTGCAAACGCAATGTAAACATTGACTGATAGTCAGAGATGACATTTATTATTAGTAATGTAATTGTGAAATTTTTTTTTTAATGTGTCTGTTACGAGACGAGCCTGTTGCGCGGCAATATACTCTTATTGATAAATCGATAATAAACCGATTAAATTATATAATTCGGCAGATTGCAACAACGAATCACTTTTCGCCAATTTTGTCGTTTTGCGCATTCTTTCTTGTATCGATCTCTCATCGCAATTAACGATTGCGGATAATTATCTGCAAAGACGAGAGAAGCTAACACATCGCCCTCTCGCCATGATCCGTCTACCATCATCTCGCAAAAAGCGTCGCGATCTAGCGAATGATCTGCGATTTCGAGTGATCTACAGAAAACAAAACGCGATTTCTTTTTATCATATTGACTCTATCTTTTTACCGCAGTTCATCAAAGGTCGAAAGGTCCGTGCCACTCCGTGCTGCAAGATCAAAGCTACAAATCGCTCCAAATCGATCGAAGAAATATTATTCTAGGCGACTATAATACTCGAGTGTGCGAGAACGTTAATCCTCTATTCGCGAGTTGAACTGTCAATTGTGCTTCCTCGGTCACGTTTGCTACGATCCGCTACGTCGTCGTCATCGTCGTCGCCGCCCGTATACAGATCAATGCAGGCCGATAAGTCGCGCAACGTGATAATTCGCGCGCGGTGTCACTCTCTCTCTTGACCGTCGCGATTTCCCCTGCGATCTCCGTGTCTCGTCGCGCGTTAATCAAATTTGCAAACTCAATCAGGATGCACAGGAAGTTAGAGTCGATCAGCCGTCCTTTATTAGCGAACGATACCCGACACCTATCATTCGCACCCTCTCGCGACGTCGGGAACGCGTGTGCTATTACTCCGCGAACACATCGGAAACACTTGACCGCGTCCGTGCACCGAGGAACCGCATTGATTATGCTCGTTGACGGACGTCCGCACGCGTCGTATCACTCATGAATCATCCACGGGGAAGAAGAGAATGCGTCGCGACGAGCCCTCGATCGCTCCCCTTCTCTCTCTCTTTCTCTATCTATATATCGCTCTCTTTCTCTCTCTCTCTCTCTCTCTCTCTCTACCCATCTCCAGCCAGACGTCGTCTTTGCCATTGTCGCGATTTACCTGAGAACATCGGCGCACCAGTAACGATTTCTGGATCCACTCCGACGATCTATTCGAATGCGCGATTCACGCGACGATAAAAGCAACGTGCGATGGGCAACGAGAGCAACGGTAACGTCGACGAAGACGGGGCTGCGTGCACGAGCGCGGCGTATCTCGCGCGCGTCGTCGGTGTTTTGAAAGGCGCTTGGCGCGGACAGGACGGGGGCACGGGGCAGATACGAGCATCGAACGAACCGCCGCGTAGGGGCCTAAAAATCGATATTTCGGTCTTTGCTCCATCCTCTCCGCGCGCCGTGCGGCGCGGTGCGGTGCGGCCGTGGCTCGGCGGCTCGCCGGCTCTCGCCGGTTAGAGAGGTAGAGGTAGGAGTGTGCCCCCCTGTGTTCATCATCGATTTTCCCGGCTACCAATCGCACGCATCCATTTATCGCATCGATCGCCCGAGCTGATTTCAGCGTTTGCGTCCGTCCGTCCATCCGCCCGCTCCACGACGATTCATGCACCCTCCCGACGATCCCCCCTCCCGCGCGTCCGTTCTATCAGCCCTCCCCGCGTTGCCGGTACCCTTTCCGCGACCCTACCCCCTTGTTGAGGCGACCCTCGCCACCGCTGCCGTTGCCGCCGCTGCCGCCGCCGCCGCTGCCGCCGTCGCCGCTTCGGCTGTACCTTCGATCGTAGATATGACTCGACTCGAGAGACCCGTCGAGGGTCGCGCCAACAGCGAGACCGACCTCGCGGCCGCGCGATCCTACACGATCGCGTCCGCCGACTTTTTGATGCCTGTTGATATCCCACTGCTTCCGGCAGCTGCGTTTCCTCGCTCGAGAGCTTTTATCTTGTAGAAGCGGAATGTCGGAGCGGCGAATGTCAATCCGATTTATCGCTAGGTATTGATTATCTGTCGCTTGATGATCTACTGTCCAGACGAGGAATCTGCCTTGTCCACTAACCACGAGGGTTCTCGCAGTTCGTTTCTAAAAAATTTCAATAAATTATTCGAAGAAAGCATTCGCTATCTCAGATCGATTTGGAGTCGTTTGTAATCTTGATTCTTTTTTAGAATATCTCGTTAAATATAGAGTTAATGCGGTAAAAACAAGAAATTAATAATTACGAAATTAATATGCAACATGCAACGTGCTCTCTCTCTCTCTCTCTCTCTCTCTCTCTCTCTCTCTCTCTCTCTCTCTCTCTCTCTCTCTCTCTCTCTCTCTCGACATATTGAGTTGTGAAAGAACCGCGTTTAAGCGTGTTGAATCACATTGCCAGCTAAATTCCAGCATCCACTATAATTAAATTTAAATCATAAAGTAATTTTACAAATGTAATATTACCTGTGGACGTGATTATATTTGGTAAAATTACTGAACACTGTGTCACCAATGTTAAGAGGTTGCACACGACTAGTTGCGATAGACGTGCGTACACGACGCGGCGAAGGATCTATAATGGATCCTTTCGGGCTTTGTCATCCAGCTCGTGGAAGTTTTGCGATCGATGTCGTCCGTGCCCGAAGATGGCGTCGGTGATGGAATTGTTCGATTTTCAGGATTTCCTTGGTCACATGTATACCTACATGCGCTGTGTATGTGCGTGTGTGTGTATATATGTATCTGTGCGGTGCGCGGCGACGTACCGCATTGCGTCGACGACCCATTTTGCAACGGGGGCGATAAGTCGCGCTTTCTCTCTCGCCACCCTCCCTACCGTTAAATAATCAATCTCGCGGCGCCCGCTGATCGAGACGCTTTCGGAGACGCCTTTTTACCTGCCGGCGCTACAAGAAGGGGGTTAGAATGCATCTCGACGTTCTTCGGCGTCGCGTCCTTTTTCCCGCCCTGCATCTGCATCATGTTCCACGCTTTCAGCGCTATATTTCCGCACCTAACTTCGATTTGGCGAAATCCGGAGCTCGAAACTATACGAATATCGTAAAAAAACAACTCGATCGCAATGTTGACAGAAATCAGATGATCAATGATCGATTCGCGCGAAAGGACGAGCGTTTGAATCGTGATCGTCCGACCCGCGCTCGGGTCACATGGTGTCAAGTCACGTGGCGTTTCGCATGTGCCTTGCGAGGGCGCTGTGCGCGCCTTTTTTTTTTGCGAGCGAACACGTCGGGCAACAGCGAAACTTCACAACAGTCCGTGTTCCGTAAATATGCGCGTTATTGTCATCGGCCAGGGGCACATCGCGACGTCGATGACGACAATGATGACGATGACGATGTGAGAGGATGCGGTGATTTACCGGAACATAGCGTGTGTCGCGAATTTCGTGAATGGCCAATAGTGCTGGATCCGCGAGTGGCCTCGCTGACCCAATTTTGACAAACGAAGGTCCTTCCTTCGCGGCTATGACCCTTCGAGTGAACCCTGTCGTCGGAGTCGCTGGCCTTTGAAAAACGGACGATGACGATGTCGCGTGGGGAATGAAACTTATGACGATTTAAGCTGCGTTTAAAGAAAATAAAATTGTTTCGTGTGCTGACTTTACTTCAAGGATGTTGCGGACTCCTCAACTCTAGAATATAGTAGTTACGTTAAGAACATTAGGTTAAGTGGACAAAGCGAATTTGTCCTATTCGCAAATGGTTCGATTTTAATCGCCGTATCGCATACCCTAAGCTCAACAGTCGATCCCTGACGTTGCAAAAAAAAAGTGGTGAATAATACGTGGATGCTGCAGCTGGTTTCTGCAGCGTGTTTTGATTCAGGGACCAGAAGAATCAGTCAAGATGAAATATGTTTGTTCAAATTCTCAAGCAGGAATGTCGAAGAAATACAGATATACGATTGTGATAAATCGCCAGTCGATTCGCAGCCGAGATTTGTATGTTTATACATGGCAGTACATGAGAGGAACTTTATCATCCAGCAAGATGCCTCATGTCACACGAAAATGGGAGCTATTCCCAGGCAGAAATCGCTTTTGTTGCGATGGCAGAGTAATGATGGCACCACAGACTGGAGTATTCTACGTTACTGTCTGTCTTATTGTCGGAACCAGTGGATTATTCTTTGGTTTGGAGTAAGCATCATGATATTGCATATTATATTTGTTCTTAAGCACCAAGGTTAAGTAGTATTATTAAGTAACTTATCTAATCTATATTAGTCATTGCTCAGGTATGCTTGAAATAGATTGCGAAATTAATTAGGAATAAAATTAATATATTTTTAATTATATCAAAATGTGATTTCAAATCGTTTTCTTCTAGTTGTCCATATTTGGCACTACATGTAACACCAGCAATACCAGTAGTAGGAGCATTATTATTTATATTTGTGATGTCTGCTTTATTCCGCACAAGCTTTAGTGATCCTGGAGTAATTCCAAGAGCAACACCAGACGAAGCAGCTTATATTGAAAAACAAATTGGTATAAATATAATTATATTTATAGAAATAGCAGTTTTATTGCTTTACATAATTATTTTATGCTAATGATACTTAATTGTGAGGAAATAATGAAGAATCGTGTTTATTGTATGTTATAAATGCTAAATTAAATTGTTTTTTATGTTGGGTTATAGAAGTACCAAATAATGGTAATTCAAAAACATACAGACCACCGCCTAGAACAAAAGAAGTCTTGATTAGAGGACAACCAGTAAAACTGAAATATTGTTTTACGTGTAAAATATTTAGGCCACCAAGGGCCTCTCACTGTAGTTTATGTGACAATTGTGTAGGTATGTATATCTGTTTTTTTCCCATCAAAATTAGATATATTAATTTTCTTCTCATCGTTTTATATTATTAGACGCATATCAAATTAATTTTATACGATGAGCATAATATTAGTTTAATACACAAGGTATTATTTTAAAGATAACTTTTCTTTTTTCAGAGAGATTTGATCATCATTGTCCATGGGTTGGAAATTGCGTAGGGAGAAGAAATTATAGATATTTTTATGCTTTTATAGTGTCCTTGGCATTTTTTTGCGTTTTCATATTTATATGTGCAGTCACACATTTGATTATGCGTAAGTGTTTTGACTTCGGAATCAATAACTGAGTAAACACATCTTAAGAAAATTGAAGTATAATATTTATAACATCTATCTGTTTACCACTCATTATGATTATAGTTACAAACGATAGCAAGCCTGTTTTAGAAGCTATTAAATTATCTCCGAGCAGTATTATTGTGGCAATCGTGTGCTTCTTTTCTGTTTGGAGTATCATAGGCCTTGCTGGCTTCCACACATATTTAACCAGCAGCAATCAAACAACCAACGAAGATGTAAGTAAATTTGACAAAGTTATATATCTATAAATTATGTTTAACAACTATTTTTAATTGTTGTTGCCATCACAGATTAAGGGATCATTCACGAATAGAAGAGGGCAAGACAATTTCAATCCCTACAGTCAAGGAAATATATGCGGAAATTGTTTTTATGTGTTATGTGGACCAGCTCCACCTAGCTTAATTGGTAAGATCTTCCCGCAAGATGCGTGATATTAATTTATGCAAATGCATGCAAGTCACGGAATCAGGAGAAATAATACACTCATGCTCTCATTATTCTCTATTAAATTCTGAGATCATATTGTTTCAGATCGAAGAGGAATAGTTACACCTGAATATCGCGCGGAACAAGAACGGCTTGGTGATGATAATGTGATTGCTAATAATAAGACGTATGGTACTGCCAAAATTGTGCAGCCTCAGGTAGATATTACAGATTGTAGTACTAATTTCTATTTTATTTTGATAACACAGCTAAATACGATAGTTGTTTAGCGAGTAATTTACGCGACGATACATAATTTGCTTTTTATATTTTATTACAGCCGAATGGTACGACGGTTCAAACAAGTCCTACCATGGATCTCACGGGCTCAATGAACAATCTGATCACCGGTCAGCATTCCCCAAGGATAGAATCAATAAACGGTGAGTTGACTCTATTGAGGCATCCTGTGCATTGTCCCGAAGAGCTACCGAAATATCCGCGCCAATACATAAACGATACTTATGTGCCGCCATATCCGGCACAACATTGCTCTCAGGACTCGATGAAGCATATTAAATACACCACCGAGATAGATCGGCTAAATCCAGACTTACAGAAATATCCATGTAGATGCGAGGAGGGTTTGCACAAGTATCCTCACAGATGTAGAGATGAATATCATAGATGCTCGGATAACAATCTTATATACGATCAGTGCGTAGATCCGAAATACGGCATTGATCTTCAGAAGTATCCTCAGCGATATTCCGAGGATCCTTTGGATTACAAGATAAGCGAAAAGAACGGTTACACCGATCTGCAAAAGTTTCCCCAATGTTACTCCGAGGATCCGCTGCGACTTTCGCAGTCCCCGCATATGCTTAAGTATAACAATTTGAGGTGCGCCGATCACAATTTAAAATATCCGATGTCAAAGAATATTCTGCCGGCGCGTATATTAGGTACGGGCGGTATACCGATTATCGGACAGACCGCGATTGGTCTTGTGGTCAATAGATTCGGCTCTGGCCCACTGACGAATAATTTATCGTACGCGGATAATTCGTTATGCCCGAGCGATAGCACGGAGGAAGATCTCTTGAATCGGCGTTTCATCATGAGTTCACTGAGTGATAACGAAGACATTTAACGTCTGTTATAAATTAATGTTTTTTAAATATATAATTCGGTTAAATTCTCACAAATATATAATTCGGTTATATTATACAAATAATGAAATAATGATAATTATACTCCTCTACCAAAGAAATTGTGGACTCATAATTATATTAGAAAGCTTTAACAATTAAATCGTGATTCGTCCTAATCTCGAAATCTCTCTCACACTAAGAAAGTGCACCGATTTGTATATATAAATGACTATATAATTGTTCTCGATTCCTTTAACAGGGAATTATAAAAAAAAAGTTATATATACAAATATGCCAAGAAGTTGAATTTAATTGTTGCAAAAAGAGATCTATTTATTTTTTGAGAGTACCGTTTTGCATTACACATAGATTTTTATTTTAAAAATAATATGTATATTATGGTTATGGTGGTATATAAGTGAGTTAAGGTATAAGACGCGTGTACCAGTTATGTTTACTTGTGGCTTCTTAATAGTACATCATTTTCCTTAATTTAAGTTTTGTGTGTATTACAGGAAATAAGTTTTATCGAACTTTGAAAAATATGTCACTCCTGCTTCATTCAATATTCTCAGTTTAAAAATCACTTCACATATTTCATGTAAATTTTCGTAGTTGCGTACTTTTTATTATTCTTACTATGAGGACAGACAAAAGCGCGTAATATGTCAAGATATATTCTTAACATATTTCTTTAAGGCTGAATTTCTTTTATTAATCGAAAAGTTTTCTTTAGTACGTATATATACAAATGTACTTTTATATATATCTAAGTTTTTTAGCAATTAGTAAAAGTTGAACATTATTCAATAAATTGTATTTCTTTACTGTTTAAAATAACGTCCTGTCGAGGGCTCAGAGCGTACTACTTGGTAAGTTTATTTTATACGTTTTGACCATTATTGAGTGTATGTTTTTAATATACGAATGACCTGATTATCTCTTCGCTAGTATTAATATATTACTATACGCGTGATGTGTTTGTTTTTTTTTATATTTTTATAAAACTAATTTTGGAACACTATTAATTACAGGGTTTATGGTTTGTGACTAATTAATTGGGTTTTACGGGCAGGATAAGATTTTATATAATTTGTAAATAAATTAATAGGGATATACACAAAGTGTATCAAATTTTTTTATTTTTATTGAAAAAAAACTCAAATTTAATCTAATAATATTTCATCTTTTAATGTCTTTTTTTACAAATTTGAAAAAAATTGGTAAGAGTCTTGTATATCAAATAATGTGAAAAATATGATTTATAATCAATTCTTATTTTATTATACATAAACGGTTGCAATGTTTAAAAAGAATTTTTCGCAAGGCTACATTTAATATAGGATGTTAGTTTATGAAATATAGGAATGGAGAACTGACACATTATCAAATGGGTAATAAAGATTATGGGTAGAGCTTATATTCGGTTTTGCTGATAATTTTGTGTGTGAGAAACACAAGGCCACAATGCTGCACTTTTCTGGTAATAATTGTACAGTGTAATTTGTTTTCTCTTTTTCCTCAACACTAAAGGAGATTTTATAACAGCTTGTCTTTCACAATTTAATAGCAATTATTATATTTTAATGCTGTATGTGCACACTTTGTACAAATCGTCCATACAACACCATAGATAAAATCGAGATGCTTATCTGCCATTATTATTTTGCTTTTAGGTAGTACGACAAACAGTATAAGTCAACTTGTTACCAACGAAATACCGCTAGCGTCTCTCAATATAGCACCAATTGATATCGACGAAATCGCTCCGTTGCCTCCTCGTCAGAGTGTCGTGGCCACTTTGGATACATCTTCAATACCAACGGTAACTGTAACAACTCCTTTGTCTGCGTCTAGACTTAGATTGTTGCAAGACACGACTATGATAGAGTCCGCCTTAGACTTGGATTCGTTGGAAGATACAAGCGTTGGTAGAGGAAGTCAGTCAGGACTTATAAAAATGGGTGTAGTATAAAATTCTGCTATATTTACAGGCCTTAGAGATTAAGAATGATCAATTTTTGTCTCATGGATAGTGCAGTGTTAACGTCGCATATTGAATCAAAGCATGAAGTGCAATATTTGTTTGCATCTTCGTTGAGAATAATTCATATACGAAACGATAATTATATGCAAATGTAAAACATATTAGTCATTAATTGCAAGGGCTAGATATTTACAATATTATGCTTTTTCGGAGGAAAAAGTGATTTCAAGAGATTTTCGAAAACTAGGCAATTAAGTTGAAAATCTAAACAACCAAAACGGCCGAATTTATGGTTAAAGTACAAATATAATTATTTATATAATTAAATTTGTATAATTCATTGCACATAATTAAAGGCTTTCATAATTTCCTATTACTGCACTATTTATTACATCATATTCATATTCATATTTAACTGTAATAATCACAGTTAATATATTCTTTTTGCTTTCCAAAATATTTTTCTGCGTTAAATTGTTAAAAAATTTTTATGGATTATAAAAATTTTAGGACTTTGAAGAGTATTATTAATATGTTATTTAATTTATTATTTATATTTAAAATTTTTGTGATTCTACGAGAAAAATGTTTAACGGTAAAAAATTATAATATAATATAATTAAAGAAAATGTGATGTATTATACTTAATTTTTTATCCAAATTTAAGTTATGTTTAATATGCATAAAAAAATTTATTTTGTTGGTTGTTTATGGCATCTAATCGTTAGAAATATATATATATTTTGCAATATTTCACATATGTATATGTATGATATCAGAATTGATGATTTTACTACAATAGATACAAAAAGTCAATAGCCATGTGTGTACAAATCATATTTCTAACACCTGTGCTTATACTTAAAGACAAAAAGAATCAAAGTACGAAAAAGAAAGACGGAGAGAAACATAATTTTCAGTAAGTAAACACATTATTTATTGCAGAAGAATTATTGCAAGATTATTTCTTGTTATTTTCTCGATATTCTTAGAGATATTGTCTTTTTGACGGAATTTGTCTCTTGTACAGTGTAAAAAGTTTTGTAAATAAGATTTTCATACACGTTAGCATAGTTTTACAGATATTTACAAAATTTATTAATGCAATGCAATTAATAGCAAGCATTTGAACATTAGAATTATCACTGCCTGATTTATTAACAAATTTTGTATCAAAATTGCATGCTATTACCTAATTTGGCATTACTATGCGATAGATTATTCATATATGAGTAATATTGACGAATATATTATCAATAGCAATTGTCATATTAATGATATAAGGATTGCCATTACGAAGACTATAAATACTATTCTTTTGTATATAAGATATGTATATGATACTGTATATGTAGATGTTATAATAAAATCCATATATAATATAATGCAAGTTAAAAATATTTTGTAGTACTTTATTGTATTTCCTCAAAATATATGAATAAAAATGAACAACTTCAACTATATACCTTGCAAAAACCATATACCTTTTATTCTGTAACAATCTATAAACAGCAAAAATGTAATTTTTGTTTCATGTGACTAAAATTATATCCTATTTTTATAAATACAAAATTATATATTATAAGAATGCCATCTTATAATTTTATATGCAACATTAAAACAATATGTACTGTGTTAACTTTCAAATTGTGTATTAAATAATTTAATATTTTTACATCAAAATTTACAAATGTGTGTGTGTATTACGTAGTTTCAAAATAATATACTGTTTATTGCGTATTGTATATTGCACGATATACAATAGTTAAAATCTTATGTGCATTATTAATAAAATACGAATATATATTTTAAATGGTGAGTTGATGCACAAGAACAGCTACCACCAATATAATAAGCCCAACGCTTATGCCGGTAAGACAATAGGCCATTTGATGATTTCTGTTTGTATCAGTATTATTGTCTGACAATTTAGTATTGACATCACTTTGGCAGTAAAATTCTGTAGAATCTGTGTTAATAAATTCAGTTGCAATTAAATAAAGATATTTGAGACTTTAAATTATTTCGATAAAACTTACCAGCTTGTAGTTCCACTTCCTTTTGGACTTGACTCTCTTGCACTTCGACATCCAGAAGCTCTTGCAGTGACCGTAACGCTTCTTCCGGCCCTTCTCCAGGGAAGAGATAATCCGATAATGTGACTTTATTCTCCGGTAACGCTATTAATACTCTTCTTGGTGGTTCATGCAACGTGATATCCTCTGAAAACAAATTTGCAGAAAATTTGTATTTACGTTATATATCTTTTACAAATATATTTGTGACTAACCTTCGGGATAACCAAATTCTTCCTCTATTAAACTATCCCAGTGCATTTCCAGCCTGCTTGCCAGAGATCTCATGATATCTTGTTTCACAGCCATGTTAGCTTCCGCAATACCAGCTTTCTGATGTACAAATGTTCTACTGACTAATTGCCCGATAAGTCGTATCGATGCACTGCATGATGTTATTCTTATATCCGACTTAGTATCACTTTGCGACTGTAACAAGATAATAACAATATAAATTGTAATGAATAAATTTTACAATTACGTTTGTAAGATTTAAATAAATTTACTCATACTCACACAGGGAATGTACAAATTAACTTGAAGCGAATTGCTGTTATCATTTTTCTTATTTTTACACTCTTTGCTGTCCTTTTTTCTTTTGCTAATTATTTCCAGCGTATCGTCCGGAGATCTGACTTCTCCCTCAATAACAACAAGCGAAGAATCGATTGTATCTGCCACGCTTGTCAAGATATTCTATGAGATTTATGTTTTTAGTTTATGCAATATTACACAAATAATATATTGTTTATTTTTCAATACCTGTAACTGTTTTTTGAGAGTTTCAGGATCCTTGTCTGCAGCGATAAGATATAATCTGTCAAAGTCTACAAAAGCTTCGAGTTGGTGCCATTTGGTAGACTTTTCTTGAAATTTCCAGTCAGCTGGTTTTAATATGCCATCTTTAGCAACATCTATAGACTTGCAAACGTATCTGAAAATACAAGACTCTAATTATTAAATAAATTAAAATATGATATACCTTAATTTTTAAGTATCTAAAGCAGCATACTTTTGTGTGATACTGTTGAAACTTAATATAAGTTTTTCATCTTGATTATTTCCATAAAGGTGCTTATTATTCCAAGACAAAGTTTTGTGAATTGCACTAAGAACCGATTTAATTTTCTGTACATTACTAGTATTATCTAAAGTATCCTCAGGTCCAACAATAAATACACCAAGTACCCACATTCCACCAGGTAACATTCTTGTAGCCTGTGAATAAAATGAAATATGATACAGTCATAAATATCTCTATATTATACTATCAATAAGTTACTGTTCAATATGCAATTCCTTATTTTTTAAATTGCTAGTTAAAATAATTAGATGTTTTCACAATCGATTGTTAAAATATTCACATACTGCAACAAAGTCTTAAACTATTTCTAAATCTATTACATTATTTTAAGATAGAATATCATACTTTTGTTCAATTTTTTATAAATAAAAGCACTGTTTTTATCACTTGTTTAACACGTTCCATGCCCAGCCTGTTTTTGCGTTACCACCAATAGCTGATGCTGGTGTATTTATTATTTGAGCGCAAAACGTATATATTAAATTTAAGATTGATGTATTATCAAAATAGTGTAGAACAAAAGAAATAAGTTGTGAAATGTTTTATGATAAGGTATTTGTTTATATAAAATATATTAAACAGCCTGAATGAAAAGTTCAGCGCGGGCCATTGGTGGTACACAGGACACTGAACGTGTTAATTATTTCTGCAGCAATTAACCAATTTATAAAAATAAAAGAAATTAAATTTTATTATATAATATTAACGTATTATGAAGATCGTGACATACATGTTTAGCATGATCAGCCACCCAGCTTATAGGTATATCCTTGACAGATTTAATATATGTATTTGCTACATCCTGTTCTGCAGGTTCCGTAGAACTAATTAATGTCTCTTCCACAACATTTTTAGTGAGAGGAGGTGGAGTCTTTGCTAAATGCACTATGTAGTCTTTCTGTCCAGAGCTCTATATCAAATAGAAAAAAGCATATTAGAAAATTCTGTGTACATTTATAGGATTTTAAATATTTATATCTAGATATAAATTTCTAGCAGTTAATTTTTAGATTCAACAGTAAAAAAAAACAAAATATGAATTAGTAATATTGCCTATTTGTGTGAACTTTGATAATTTAAATTTAATGCAATTTTAATGAACCACATGTTTTTCACTTGCTCATTGCATATGTTAAAGTGAAAACAGATTGATAATTGACACTTGACACGAAGAATTAAAAAATGTGAAAATCAAACCTGTCCCAAGATCAATCCTATTACATATCCATCTGGCTTCGTTAAAGATGCTAAATACGTGCGAAGATGCTGTTCAACATAAATTGTTCGTCCCATTTCCTCGTATTATGCCTCTTGACAGAATAATAGCAATTCACGTGTGATTGCCGACAGGCCTGTAAAAGTTACGTTCAGAAACACACGCAATAATACGTGAAGACACGGCCCGTAACAGCAATGGAGGAAATAACGCACACAATCAAGAGCCGCGTATATATGCACTCCGCACTTCGGCTGACTTCGAATAGCGGAAGAGAAGAGCAGATATACTGTTTTTTTCTGTCTCGTTCGTGTGCGTTACGTTGGGCCGCGTCTTCAGTCTAGCATTACTGAACACGCAACAAGATATCGTTGGTAGTTCAAGTCTGTTTCTGCAATCTTAATGTATCCAGATGTATCCCCGAGACACGAACCCGCAAGTGGGTTTCGAAATTCAAGTACCCTGCAGCCTGCACGTGCTGCGTCTAGCGTCTATGTCGACGTATATATGTAGTTGTGCGTAGAATGCGTAGAAACAAGTTGACGACATGAATTATTATTCACTAGCATTCATCGTTATCGACACTGAATAGAATAGACGTGATAAAGGTTACAAAGGTGACAAACTAAACGCAAGTATAGTGCAATCGCATTTAGTTGTGTGATATTACGTGATAGATACGTGCTGTACATAGCTAACGAAGATTTTCATTTATTTTAAATAACAGCTGGATTAAAGTCGTTGAAACACTGCCTGCCGTAATCACAATACGGTTTGCATATGTAGCGCTTTAAAATGGTGAATATTGTTTGAAAAGCAAGAGTGGATAATGTATAGTGTTTCTATTTTCTTACTTATTTTGGCAGTATGGATAGATGGATTTTCTCTGGAAGATGTGTATTGCAATGTGAGTTATACAACATACTTATTTATCTTGAAAGTAATACGTAATACTGTTAAGAGTTTGCAGCTTGTTTATTTTTTGCAAGTGGCAATAGATAAGTGCTGTTTGACATCAGTAAGAAATAAAAATATATACCATTAAGTATACTTATTTTGTTTTGCTTTTTAATATATTTTCAAGCAAAAATGCCAGGGAGATGTAAATAATTATAATGTAGTTGGATACAATTCTTCAGTTATTAATTACTGTACCACCGAAGATGTTCCTGACGAATTCAACTTCACTGTATGGAGTGACAACGGGAAAGGAGAATTTAGTAATATGTTACTTTTGGCCTTAAATAATTAATTCATAAAATGATAATTATAAGCATCTATATGCGTTAATTATATTTTTTTTTATCAAAGATTCTGTAAAGATTGAGTTTGCACCTCCTAAAAGAAAATGTATATATGGAATAGCTTTATTAGTTAATCCCTTGATTGAGGATGAAAGAGAATGCAGAGAATATAAGTTTGAAGAAGCGAAGGATATTAATTCAACAATACATACTATAGAGAAAACCTTATGTATTCATATGAACACTAACCAGTTTGTAAGATATAATGATAATTCAACAGTACCTTTATGTAAGGTAATAAACAATACTAAGACAATTATATATGTTTATATGCATGTATATGGATATTATATATTTGTACATACACAATAATTAATATTCAAAGTATGATTTTATAAAACTGCATAAATGTGCAGAGTCTGTTTAATAATATCTGAAAAGAAATTTATTTTTAAATCATAAATAATTATTTCAGGACAATATTGGACTATGGTTCCATTATATCTTTACAGGATGCTATGCGCTTCGATTTCATCTAGACAAACAAAAATATCTAATAAGGGCCCATAATTTTTTGAACACTACTTATCAACGTACGGAAGTAAAAGAGCCACAGTTCATTTGTAACTATAACACATATTCTGATTTAGATCAAAGGTATAATTTCAACAATAATTTTTTGTTGTTATATTAGTGCAAATTTTATTATAGCTTAGATAATAGAATGATTAGATAATAGAATGATTCTTATTATATTGATAAATACATCTCCATTTATAAATGTTATGAAAAGATTAATAAAAAATTAAAATATTTAATATATTTACAGAAAGGGACTATTAAATTTCACATTAGATATCTCGCTATCAGCAGATACAGGACCATTCCTTGAACTAGCAATAATAAATCATGATAAAGATGAAAAATCTTGTATATGGCGTGGGCAAAAATCAATACGTATAGGAACAGTTTATTTGGTAAGATCTAGTTATTAAAATAAAATTTCTTTTTTTTAACAGCTGATATTAAGGTTTAATTTTATATTTACAGAAGAAGGATAATCGTAATTGCAGTATAAAATTGGTAAGTAATATTTTGCTTAATAATTTCAGGATTGTAGATTTTTTGCAAATCATCAAAACATCTATAATTTATATATACATAAATTATATTAAGAAATAAATTTTGATCAAACAGATACAGACAGTATCTGGAGAATATGTGAGGAATGTGGTGTGTAATTTTCAAGTACGAGTTCCGCAAAGTGAAGGTTATTGTTTTATATTTTGGGTGATTGACGATCGGTGCCATAAAAATACTCTCTGGAAGCCACCCTCAAATGAAATGTTTTTATGTACATGGATAAAACGTAAATAAAAAGTTTAATATTATCATATTTTATAGAAATAAAAAAATACATAGGTAATAATTTATACATATAAACTTTATTTTTATTAAATAATGTTTTGTAAAATAATTATGTGTGATACAATTATGTGTTATATGTTTGCAGGTTGCCAGAAAACTTCGGATAATTCATTACATATTGACAACGCTATTGAGATAAAATCAGATAAATTGCTGAATACAAGTTCGTACTTATTACTGCCAATTATTGCCATTGTATTTATCGTATCGGCAATAATCGGAACATTGTGTTTCTTGCATTATTTACGCATTCGAAAAGAGGAGGTCACCTTATACGTCAATCCGCGGCCCGATGACTTTTTAAATTCTGCTTGCCTAAAATCCGATTTTGGTATTATTGAAAACAATGATACTGAGAAGGAAATCGATCACGATAATTCTAAGTGCGACGACATTGTTCTTTTATACACTAAAAATTCGACATCCTTCATGGCATTGATGAAAGATTTTCGTGAAACACTTGCCAAGATATGCTCTTGTTCTGTAAGTTTGCGATAATTATTGATTAATCTATTTTACAATATTTTTATTAACATTTTCTCACTTATTCGATGCAAAGTATTAAAAAGAATGCTATTTGCATATCTTGAATATTTCTAGTAGCCACTATTTATTTTTAAAGATACATGACTGGCATGACGGAGCCGAATGGAATGACGTAGCTAAAGTTGGTGCTGTCTTATGGTTTTCCGAATTACTCAATAACGGATGTCGCGTTATCTGGGTAGATACACCGGCTACGAGATCCATCGTTACATCAAACTCGAAAGAAAGTGCCTTAAATAAATTTAGTAAATATTATGAAATAGGTGATTTTCGTGATATGGCATTTCCTGTCGTACTCGAATTGGCAAAACGCAATACAAAGAATACCGTGTTTCAGTATCGCAGACATTTCGTTGTAAGGTGAGATCAAAGTGATTGCAATTATTTTTTACTAATGTAAATATTTCTCGATTATAATTTGCGTCATAATATATATATGCTCTATTATTCATGGCGCTCCAGGTTCGAAGGGTTGGAAAGCACCGCAAATGGGAACGACCCATTTCTGGATCTCTCTCCTCACGCACGATATCGCATGCCGCAACATCTTGCGCAATTGTGTTCGGACTTGTAAGCATATCATATAGTCCATAGTTTTGTAAGATAAAAAGCTACATTTAATTTGAATACTTTTAGGCTGGTGGTAAAAACAGCAATTTCATTATATCAAATGAAGGCGGAGGAAGATCTTTTGCAACAGCGCTTAATGAAGATGGAGTCACTAATGTGAGATATCGGCTAACCGTGGGTTATCGTAAGATCTCAGCATTATCAAAATTGATGGCTGTTCAAATGCAACGATATTTTTTTCAACGCAAAGTGATACCTAGGACACAAATTTATTGTCATATCAAAGATACTACCTCAAATTAAAAATTAGACGATGCTCCGTCCTGATAGGATTACCGGTGAATTGCGAGTTATTTGTTCTTCAGTGACGATGAAGCAAAGACATGCATCCTGCACTCTCAGGATTAATTAATTATAATCTTCTAATTCTTCTAACATTCTTATTATAAACTTTTTCTAATTCTAATATTCTTTTCTAATGTTCTTCTAATTCAATTGCATAATATTATGAAGAATGTCTAGTGTAAGTTTTAAGTGAACTTTATACATTTATCATATTGATACAAAGAGATGTATATTTGACATAATATATATAATTTTTAATAAAATGTTGGGAAATAAAATTTGTTTTTTTTTTAACATATGTATTCTGTTATTGTATGTCTGTGATTCACTTGTCGTATCTTAAAATATATTTACGAAAATTTATGGCATATATTTTGTACATTTAGAATTATTTATGATAGTAATATCCATAATTTAAGAAAATGTAGCATTTTCATAGATTTATTAGTCAATAACTTTAGAAATTTATTACTGTTTTGATTATTATATTCATTTTTTTGGCCTCAGTGTATATTCTTGAGGATTACGTGATTCTTGGTGGTATAAATGGTTGCCTAATCAGAGGCGAAATACTTGTGAATGCGTTAAGCACACAAAGATCTTTTATCATAGATTAATTTGATGATGACTCAAAACACTTTCGTAAAGCAACGACAAGATGATAAGAATTTAAAACAAAAATATCATTAGCTCTCGTTTATATTCATTTTTTTGTATATATGTCGTATTTGTAGAAAGAGAACTATTTATAATATTGATATCTATAATCTAAGAAAATATAATATTTTTATGGATATTATTTTATTTGTCAATAACTTTTAGACGTTTATTGTTGTTTTGCTTTGTATTTTCTCTCTTCTTTTTACTTCTGTTTTTCTTTTTCGGTTTTTTTTTAAATGAAATACTACAATGCTAGCATAAGTGGACGCGAAATTATTAGTTAAAAATCTAATGAACAAGGACAAGTTTCTGAAAAATATAAATAAAACATAAAAATTGAAAAATCTAATACGTAATATAAACTTATTGAACACAATAAAATAAACAAAACTGTTTAATTTTTTAAAGTATATTTTATTTTTTCCGATTAAAACAAAAATAAAATATCAAATTCATTCTTTATGTAAGCTAATAATAAATTGAATTTTCTCTACTGAGTATCTCAGTATTTATTTTATGACGTTTCTCTACGAAACTGTTCGTATCTTCGTAGAAAACTTATGAAATAAGATAACATCAATATTTGAGAAAATATTGTTAGATGTATCCAATAGTTATTTCGTGGCTATACAATGGTTATTCATTTAATAAATTGTAATAAACGCACATTTGACAAGGCGCACAGCAGGTTTCAGGCAAAAGGATATTTTATCCACGTTATGACAGAGTATAGCAGAATTACGAACATTTCAATCTTTTCACACACACCTAGGCAGCGTCGTTTGTTGGATAATTGAAAGAAAAATTATGACATTAAAAAAAAACACAAATTTAAAAACATATTCTAATATTATTTTATCCATTTATATGATGCATTTATTACATAATAGTAAAAAATAGACCAGTCTCTTCATTTTCGTATGTAGCCTGATGCCTTTTGCAGATATCTATGAGAGATTCAGCGCAATTTTGAGGTAACGACCTCGAAATCGCTGACGAAATCCAAATTTGACACAGCCGTTTTAACGCGAACACACGTTTTCATTAGAGTTTCGTCTTCATGACCGCATATTTCGGATCGCATTCGGATCGGATTCGCATCAGGCGACAGCGAAGGTCAATCTAAAGCGTGAATAGCATTTTTACCTTTTCCACTTCGATTCACAAGTACGATATTTTCGATCGTTGTTAGATCAGATTCGACAACGATGGAGTTTGGTCGATTTACTAAATAAATGTGTAATGTTATTTAAACTATATGTTAAATGTTTATGTGTGAGTTCAAATTAATAAATTTCCTTTCATATACAAACGACGTGTGACAATAATTCTAAAAAAATCGTGACTTTTATTCTTTATATCTATCCTTTGTTTCTTTAAAAAAAAAAAGTTTAATTCACATCTGTATGTGTAATTATATATTTTTACCAAGTGAAAACGTCATTACGTGTTTGCTGGGGACGGAGGACACAATATTTATTGAAGTAAGTAATAAATTCTGGATGTAAATGATTTTACAATTTATACGAACCTTCGATTTCAACTCAAGTATACACTTGCGCGACATATTTTCATTTTACGCTATTTTTATCACGAATTGATCGATAGACCAATCGTGTCTCTTTGATTTCAGAGAATTGCAATAATAGTTACCTATCTTTTAGCAGACATTAAGATAAATTCAACGAAAATGATGATATATAATTGCGCCTAATAAAACGGAGAATACAATTGATTGATCAATTCGCGATAAAGTAACAATATATAAAACATAATAATATATGATGTAAAATAATGATGCGCGCACTAACAACGTTCAATCATAATCGTTGATATTTTTGCGTAAATAAATGTAATCAAATGTTCCTTTAAATTGAGATGAAGCTTATTTTGCAAAAGTGTTGAGCAATTGAAGCTATTTCACGTAAATTGTTATCAAAATACTTATCACTTGTGGAATTTTATTGGCATTTTTAAAGACGAGAGAACAATAAAAAAACTATGTATTTTTGCGTGATATAGAGATCAACCGGATAATTGGAGTGATCTTCTTCCCGATACAATCGCTTTCAATAAAAGTAATTATGTCATTCTTTTGAGATAAAAATCGATGGACCGTAGATGAGGGTGGAAATTGGGGAGATATCTATTACGCGCGTACAAACGACCCGTGTGCGGATAATGAATTCGATTGTTTGCTGGTGGTATTATCGCCCTACTCCCGGTAATAACGGCCAATCGGGCAAAAGCAAGGGCGCCCGCTGTTACATTCGAAATATATAAATGGACCAATAACTGTTATACCGTCGTTCAGTCGGATCCCTCGATTCGCCGCTGATAAGCTGCGAGCGCCGGTCTGCTTTTTCCCTTTTTTTCATTACCTTCGAAATCTCTCCTTTTCTCTTCACAAATAATTTACGGAAAATCACAGCGTGCACGGTAAGTCACATTTAGATTTACGCGCCATCTCAATATTTCCCGCTGCAAAATCTAAATTGCGAATATTTTACGAAATTTCTTTCTCTTCAAACACGTAAATTAGTATACAACGTAGATATATTTTTGTAATATACTGCATGTTTTAATACATTTCAATTGTGAGTGTCCTTTTTAGTGCGTGCGTAATAATGTAAACGTTAATGATGGTATTTGAGTCCAATTATAGAATTTTTGAAAGGAATAAACCGGTAATTGCTACGAGCGGCATACATTTTGACCGGATCTCGCAAGGATTTAAAGCTGCGCGGTAGACCGTAATAGTTTCGAAAATTAAAGCATCCGCATCATCACGAAGTGTGCCTCGCGCACGTGTCATTCCGGTTTGCTTCCCTCTCCACTTTAAACCGGGCAAAGGCAAACCAATCCAATAAAACGGCTGATGCAACATGGCAAGACAGAACATCCGCCGCATCCAACGTGCTCTCACTCACATACTTTTTTTTTCAATAACTGGGCGCCAGGTCGTAAGATATCAAGAGACAGTTCCTGATTCAATGTAAATTAATCGCTACGTATTCATATATACAGTGTCCTTTCAATAAACGCGTTATTTTAAACTACGGATTTTTTAAAGTCAATTTGTCTTTTACTTTATACTAGTACTAACATACTTAAATCTTAGAGACAAGCGTATTATCTACTTGAAATTGAGTAATTATAAAAATTAAAAGTTTTTTGAAAAATAAGAGAGATGGATAGATAAAAACAAAATCATATTTTTTAATTAATCTTACATAGAATCTTTAATAAAATTTTTATTTAATGTCATTAATTACTTTGATTCCATTAAAGAGGTGATTGATCAAAAATTGAAAAATTGCAATAAGTAACAATTTTTTGTTAAGAAAAATTGATGCAAAATTTAAAAGAATCAGTTGAAAAGAAATGTTTTAGTGACAAGTGTGCTCTTCTATATATTACACGTAGAACTATTTATCGCCACGTGGAAATAAAATAACGTGAAAATTTAATACATTGCGAATAAATCATTTTTAAGTATTTTCTTGTGTGAAACTCTTGTAAATTTGCAAGTAAAATTTTATTAATTTGATGCATGTGTTATCTCTCGTGGAAATAGATTAATAATGTTCGATATTTATCGTGTGAATAAGTCCTTATTTCTCTTTTCGCTATTTCGAGAAAACGTGTTTCATCCCACATTCTCTTTCCGAGGACGAATTTAATGATTCATACATATGCGAAATTTTTGATTTAATTAATACTTTTTTCAGATGCGGTTGTACTCTACGGATCTCGCACATCTTCTGGTGATCGTCGCGGTAATCGATGCAATCCTCGGAAGCCCTTTGACACTCTTATTGCTGCCCAATGCATCGTACGCACGTGGAAATGTTGATCATTCCAACACGGCGAATAGACTAAAAGGCGATAAGCCGACCGGCGAGAGAATGGTATAATATCATCGATCGTAAATGTTTAATAAATTTAAGCTTCACTTTTCTTTCCTATCTTGCAGACTTACTGTACAATTTCTCGTTTAATTTCATCTTTATGGCGCATGGCGTTAGGTATTTTCTGTTTATGCTTTACATAACACACAAGCCATTCACGCACGTTTCTTCATGCATATTATTTTAAAAATTTGCATTCCAGAACGTCTTTACATCGACCTGGACCAAAGTTTTGCAAAATCCGCCCGATTCCTTAGAAGTTGCTGTGGGGTAAATATATATATATTCTATATAAAATAATAACTAATACAGAAACAATATATAACGTTCATTGCATTGATGTTTATTTAGAAGCCGAGTCGAGTTACAATGTGTGATGGTTGGAAATCCGCCTCCACAGATCTACTGGATTACCGGAAATGAGCCAGAAAGACAAGTTAGTTTTGAAAACATAACATTATTACATTAATTTGTTTCGCTTAATCCTCACCGATTTATAATAAATAATTGTAGCAATGTTCCTTACATTTATTTTTTTGTTGCTCCGGCAGATTCAGGAGCTGACCACGCGAGACCAAGAAACGAGTAACAGCGTGTCCACTGAGAGTATTAGCAAAATCTCTTCCACATACGTAATCGACTGCGTTAGACCTGAGGATCAAGGTTTAAAATATTGTGTATCCGTGTCTAAAAATGTAGTGGCCCAGTCAGCAGCAACGATACTCTTGGTTAATAGTAAGTGAGAACAATATTCCGCCGTGGATCACATCAATAAATACATCAATCGATAAAATGTAATCTCTTATTGCCTACAGCTACCAAGTCTACCAAGTGCAGCAGCGAGAGTCAGCCCACTATTACCTTGTACGCCGCTTGGAGATTCGCTCTTCAACAGAGCACGGTAATTCTTCCATGTAGAGCTGTAGGTCAACCAGCGCCTTATCTATTTTGGATAGATAACTTGGGCAACACTGTAAGTTCCGCCACGCACGAGAGACACACCGTTTTGCCCAACGGCGATCTACAGATAATAGACCTCGAGTGGACCGACATGGGTGAATACACTTGCAAGGTGAAATCGGGATATACGGAGAAAAGTATCTCCACATTCCTGTACCCCGTACTTCCCGTACGTATATAGTTAATTTCTGCAAATCTTTGGTATAATTTAGTATATGATATTTAAATGCACGGTAAATGGAATATTTAAAAATTTATCAATAGCAGGCAAATTATTATACATATCCATAATTTTTCATAATTTTCAATATAATGAAAAGTAATGCTTTTAACAGCAATGACGAGTGTGTAATCTTCTGTGTTTTCGTTTCAGGAATCATAAAGACAAATAGAAAATGTTGTATAAAAGGACTCTAAAAATCTCTGCACTTGCAATGCCTTTTGCTACAACTGTGTATAACATCTATTACACTCATCAATCTATACATTGTCTAAGTAGAATGTAATTTAATTATATAGAATGTATTAAGTACTTATTTTTTGTATTAGAAAGTTTATTATGTATTACGTATTATGTATTAGGTAGTTCCTTTTTTGTTACATTTACGATACCAGTGTTGCTCGTCCTCGAAAGCTCAATATTTGAGCGACAAATTCGCTTCCTACGTTGGATCAGCGCACAAAAGAAAGTATTTTTTTTTATCTTGCATGAAAGAAAGTTTGTAGGTGAATTTAAAGCAGTTTTAATAAATGCGACCTATACCATCTGCACTTTTGTAAAAAATTTTTACTTCCACCACTTGTCAAAGAAACCTTGAAATTAGAAACCTAAAAAGATTTTTAATAAATAGATTTTTAATAAATTAACGTTAATTATGGCTTGTCAATATAAGCGCATTGTATCTTAAACTACTTAATTTTATTACATATGCTATATAACAATATTTATATTTTGTATGAGATTTATAAACTTATAACAGAATTCACAATAAGAATTTATTCATCAATTGTTTTAAATTACATATTACTTACCACTTATAAGTGTCCACTAAGCTAACTCCAAATGAGAATTGCATACTATTTCGTCAGAATAAAACATGCGTTTTTTGCGGCTTTTGCTATATCTCCTTTTCCTTTGCGGTTTCGTGTATTAATTATAATATGATGTACAAATAAGCGAAATGCTTATTTATTAAATCGATTTATTAAGCAGAAACGATATTTCCAATTCAAAGTGTATGTCAAAACCAGTCATAAAAAATGATATATTCTAAGAAGAATCACAAGTTGAATATTGCGCTTGTTGCAAAGGCCATCAATAAATACTATTGTTCTATTTATAAATGTATTTATGACGGTACAGAGTAAAGTCTAAAAATTATATGGGAAAAATAGTATGTGAAACACACATAGTATCACGCATCTCAACGTCGGATAAAATCGCGTGACAACTGGAACACATCCGTTCGAAATATTCGGAGATGCACCAAGAGGGAACAATAGGAGAGAATAGACGAAAGAAATGATGCATTTACGCTTACGGGGTTTAGAATCACATCTCCGTATTACGGATACGGTTCTCTAAATGCGTAACAGCCGTGATACAGAGCGGTGTAAATTCAATTTCGTGTACACACACACGCGCGCGCATATACGCAAGTTTACTCATTTACCTTTAGTGGCTCGTATCGCCTTGCATATTTCGATCCACGGTTGTCCGTAGGAACTGCAAACGTCACACACATTGTTAGTCGAGCTCGATGATGGTTTATGTTGACTAGTTTGATGCCCGGGTGTGCTCGGCGACGAGGAGACCTCTCCTTTTGATTTGCACATGATCGATGATAAATGACGTGAGAAATCGATCGTGGAAGGCGGGGGGGAGGCCGGTGCGCGGGTCTTGCGCGACGGCAGCGTTGCTGAGTTATACGACAGGTTCGACGAGGGTAAAGTGGCAGACGTTGATCGTTCCGACGACGGCGATGACTTCGCCGTCGATCGGATCGAGCGGTAGGAAGGTGAAGACAGGCGCATACACCGCAGAAGGTTGAGTCAATCGTTGATTAGTCCTTGAGAAACGCTGATTAGCTGTTCCTTCAAGACGCGGAAGGACGGTCGCACTTCCGGACAGTGTGCCCAACATTTACGCATCACCTGAAATCCATGAATTCGTAAGTTTGGGAGGATTCTGTAAATGCAATACACGACACGAAAGCGAAGAGGAATAACAATTCACCTCATAGACTTCCTTGAAACACGCTTTCGGTCGTTCCAGTATGATTCCTCGCTGTACTCGCTCGACAACTTCCGTATTCTTTAGGCGACCATAAGGCATTTTTCCGCATGTGAATACTTCCCACATAAGTACTCCATATGCCCACACATCCGATTTCGAACTAAAGCGTGTGTAATTCAACACTTCTGGCGGCGCCCATTTAATAGGAAACTTCGTGCCCCCGCTACTGGTATATTGATCATCGAGCACGTACCTGAAAATATGTGTCCGATCAGCTAAATTCACGGCACGCTTACGCGTTTCTTATTTCTTTCGATTAAGTTTGTTATCCCAGCACAATATAATACGGTAATAAAATAACTTACCTAGCTAAACCAAAATCTGCAACTTTTACTACGTTTTCGGATCCCACCAGACAGTTACGCGCAGCAAGATCTCTGTGTATGTAGTTATGCCTCTCTAAATACGCCATTCCTTTGCAAACCTGTACATTATAAAAATTATAAAAAAAAATACTTAAAGAGCCTGTACATTATATTATCATAAAATTATAGCAACATCTCTCTGTACGTTCTATTATTATCTTAAATAGAATTTGCATTACCTGTATACACATGTCTAACAAAAGGCCAACGTTTGCGCCTAATGAGGTTTCGTGACGGCGGAGGTAGTTGAGAAGAGATCCGTGTCGCATGTATTCCGTGACAATGTATATTGGTCTATCTTTACTGCAGACACCGTACAGCTGGACTAGGTTTTGATGTTGCAGTTTTCTAAACACAAATAAAATTATAAGCGCGAGTTTCAATAAAAGTTTAGAAAATAGAGAGTTATAATCAAAATCGTAATTAAATTAAAAAGATCTCGCTCGTGCGTATACTTGTCCATCGAAAGTTTCGATGCAACATAAAAGAAACTGGGTTGAAACTTACGTCATTACTTTAGCTTCTTCTATAAAGTCATCCTCAGACATGGTTCCCTCTTTCATCATCTTCACGGCAACGTCGATGGAGCCGCGCCACTTTCCTCTCCGCACGACTCCAAATTGGCCGGACCCGAGCTCCTCCAGCAAATGCAATTCCGCCGGGTCGATCTCCCATTTGTCTGCGAAAAAGCCGCCCGTTAAGTAGCGTCGAGAGAGGTCGAAAAAGGTTTTTTTATATCTCGTGTTCTTTTTTTGCATCTAGTGCTTTTTTACAGTACCTATTTACAATAAGAAAGAGAATAAAAGCTACACGAACCATGACTAAGACCGGCAGTGGGTGGTACAGGACGATCGCAAGGACTGGTTTTCAGTCGGCTGGCCAAACCGCCGCTGTTGTGTCTATGATAATTCACTAGGTCGGGAATGGAGCCGCAGCAGTGCTTTTCCGACAAATAAAATTCTCCGCGAGTGTTCTGTTTGATGTGATAATGCTTCACGTGGGGATGTGGCCTGCAACACCATGGAGACTCTCAGATTATCGGAAAAAGCCTCGGGCGATTGTTATGCAGAAAGCGCTTTTTAAAGTCAAGGATCACGATCAATGGAATTTTTCCATTTTTAGTCACTGATTGATAACCGTTGACTTACACTTTCGTGTAAAGGGAGAGTGTGTAAAGTCCTTTGGTCGAGGAATTACGAACGACGAAACAGCCCTCCTTATCTTCTTGCTTTAGCAACGATTCAGCGCGCTGTCTTGACATATCGCCTACGTACCATCTACAACAGCAAATAAATCGTCCGTTAGTTTATTTTTATCATTTACAAGCTTGCAATTTACGTAAAGATTATGCTAAATGATTGATAATTAACTCGAAAAAATAAAGAGACGTAACTAGGCTTTTATAAATCTACAGAAATTGAACTCGGCGTTTTACAGAGAAAAATATATACTATTACACTTACTCGTATTTTTGCAGTCCCAACAGTTCCTTCTCTTTAACGTAGTTGCTAGGAATATAGCCGATCGATCTGCAATTAAATGCGCGCCATATGACTTTGTGCAAGGCATTCTTCGCTAACACTGCAAATTACCTTCGACGAGCCTTCTATTTTGCCATGCATAAGTAAACTATCAAGCTATCGCGAATAATTATCGCTGATTATATAAAAGTGCCACTAAGATTACTGTTTGCGAATTGTACGCTGTAACTAATTATTTTCCATGATTGCTTTTTGATCACTGCGACGTGTGTCATGATGTAAAAACACAAGTGAAATATTGTAAGCTCGTTGTAAATTTGTTGTAAATAAATTTCGAAAGAAGTTTGCGTAAAATAATGTTTATAGCCGATTTGAAAAAGAAATATGTACCCATTCTCGTCCTTAACTTTCCACCAATGTTCCTGAGAATCATCCAGGACCTCGTACTCTGCACCCTGCGGTCATAAAAACACAGATCGTTAATAAATATTCTATTCAACGATGTATAATAATGTATAATATTGTGTAAAATTGTATGCCATAATCATTTTGAACTTTACGATATCTATTATTGTCTTATCCTTACCTTTTCGAGAGACAAGTCACCACCTTCGATGGCTCGAAACGGATACAGAGCCACTACGACTTTCGCCCGCAGCATTATCTTCTCCTAGAGCAAAATTAATCAACTTTTATCGCAAAAATCAGATAAAATGCTAGAAAAAGAAAACTGCAATACTTCAACGAAATGACTCACCTTTGTTTTAGAGGATGGCGTTCCGGGTGTGCCGCCTGGCATTATCGGTGTCGAGGGCGTTCCTATAAAAATAAAAAAAAGAACGTGGAAAAATCAAATAAACTGTTCGAACACTTTTCACATCAGTTATTTAGTTTTCGAATAATTTGATAGCACAATACATTTCCTCACATTAGCAAACAATCGATTTACATTCTTTCGCACTTCATTTTCACAACGCTGTTGTTTATTGAAGCAAGAAGCAAAAGTTCCTAATAATTTGATCCGATAGCGGTCGACACACGATCGAAAATTGAATAATTACTTTTCGATTAAGCGCAATCGTCGTCGTTTCATTTCACCAAACCAAAAAAATTCGACAGCGACATTTCTATTCGCGTGGCGAGGATCGGCGAGAACTGAACGGAACATTCCGTCCGACAAGTGCACCACGCCGGGATGACAGCATACCGGACCGATGGACGCGAAGGACGATACCACGAGAGCAGTCTCCACCCTGTCTAGACAAAATCAATGCGACCTCAAACCTCCTACAGCCTCCCCACCAGCATCTCTTCAACGTTCAACGTTCGCACGTGTACGGCTCGTCGCGTGCACCATGACTGCGTGCGCTGCAGCAACCGTTTCCTACCATCAACACACAACCGCCGGGCGTACGTGTATGCCTGCACTGAAATCTAGAAAACGCGGTGGAGACGCGGTAGTACGTGTGGGAAATTAATGTTTCCAACTTCCAACTCCGAAGTTCGCGAGCAATCTGATATTCTACGAACGCACGCTTTCCTAAGCACGGCCTCTCATCGTGGGTATTACAACGTTGTTTAACCGCAGCCGAGCGAATTTACTGCTCATCGCGTGACATCTCGTATCTTATAATGTTCATCTCTTTAACATTTTTTTTCTCTCTCCCTTTCTTATCGCCTCTTCCGCCGAGTTTCATTACTGGAGGCAGCCCCCGGCGAAGAGGTTTCGTCCGCGAAAGTTTCTTTACAAAAAACACCCCGAGTATCTTCGTCATACCTCAGTTGCTTGCCCTTTGGGGAAAATTTTTCGTACCAACAAAAAGCTATATGACCAGAATGGAACTTTAAAAAACAGGAAAGTTACCGCTGGAAAAACTCTCGCGCTATTCCGCGCGAGTTAATATTACATCTAATCTTCCAAATTTTCTTTACAATAATATATCATAATGTTTCTATTTTTTAAATTATATTTTTTAGATTATTATATCAGAATAAGAGAAGAAGTAGAGTAAACGAGAATGTACTGGATAGTCTTTTCAATTATCGAGAGAAACAATATTCTCGATCGAACGAGTGTTTTCTCTTTTAAAACGCTATCCATTTTCGCATAGCGGAGATTTCCGCGCAATTTTTCAGTATACACACACGCCGTGCAACCGAGATTCATAGAGAAACTTTTCGTGAAGCATGAAGAGAATCTCAAGGAGGATATCTCAGTAATGAAAGTCTCGCTGGGACACAAGACCTGCGACGTGAAAAGAGGGTAACAAAATCCGCCGGAGGCGACGCTTCTTCTTTCGGGAGAGCCACTTCAAAAATATTCCGACTTCTGCGGAAATTCAATAAGTAGGAAAATCTTAAAAAGGATACACATAAGGTAAATGTCGCGCTTGAAATAGGGAATGTTGGGATATTGAGTCTTACTCTCGGATGATTCAAATATAAAATATATTGTTAGATGAAGAGATACATTTCGATACAATACAATTTCCGTTTACATCGTTTCATTCCTCTTTATACGTTTCCAATAAGATTGTCCTTTATATATATATATATATATATATATATATAGAAAAAATTTCGCCGAGCTAGCTTAATATCTATTCTCGATTTATTGTTAATCTCTCGATAATTTTACATTTTTTGATACAAGGAATAACAGTAATAAAAAGCATATTAACATTCCGTTACAAAAACAGTGCAACCTTAGATAAACATCCGCTTATTTTCTTATCGATTTCAGTGATGTTGTTAGAGGTTAAATCGAGACTCTGCAATTCAACGAGATCAGAGAATGCGCCGTTATCTACCGTGTGGATGTTATTATCAGACAGTGCGAGATCTTTCAGTTTGTAGAGCCCTGTAAAAGTGTCGGCTTTAATATGAGACAGTTTGTTTCCACCCAGTTGTAGGTTCTCTAGCTTAGACAAATCCCGAAATGTTCCCGGCTCAAGAGTTCTGATTTCATTATGCTCCAGATGGAGTTCTTGCAGATTAACTAAATCACTGAGAAGCATTCTGGAAACACTCGTTATCAGATTATAATCTAGGTGGAGAAATTTCAACTTATTTAATCCTCGAAAGATGCCGTTCGGTAAAATCTGCAACTGATTGTGGTTTAACTGGAGAGTATTCAGTTCGGTTAACCCGGCGAAGGCGCCAGGCGCCACGTACAAGATTTTACTGCTGATGAGCGACAGGAAGAACAATCCGGGATTTAAATTCGAAAAAGAATCCTTATCGATTGTCGGGATATCATTCTTATTCAAAAATAGCCATAATAAGTTCGGCAAACCAGCGAACGAGTTCTTCGGTATCGAATTGATCTTGTTGAAGCTTAACGAAAGCGCTTGCAACTGTGACAATTCCGCAAACATGTGTTCTGACAATAATACTACGTTTTTGTTCAGATTAAGAATCTTCAAGTTGGGCAAACCGCGGAAGGATCCCCTCGTCAGTACAGATATTCGGTTTCCAACGTTCAGATTCAAAGTGTGCATCACCGTCACATTTTTGAAGGCACCCTCCTGAATCGCCAGAAGATCCATGTTGTTGAGGTTCAATTGATCATTGAAATACCATCGATCTTTGAAAGTTCGCGTAACTTTGACAAGCACTCTTTCGTTTTGGCAGACATTATAGCCGTCTGAAATCTTACAGATTGGTTCCTCTTGTTCCTCTTGTTCCTCTTTGTCCAACAAAGCTTTTGCCGAGACTATCAGAACGATTTGCGAGAAGAACAAAAGAAGTCGCCACATCGTTGATGTTCAGCAGTCGATGCTTCCGATTGAATAATATTAATGTAACTGTAAAATCGCTGCGTTTTACGCTTTATATACCGTCGAAGGGACGCATTTAGATATCGGAACAGTGTTGCTAGACGGACGCTTTTCTTCACGCATGCGTTTGGAAATCGGCCTCAATAAGCCTCAATAAGGTACTAATTCAGGTGAAAAAGGGCACTCTCAGGTTCTTAGTTTTAACTATTTAAAAAATTTTTCCCTTGTAGCCCCCTAAACTCTCTGGATTGTGTTCCGATATTAACTAACAGTATTAAAATACTACAGGTAGATAAGGTAAACAATAAATTACAGTACTGTTGGTGAATATCGGAATGCAGAATTTTTTGTGTCCAATAACGCTCAAACACTATGTATCCATATACACCACTGAATTCATAGATGTTACACCGCGCATGCGTGAAGAAAAGCATCCTGTCTAGCAACACTGCATCGGAATGACTTAGATAGCATCATCTTAGAGACGAAAAAATTTCCATGCTTACATTCAGGAAAGAAAAAGATCAATTCTAGACTAAAAGTAAATAAGGCTCTAAGTACCAATTTTTAAAAAATCGCGATTAAAATAAAAAACTGCTCAAAGAAAAAATAACTATTACAAGAAAAATAAAAATTTACTTGCAAACATCTGCAACAATTGGTATTTGGAGCCTTTTTTAAAAAATAGCGATTGGAATAAAAAATTACTGTCATTGCTAACAGCGTGTATAAAGCGCTAAATGCCATTTGTATAATAAATAACTTACAATACATTATTTACGGCACTTATTATACGATAGATTCTAAAAGCTATTTTTTAAAAAAGGCTCCAAGAGCCAGCTGTTGCAGATGTTTGCAAGTAAATTTTTATTTCTTTTGTAATAGTTATTTTTTTCTTTGTTTATTGTTCAATAAAAGAAAAGTTAAATAAATAAAAAGGTTATTCACATTCACTTATATTACAGTGGGCGTACTATGGCGTACCTATGGCATTTAGAGTTTTCCTTATTTTATCTCCCTTGAAACTTAGAGCGTTTCATACATTTTAAACTTATGATATGTGATATTGAACATGTTTTTTAACTGCATTTTTTGCTGTTGTTTTATTTTTTCGTAAAAAAGCACTTTCGAAAGTAAGTATAAACGTATGATTAAAATATTTAATGCGTTAATAAAAAAATTAACGGTTCATTTACATCTCTCTATTTCAAAATCTATATTTTGGCATTTAAAGCCTTATTTACTTTTAATACTGATACCACATGTCAAAGTTGAAGATAGAAAACACATGGTTAATTAGTAGAGAAAGCAGAAATAAATTTCTTGTGTTATCACGCTAATTCTTGTGTTTCTTCTAATATTTATCGCATTTTTAAAATATTTTGAAAAATATTGCTACGGTGGTACTCGACTTAGTTTTCTATTAATTTTTTCTCCATTTATTGTTAATCTAACTTTCTCGAAAACTTTATATTTTTCAATACAAGGAATGAAATATACAGTAATAAAATACAGTAGTAAATACAGTAGTAAAAAGCATATTAATATTCCGAGTGTGTAAAATAAGATCGCAAACATTTTGCAATAAAAAGATTTATTTACTATTTCAATGTTGCAAACAAATTCCGCATTGGGAAATAAACAGATTTCTAAGGCGTCAAAAAGACAGAAACCTCAGATGAAAGACCGCTTATTTTCTTATCGATTTCAGTGATGTTATTAGAGGTTAAATCGAGACTCTGCAATTCAACGAGATCAGAGAATGCGCCGTTATCTACCGTGTGGATGTTATTATCAGATAGTATGAGATATTTCAGTTTGGAGAGCCCTGCAAAAGTGCCGACTTTAATATGAGATAGTTTGTTTCCATTCAGTGGTAGGTCCTCTAGCTGAGACACATCCTGAAACGTTCCCGGCTCAAGAGAGCTGATTTTATTGTGCCCAAAATGAAGTTTCTTCAGACTGACTAAATCACTGAAAAGCGTCCTGGAAACGCTCGTTATCAGATTATGATCTAGGTAGAGAAATTCCAACTTGTTTAATCCTCGAAAGGCGCCGCTCGGTAAAATCTGCAATTGATTGTCGTCTAAATGCAGACGATTCAATTCGGTTAACTCGGCGAAGGCGCCAGGCGCCACATGTGAGATTTTATTGTTATTGAGCCACAGGTACAGCAGTCCGGGATTTAAATTCGAAAAAGATTCCTCTTCTATCGCCGGGATATCATTGTTACTCAAATATAACCACATTAAGCTCGATAGACCAGCGAACGAATCCTTCGGTATCGCATTGATCTTGTTGAAGCTCAACAAAAGCGCTTCCAACTTTGGCAATTCCGCGAACAGGTGTTCCGACAATGATACCACGTTGCTGTCCAGATCAAGACGCTTCAAGTTAGGCAAACCATGGAAGGATCCCCTTGTTAGCACAGATATTCGGTTTCCTTCGTTCAGATTCAAATGCGTCACCGTTACATTTTTGAAGGCATCCTCCCGAATCGCCAGAAGATCCATGTCGTTAATGTGCAATCGATTTTCGAAGTGACGTCGTGTAACTTCGACCAGCACTCCTTTGTTTTGACAGACATTATAGCCGTCTAAATTCTTACAGGTTGGTTCCTTTTTGACTGGCGAAGTTCTCGCCGGGATTATCAGAACGATTTGCGAGAAAAGTAAAAGAAATCGCCACATCGTGTTCAGCAGTCGATGCGTTCGATCGAGTGATATTAATACAACTGCAAAGTCGCCGCGTTTTACGCATTTGCATATCGTCGAGAGGAGGCAATTAGATATCGGAGTGACTTTTGACATTGATAGCGTCATCTTCGAGACGGGAAATTTTCATAAGTGCATTCTCGGAAGGAAAAGATAAATTGGTACTACACGTCAAAGTTGAAGATAGAAAACGCATGACTAACTGGTGGACAGAGCAGTGATAAATTTCTTGTATTATCATGCTATTCTTCGCGTTTCTTCTAATATTTATCGTCCATTTTTTAAATATTTTGAAAAATATTGCTACGATGATACTCGAGTCCAGTTTTCTCTCCATTTATTATTAATCAAACGTTCTCGTTAACTTTATATTTTTCGATTCAAGGAAAAAGAGTAATAAAAAGCATATTAATTTATTATATCTCGAGTACGTAAAATAAGATCGCAACAAGACTTATTTACTCTTTTTATTGTTGCAAACAAATTCCGCATTGAGAAATAAACAGATTCTTAATGGCGTCAAAGAGACAGTAACCTCAGATGAAAGTCCGCTTATTTCCTTATCGATTTCAGTGATGTTGTTAAAGTCTAAATACAGACTCTGCAATTCAATGAGATCAAAGAATGCGCCATTATCTATCGTGTAGATGTTATTATCAGACAGTACGAGATGTTTCAATTTGGAGAGTCCTGCAAAAGTGCCGGCTTTAATATGAGACAGTTTGTGCCATTCAATCGTAGGTCCTCTAGCAGAGACAAATCCTGAAACGTTCCCAACTCAAGAGTTCTGATTTCATTATGCTCTAGATGGAGTTCTTTCAGATTGAGTAAATCACTGAGAAGCGCCCTGGAAACGCTCGTTATCAGATTACGATTTAGGTAGAGAACCTCCAATTTATTTAAGCCTCGAAAGGCGCCGCTCGGTAAAGTCTGCAACTGATTGTGGTTTAAATGAAGACAATTCAATTCGGTTAAACCGGCGAAGGCGCCAGGCGCTACGTGTGAGATTTTATTGTCGTTGAGCCACAGGTACAACAGTCCGGGATTTAAATTCGAAAAAGATTCCTCTTCGATCGTCGGGATATCATTGTTATTCAAATATAGCCACATTAAGCTCGACAAACCAGCGAACGAGTCCTTCGGTATCGAATTGATCGTGTTGAAGCTTAACGAAAGCATCTCCAACTGTGACAATTCCGCGAACAGGTGTTCCGACAATGATACCATGTTGCTGTCCAGGTCAAGGCGCTTCAAGTTGGGCAAACCGTAGAAGGATCCCTTCGTCAGGTCAGATATGAGATTGCCGTTATTTAGATACAAATGCGTTGCTGTCACGTTCTTAAAGACATCTTCCTGAATCGAAAAAAGTTCCATGTAATTGAGGAATAATGCACTGATATTATAATGTTGCGTAACTTCAACAAGCACTCCATTGTATCGACAGATATTGTAGAAGATCACGTCATGGCAGATCAGTTCTTTCTCCGACAAAGCTGTGGTTAAGACTATCAGGACAATTTGTAAAAAAAGCACCAGAAATTGCCACATCGTTGGTGGCTAATACAACCGGTCGAGTGATACAAATGCAAAACCGCTGCTTTAGAAATTTATATACCGTCGAAAAGACGCAATTAAATAGCAAAATGTGCCTCTCAGCATTGATATCGTTATCATAGAGGTAGAAAATGATTGCATTTTTAATGAATAATACATCAATGAGTATCACATGTCAAAGTTGAAGATAGGAGAAGCGTTTAATTTGCAAAATATTTCACGAAATAAAAAAAGCAAAATTTCCTGTACGATCGATGCACGATTTCTCGAGTTTTCCCAGCATTTATCGCATTTCATTTTTAAGATATTTTGAAAAATACCGAAACGGCTAAATTAACGCGTTAATTAAAATGAATATCATATTAACCGCAGTCTTTGTGATCGCGAATCCATTTTAGCAATCCGCTTATATTGCGGATGGCAGGTTGTTCGCCACTGATTATCTGTAACGAGCAAGTAGAAAGTATGTAATAGTCCAGTGAGCACCCGGGACAGTGAGGCGATCACGGAAAGTGGAGTGAAACGGTAGAAAAATACGGTGCGAGTTGTATAAGGATGTGAGCGTCCTAAGGCGGATAATCCAAGGCTGATTACCGCTTTCCAGAAATAATCATATATTTTTTTTCAACATACACTGTGTCATATTTATTATCGCGCATATGTATTTATGTCATATGTATGTATTAATATTTATAAATGTAAATATCTTTCTCCAAGACGGCATTTATTTCCGCGGGACTTGTACCGTTAAAATTTGTATGCTAATCTCAAGGTCTAGCTCGAATATCGAAGAGTTCGGATTCCGAGAGAATTGCATCAATTTCGCAAGAACGATTTCCGTGCGGGTTTTCAAGTGTTTGATGACGACGAATTACGGTGCAGGCAATCCAGCGAAATTATCCGAGAAAGAAATATGCATTTGCTGTTCCGATTGTTCGAGAGATAAGATAAATATGTACCGCGGGCGATTTTCAAGGCTACGCATGTCTTCTCGCGAGCGGTGCCGAGAAGCTTTCTAAGGTATTGGTGAAAACATCAGAAGAGCGATTCGCCTCTCGCTCGCGAGGTCATCGAACGATGTACATCCCACTCACTCGGTTTCTCGATTCAGGTATTCCGCGGTCGATCGGTCGGTCGGTCGGTCGGCGGTTAGTGACAAACCGATTCGCGATTACCAATACAATATTAATGATGAAGAAGCTTAAATTTCAATCAAATAGCAGAATACAATAGGATATCCGATATGTCTCTTGGCCGGAATCGCGACTTTATATCTCTCTTTATATTTTCTTTATATTTTATACTTTATATTTTCTCAAAAGTCAGCTTCGCGCGCGATTAATGTTTATGATTTCCAAAATTATGAACAGTCTTGTTATTGCAGGAAAAAGCGCTGCTAAATGTACTAACTGTTTGTTTTACTTTGCAATCAACATAATTGCGCGAATCGACTTAAAAAAAAAAACTATGATTGCAAAAAATAAATCGCTAATTTTTATCTTGTAATTTTTTTAGTTATAATTCGTTCTCCACAATCGCTGAGCTTGCGAGATTCCCGTGTATTTTTCCCGTTTGCAAGAACACTTGTGTATCGGTACACCATACAATGACCGCGTTACCGTCAGCACTTGAGGTGTCGACGTCTATGCAGCCGGTGAATGTCACCTATAATGGCCACATTACGCCTCGCACAGCGGTGAGTATGCGCGCAAGTAATTGGCATTTGTCTCAGCTGTACTCTTAATCAATTTTTTTATACGTAGAAAATAATTTGGTAGGACGTAGCGAAATTTGATTTCGCAAAATTTGCGTCGCAGCACATTTTTTAAAAATATAAACAGACAGCATTTTTGGAGCGTAAACAATCGCTTGGTATTTCGAATAAAATGAAAACTTTTGGATTATCTGGCAGAGTTCTGACTGCTCCTTCTCATCGCAATTTTTCTCGCAATTCTCGCTCATAATTAAACACGGACCTTTTTATTCATTAAATGCAGGGTACACGCTTTTTTCGATCTAAAAATAAAAAATCGATCCAAAATAATCGACGTGCAGTTGACGTTGCGATCTTGACATTAGGCGTGGCAAGAAAGTTACCGTAGTACCGTTCTTATGAAACCGACGGAGGTCGGTCGTGCTCGCGCGCGCCTCCGTGTAACCTTTTACATTTTGCGCAAGCGATATTTCTGCGCGAACACAAATGTATTATGCACCGCGCGGATGCTTTCCCGTGCCGAACCGAAAAGTTGAAAAATACGGAGCGCGGGTGGGAGCGACGAAGTACGACTCGCGAGCGACGGAAGGAGAGAGGGAGAGCGCGATACGCGCTAGATCGTTTCACCTGTATATAGCGCGATTACGAATTCTACGTTGCAAATGTGGAGAGCGCAAGCTTTCATCGTTGAGCCGATGAAATACCGGATGATATTTGCCACTGTAGATTCATCGTCTTTTTTTTTGTTTTTTTTGTTTTTTTTTTTGGACACATCGGATGTTTTGATTGACATTACTCGTTGCATTGTGGAACTTAAGTGGATTTCAACATTTTGCTTTATTAAATTAAACCTATAATTTTTGTTGCGAAATATTTAGGTAATCTCGGAATTATCAAATGTCTCGAAATATCATACATTAAAAGCGATTAGTCTTGTGCAATCAAAAAACAAGCGATTAATTTAAATGCTAACGTAAGCGCAATCGCGGCGTATCGGCGAATAAATAAAGGAGGGATTGCGTTAACGCAAAAGCGAATCGTTCAAATTTCAAAAAAGGAAAGGTTCGATCGACTCACCAGAACTATTGTGAGCGTGTCCGGTAACATTGCCGGTGGCCGAGTGAACCGCGTTAGTAGCGGCATTCGCGACCTGCTTTAAAGCGCTTATCACTAACATGATTCCGTTAGTTAATTAGCCGTCGATCAGCGTCTGTTGCGCGATACGAAGTACACCGGCGCGCGAAACTCACAGCAAGAGCCCCGTGCACTAAATTTCGCGAATAACGATTCGGAGAGAAGGAGCGGTAGCAGCCGTGGAAGCGGCTCGACGCGAACTGGGTTCGGCTCGAGAACGTCTAAGCGCGCGACTGGTCGCTCGTGCGAGCAAGCAACGCGAAAGGGAGTTCGGAGTCGTCGTCGTCGCCGCCGTCTTGCTCGGTCCCCTTCTTCGCAGTTTCACCTTCACGGAAGTTTTCCTTCGCCGCCGATTAAAGTCGCCGACCGTAGACGAAGACGACTCTTCGACACGCACTATGACGCGCGATGCGTTACGTGGACGTTGTTCCTATCCGTAAAAGTCCGGAAAGTAATATGTGTAATCACTAATACGCCCGGGGACCAATTATGTAAAGAAAAATTATATAGCAAAAAATTCCATTGCGAGAAATTCATACTGAAAAAATAAGAGAAAAAAATTGTATAATAAAAGATAACGTACTTCGATTAAATAAGTATTCTCATCGCCTTTTACGAGAGAAACTGTCGCGACGCTGCCGAATTAAAAGAATCCAGTCAACCTCGTGTCTCTCGGTCGAATTAGGCGCGAGGAGAATTAAAATCAAGATTCCGATCACCACGGCAATAATTTCTCCGCGCGCGGCGATGAATTTGACGAATATCGATATCGGCTCGTGTCGTTCCCTCTCAGGCACCGAAGTGCATCGTGTAGAAGTTATAGAACCCCGGGAAAATGGCTGGTGACATTGTAGACCAGCTTACCGGCAAACTCAGCACTTTGCGACAAGTACCTATCCGTACCACTCTCTCCCTCCCCCCCACGGCGATGTCCAATTAAGTGTGCGCTAAGATTACCGGCGGGAAGCAGCAATTTGGAACAGCGACAGGCGCGAGTGCACAGCGCGGCGACAAATAAAACGCGGTCCTTTAACGGCGCGGATAAACAAACTTCTCGACTTTAATGAGGATAAAGAAACGCAATAAAACGTTAGAAAAGCATTAGGAAGAAAAAAGCGAGGCGGAGACCGCGCGCGTAGCGCGCGCGAGAGCGTGACATCGTTATCGAGGCTCGCGCTAAATCGAATTTCGAGCCCGGCTTCCTTGGCTTCCGTCGCCGTGTACTTGAGAACTCAATGATCTCCTCGAGTTTTCCGAGCACGAATAGCGATGGCGGAATACCAGTCGAGATATGCGCGGTCGCAGCGCACGATTCGATGCTACTTTCGATATAAGGCGTCTCTCGAAGAATTCTCGCGTGCATCTTAAATCATTCGGTTCAACACGCTACATATAGATATCGCGCGTCGGGAGTAACATTATTATTATATTTGCGAATAAAAGTGGAGAAATTGCACGGACAGAATTTATTAGACGGACGATTTCAGTTCGTTAAGAGACCCATACTTCTTGTGGCGAAATCGAGCGTATTTTCGTTCCACGACGCGCGAGGACTATCGATTTGCCGCTACACATTTGCTGAAAATCCCTAGTAGCCCCTAGCTCAATATTATGCATTCGAGTTTTTCGCGGAGCAGCCGCCCCGACTCGACCCACACCACTGCTGTCGTAACAAAAGCGAAGTGGCTGTGTAATACGCCGACACGACGACGACCCGAATCGCGAAAATAGGGAGTCGGAAGTCGAACAAGAAGCGCCTGTCGTAGACAGAGCTACTACTGCGTCGCATTTTCTCAGAAAATCAGTTCATGAAAATGTGGGTGGGTGTTCTGTTCTGACCGGGGCAACTCCCGAGCCCGAATGTCTGAGTTTTCAGGACGTAATTCCATCACAATATAAGCGCAGTCTAATAGCTAAATTCTTTTATTCAAATTGCGAATCTCTCACGACTTTTAATCGCGCACACGACAAATAACGAAATATCTCGCTCAGAGGTGAATTAATTGATCGATCGAAAGCGATATCACCCGGGTGATAGCCACCAAATGCATTAGTGAAGTTGATTTCATTGAATTTCATCAAATCATCCCCGGGATTGAGAGCCGCGATATGCAGACCTCACTCGAGTTCCGGTCGATCCCTCTTTACATCCACGCTGCGTTTTATATAAGCGGATTGCCACAAAGCGGTTTAAGCTCCGACGCTTTTATCGGAACGAGAGAGGGGAGAAAACTGCCTGATATTATCACGTAAATATTTCCGTACTAACGACATCGACATTTATAAAGTACATTTAAAATAAAAATTTAATCAAAAACTGCGAACACTACAAAGGCCCCACATACTTCAGAGTACAGTGACATATATTTAAAATTAAAAAAAAAACAACAACAAAAAAACAACTTTGCCTGCTAAAAATTTCTACCGCGACACTATGCAAGACGAAGGAAGGATCGTGCTCGCCAATGTGCCGATCGATGCGACGAGCAGGAGCGCTTTTTACGATGCTTTTCCATTTGCGGTTCCCGCGGTTGCGGATGAATCTCCATTGAGACACAATTGCGCGCCACGGAACATCTCTGACAGTCCAATATTCAAGTATGCATTTGGATTTATGGGTTGGTCTCTGAAATATCCCGCGAACACTCCGCGAATATCTTGGATATCTTGTCTCGCAGAACGGAAATTAACTGTCCAAAATTAATTTTGCACTCCTCAGCGCATAAAATTCTTTTCATTATTCAAAACAATTATCAGTAATGTTTTCCGCAAAATATAATTAATATAATTTGTTTTTACGTAACGTAGTTAATATGCGCGTATGAACAGGATATATTCAGCATTTATCGCGGCTCTTCTCGTGGCTTCTCGCTTGTAATTTATAATTAAATACTTCTCTTGCATCGTTTCGCGCAACAACACGATTATCTGTCAGAGGCTATTAACTCGTGGAAGTTACGACTACATTCAATCCCGCCTCATCACATCAGTCACTTTTCTCTTATCGAATCTACATTTGTTAACATCGTCACGCGCGTATTTGCCCTCACGTACGAATCGGTCTTATTTGTAGTCGCGGAGTCGTCTTTTCTCAAAAAAGATCAGTTCTTCGAAAGAGATTTCGAAGAATATATTCCGCGAACAGGAGGACTGTTCTAACAGATAAAGTGAGGAAATGGAGAAACAACGACACCGAAGCAGAAAGTCCAATAATATTCAATAACAGTTTCCAAATAAAGCATTCGAAAAATTGAAAGTTAGCCTTGGATACAATTGACAGATAGGATGTCATTCCATGCTCGTTGAATAGCGCAACGACTATGATGTACCTTATCGAATAAAACAGAAGCGAGGGAAGTTGAGACTTATATTTGATAGAAGAGACGTCTGCTTTATCACGCGAAAATAAGCTACACTTGAAAAATAAATTCATAGACGAGCAAAAATTAGAAAACCATCCTACTTATTTAATTGCAAACGACATAATAATCAGCGATGACGAATATGTAAAAATCGTGTAAAAACCAAGGGAAAATCCATCAACAGGAAAATCTTTATCGTTAGTCATTTATTTTTTTCCCTCGAGATAATTTCTCTTCTTTTTTCCCCCTCAAGTTATCTTTTCACTCTTGAATTGAGACTATATTTCAACGACGATATTTTAACGCCTGCGAAATTCCACAACGACCATCCAGCAGCCGGGCAGCTTCATCTCACAGTTATCCGGCTGACTTTCCTTCATCCCCGGTATGAACAACGAAGCCGGAAGAGAGCTCATTCGTCTTCATTCGCAAACCCGATTAACTACTATTCGAGTAAACTGAACTGAATAGTATCCAGTACAATATCGCGCGCGCGACGCTTTCCATTACTACACTCGTGCAATTCAAACGATATATATTCGCTAATCTAACCGTACGGTATCACTGCGCTCCAGCCGCCGGTCGCGCGGACAAGCCGATCGTTCGATGGAATGCCTTCATAGCGGTAGAGAATAATGGAGTACCGAGTCAAATTGCGGTTCAGTGTTGCGTCGTGATTAATTTAATCCTTCCTTGCGTTTCCGACGTTCGCGGAAGCGACAGGAAAAAGCGCGTTTGCGGTACTGTTGCGTAAATATTTCGGTAAATATTGACGACGTCGATATTCTCTATCTATTGAAGTGAATTTCTCAAAATACAATTTGGGTTGTCAAAATAGTAGGAATAAATCTATTCGTTTATTTATACGTATTGTTGTAAATGTAATCTGCGAGATGTTGGTACACATCTGTAATTTTAGGCAGCCATCTCGCAGATGTAAGAATGCACATGGTTGCAATTTTCATCGTCTAATCCACCCTCGATAAGGAGCATTCCGCAATTTTGGTTGCCTTGATAGTTGTCGGGTTGATTTGGAAATTTAGTCGTCCACTTGGTGAATCCTGTTTCTTCTAAAGGGTCGCCTTCGACGGTGATCCACTCACCCTCTTGATAAAGATCATGAATTCCGAGCCAACCTTCGCGTACATTGTTCTCTTTCATCAAACGTAAAAGAAGCTCCTCCTCCGCTTCCGAATTGATAATCGCCAAATAACCTGATCGCGTTTGAAATATATTAAAAAATCTTTTGCTCTGATATTTGTACGTTTATATTATCGTGACCACGATACTTCTTTAATTTATGAATGATGTGTTGTGTTAAAGCAATTTTTCAAATGCTAGTAATACATGCCAATTAATATATCAATGACTGATGATCGTTTGATGATGCGTCATGAGTTATTTTCTTTACCTCCTTCAGTGTTGCAAGCTTGGCGAGCATAGTTCCAGGTGAGTTTACGAGTCACCAATTTATGCGCAGTTAAACCACTAGTGCCAGTGCCACCCAGTTTTTCCGAATGCTTATTATTTATTAATATTCGCTTGAGCTGGTCTTCGTCGTATATATAAAATATTTGCTGGCCCACATTGTAGTTGTTATTTCCGTTCATAGCAATCACGGGTTTCTTGCTCAACTCCTCTGACGGGATAGAATTATTTTAATAATTTTCCGAAACAAAAAATTGTTCACATCTCTATTTCTCCGAAGATCACATTTATTCTTATGCAAATCTTCTATTTTTTATGTAACACGTCTAATTTAACAAGATGAATAAAGTACGGAAAATCTACAAGCTGTGACAATCTAGCTTCGATATTTTTGAAGAAAAATATCTTAAAAAAAACTTTTAATAGCAATCTAAATCGAGAGACTAAGCAGTTTCAATAAAACACTGATAGAGAAAGAGAGAAAGTCGAAGAGAAAATAGATTTTTAAAGTTTCAGTTTTAAACTTTCGTATAAAATAAATTGTAAGCAAGGATTTATACCTGTAATCGCGGTCAAATTGCCGTTATCTACATTTGGAATAGAAAGAAGTCGAGTCGACGTGTCTTGAGCAAACGCATATCGCTGAGTTTCGCACCAAACGACAAGAACAACTAACAGATACTTGAACATCATTAGATGTTACCACTGAACAGTCTCGTGAAGCAATGCCACGGTAGACAGTCGACGTTGTGCCCGTCGTTTCGTTATACTCAATCGGTAAAAGATAACCCGACGCACAGGTCATGAGGAAAGATTAAAATTGACGTAAACAGTAAAAACAGCAATGAAGTGTATCGACATTGCAAACTGAAAAAATTGTAATCGCAACGATACGCGTTGTCGCGCAACCGAAACGCTGGGATTTTTGATTTACGATGATTTACGGGATTTACGATGATTCGTATTGCTTATTTTTGCTCATTTATTAAATTACTCATTTATATACATATATTGTTAACAAATACATGCGACTATCCATCATCATATTGATAAATCGGCAATATCAGACAAAATTCTCCATTACACGGCAATCTCGCAAAAGAAGGGAACCAAAACGTCGCATAGCTCATTGGTCATTCCGCCCTCTTTAAGAGCCGCGCAATTTTGACGATTAGCATCACTGTTGGGTCCGTTGGCCGCCCACTTAGCGTATCCGGTATTTTTTAAGGCCTCATCCGTGACGGTGACCCATTCACCTTTTTTGTAGAAGTCATGCACTCCGAGCCAAGCGGCGTCTATGCCATTATCTCGCAGCATGCGCAAAAGAATTTCCTCCTCAGAGACCGAATTGATAACCGCCAAATGACCTAGTCGTATGCGAAATTTTATAATAAGAAATCTTCCGCTCAATACTGTTATACGGGATAGCTATCAACATTCATCATGATAATTTTCCAATGAAACCTCATTAAATATCGGCGAGCAAATCAAATACGTAATATCAATCGCAAGTCAAATACACGCAACATGCGCTGATTGAAACATGAATTCAATAATTAATGATCATCGTTCTACATTAGTGGCGCTTCATGAATTATTTTCTTTACCTCCTTCCTGAATACAAGTCTGGCGAGCATCGTTCCAAGTGAGACTGTCAGTTTGAAGTTTGTGCGCTCCTACACCGGGCGTGACGAGATAGCCAGCAGGGTTCACATTTGCTTTTGCCACAATCGTCGTTTCGACGTTTACGAGAATTACTTGCACGCCCGCGTTAATATTATTTGATCCGTTTATCTTAACTAGCACTTTGTTACATCCGTCTGATAAAAGAATAGAAACAAAGTTAGACATTTCTTGAAAAATTAAAATAAAAGGGACTATTTGCGTCTATGCAATTTTATCTCGTTATAAAAATATCTCGTGATAACTGAAAAAATTTAATGCTTCTGCAAAAAAATATATAAATACGTAAATCTTCCAATAGAAAAGCAAATCGAACGTCGTATTGCGATAAAATAGAAATCAGAGACACCAGAAATATTAGAATACTGCAGCAGACATCAGAGTACAAGAAATATAGTAGTCACGAGAAGTTTAGAAAACGTAAAAAATTCAATTTGTTTCCATATGGTTCAAATTTGAGAATAAAATATATCATTAAGCGAAAATTTACCTTCAGTACTATTATCTGGATCTGTTGCGTTCTGCAACGAGTTCAGTAGCGGCAAGCTTTTAAATAACGCCGGAAGACGTTGAAGTACTTCTTCTTGCGGAACCGCATGTCCACGAGTGTGGCAAAGAATAACGAAAATAAAGAAATACTTGAACATGTTTGATCTTGCTATTAAACAATCTCGTAAAACGTCTCGACAGGTTTTGCTCTTGGCTCAACGAACGTTTGCTTTTATATTCATTTTGAGATTCGATAAAAATTTAGATTAGATGTAAAAGGATTAGATATAAAAGGATTAGATATAGAATCATTAGTTTGCATTTCTGAGATTTGTTTTCCTGATTTCTTAAAACTTTATTGTTTGTCATGTTATTTTTATTATTATTTTTATTATATAAAACACTTGTGTTTATCGGTGTTCGTCGTAATCAATGTTTAATCGTGTCTTTATCGGTACTTATACATTGTGTCTTTGATCTATATCTAATATCAGATTTCTGTGTAATCAATTTTATCTCTTGTGATAAAACGCACTTTTTTGCATCATTCTACATCATAATAAATATTCATCATCATCAGTATATATGTATTCCATCTAATGTTGTAAAGATTTAACATTCGAAAGACGATGATGTTCGTGGCAGAAAAAAATTCTCTCTTGTCGTAGACATATTACAGTCCTGTCAGCAGCGATCTAATAAACTTTCCACAAAGTAAATGAAGCGAAGAAGTAGTTCAAAGGAATGATGTAAGAGACGGTGCGTAGGAAAGCAGTCTAGCCTGCAGTAATAACGTGGCACGCATCGCTAACCAAATGTATTTTAATAGCGAGAGGGGTCGCACAGCCAGAGGCATTTTTGCGACGCGAGGCCTATAAAAACCGGTATGCAGAAGTAGCGATTAGGAATCAGAACCAGCTATCTCCGCGTTAAAACATGCTATAATCTCATTTACAAAATGCGAATAGAATTGATAGACCGCGCGAGATACCATATCTCAAGCGCATTTAGACATAATAAAAATGTCATGGTGACGATTATCGCGATGGCACTTATCAGCGACTGAAGATTTATATTTGCAGTCGGATCAGCTATGCCCTTCGAATAATTTAGCCTGCACACGTGGTGTCTGCTACATTATACATTTGCGCGCAATCGGACGAGGTAACAACTGTGGCAATGAAACGGCATTTTGCAGTCAAACTTCCACGAGCAACGAGATGATATCAAGAACAATTCAAAATCACAACCAAGAGCGCAGATGCAAATATCGTAAGATCATTTTACTCATTTCCTATTTTTCTCTGCAAAAAAAAAAGACAAAAATTTTCTCTCGAATGTCGAACATTCGAGATAATTGCAAACGTATATTCGTCGCGATGCGATCACGAAATTCAAGAGATGTTTTCAAAGCATTCGCACTAACAACAGATTGAAAGTCACTCGTCTCAATCGTTCGGGAGACGAAACTTCCCTTCGAGAGAACGCTCTTAATCAATTAGCATTTATTACCGTCAGATTAGTCATCGCGACCTGTCTCTCTATCGACCGAAAGTTCCCTTCGACGATATTCAGCCCGCGTCTCCGAAAGTCAAACTGGAAATCGCGCGCTCTGAATGCGACACTGGAAGGTCTTCTTGAAGATTCATTCAAGGCTGCGGATTTAATAGCCCCGAAGAGGAATCAGAGTCGCAATAAGAAGGGACGGCGCGCGCGATTGCACTAACTGAGCAGAGTTTGGTCGGGAAGTAGCTTTGGGACTTTCTCGGGCGACATTAGTTCCGCCGTCGCCGTGCCACGCTGGTTCCGTCTACATTTATCTCTCCTTTTTTTCCTCTCCATTCGCAAACCTCCTTCCTTCGTCCCGAACCTGGGGGATTGCAAACCGGTTGCACTCTATCGGTTATTTAATCGAATCTCCCTCACTATTTATTGATTACCCGCCGCGCTCCGGCGTAATCCTGTGCGCTCTGCTTGTCTAGCTTTTATTTTATGACACGCTCCGGCGTGCAGATTGTCCGACAGACCCTGGCCTTTCTCGGACACGGTCCCCGATGACGTATCGCGAAAAGCGTTCGTACGGAAAAATGCGAAACAAAAACTGGGCTGAAAATCGCTTTGATACAAAAATAATCAATCGCGCGATAGAGACAAACCGATCCGACGCACGATCGACGTTCGACGGAGGACGCAATTAGTGGCATTAAAACGACTCGAATGCCTCGTAACGACGATCGCTTCGGCGCATAAAGAAAATACCATCCCGGAGCGAGAGGAGAGAAAAAAAAATGCGCGTGGGCTTATTGCCGGTTCGCGCGATATATACTCGGCGACGAGTCAAGGATGCTCGAGAAAAAAAAAACTGCATTTCGCGATGCGTCGCATATTGCAGCGTCAGAGGTAGTTAAGATTTAGCTTTCGGCTGCATTCATTTGCTAACTGTAGCGCCTCGTCCGTACTCCGTAGTCAAGCAAACTTGTTAATTGCGTGCTCGACCTACTCGACGTTCATATAATGGAGTCGTGTCACGTCTGATATCGCGGCGAGTAAATTAAAGCGGCAGGACCCGGGTGAAAGATGAAGCCGGAGCGCGAACAGTGGATGACGATATTGAGAAAAGCACGAGAGACCGATACTTGTCAAAGTGCAAGCGGGTAACAAAGAGAGAAAGAGAGAGAGAGAAAGACCGATAATCCAGATATTCAGATCCACTTGTTCGATCCGGGAATTACTTTCGAATCTCGTAATACACGATTGTTCTTAAGCTTATGAGATTTTCGACGACGGTGCGTCGTCGCAATCACGCGCGGCGCGCCATCGGCGTTGTAAATTAAGATATGGGTCTCGCGTTTAAGCTGCACCCTGCCACGCTGCGAGCGCCGAGGATCGAATATTGCATGCATAAATGCAAGCCTATCCCGCGCGGAAACAATGCAAAGGTCGGCACTACATCACACGAATGATAATTCAGGTAAGTGCGAGGTCGTCGCTAAACTCGCGATTAAATCACCGAACCGGGATTAATGAAATGATCATTATTTAAAGCGGCGCATTATAATGTACGAACTTTATCTCAGGCAGTTTATCGAGAAACGCCGTGAGCCATTACTTTGACCAAGTTGAGATAATTGCTAACCGGATGACGGTCGTTACGTAACACCATCAAGTCCGGCGGAATTATCGGGAAATGTGAAAAACGACAAACGATAATGCGCGAAATCTGGTGCGTGGGATGGAGCGGACGCGCGCGTAAGTTACGTTCTTCAGTGAATGAGCTGATAATCGAATTGATTTGCCAGCACCTGCTGCTTTGGCGGATTGCGAAGAAAAAAAGGTTCAATTAATCTTCCGAGAGTCAACTTTGTATTTTCAATGCGCGCGCCGTGAAAGCATTAAGCGCATTTCAGATTAGCGATTAAAATATCTCAAATTCAATTTGCCGTTAAGTAGGTCGACTTCGGTCAAGGAAGTCTCCGAAGAAGATCGTAAGTTCCGCGCGCGCGGTTCATATATATTCACTTCGAGCTTTTCACGCGAACGAACGATAGGCCGACGCACTCGAGAAGGAATAAATTTCCGACGTATGAAAAAGTCGCCGTTAAGAGAGCGTCGTCCGAAAGATGGTGATCGGAAGTAATCTGATAATTCGGAGCCGTCGAAACTGTGTGAAAACTCGGATTATACAATGACGATTACCGTAAAACCGGAAATATGTAGGCACTTATTTCACGCGATTACACGACGGCACACGTATCGATTTTTAATAAAAGGCTATCTAATAATAAGTTTTCCTTGGTAAAAACTGGCACCTGCGTCATTTGCTCTTGAACAGAATGTCATGCTTCTGGATATTTGCGATGCAAATAAGAGATACACGAAGTTTGACGTGGGAAATTGGATTCTAATGTAGGTACCTTTCGTGTAGAGCGCACACCCTTTGTAACTACCGTTTATTTTACCGGCGACAATTCCATTTCCACAAATTCGTCTTTGCCTTTGATTCGCGCAATGAGCCACGTAATCAGATAAATCCACGTCGGAGAGATTGAGATTTTTTTCCACCGTTCATGGAAATGCGTTCATTACGCGAAATCGCGAAATCGATGATACGAAATTTCAATTATCGATACCGGCGATATCGGCGCGCATTATTGGCGAAATCGAAAGGCTGTCTTGCTGCGAGCGATAAAGAAACTGGGACACTCGAGTTATTTGGGAGGAAGAATGACGCTTGACCGAGGGGATTTTATGACGCGATGCGACACGACGCGATGCGGTTCGAGTTTCGGGCTTGCAGTTCGAAAAGTCGAGGCGTTTTCACAGCACGCAAAAACGTCACGCTGAAATCACACTTCCGTTGTCTAAGAGAAAAGTTTTCGTGACAGACGCCAGCGATTCTGACATTACTTCGGATACTTCTCTGTTTAAAGCTTTGTTTCGTTGTTTTTCGACTGTCTCGTCGCGAACAGAAATCCACGACAAAGACTTCAAAAACGAAAACGCGCACACACATGTACATATGTACAAGCGCGCTTCGGCACACATATCAGCGTGCAATTTGTCAATCATGTTTATTCTCAAAATAGAATCACTTGAATCGAATAAGGATAAATTTTTCCGTTACCGCTGATATTGCTCTAAATACAGCTTCGTATATTCGTTGATAAAAAAGAAGAAAAAACCGTTTTCACGAAATGTGCGCAATATCTATTCTCAAATATTAGACTTTAAACATTTCGATCTGAAAATGCATAATATGATATAAGCTCCCGCGTTATAGAGATTTCCAGTCGTTAGACAAGATTTAACAAATCCGGATTCAGGAAAATCGCTTTCTCGGAGACAATCCTCTTCGTACGAAGAGAACACGATTTTCTTGATAGAAAAAAAATTCACTGCTTATTCGATAAATCTACAGATAATCTCGTTCGTGGCAATAGATTGAGCCAACGCCGCCAACCGTGCGTCGGTCGATCACGAAGCACGGAATGGACTCGTGTTATTGTGCGCGCCACTAAATATTTAACGAGATAAAACGGTAATCAGTTAATTACTCGTTGCTTATACGCATCGTCGGCCGTTGATTTTGCGCATTATTCCGGAATATTTCAACACTTTTTCTTCCGCAATAACCAACACGTACATCGCCTAGCGATTATTTATATATCCATCTCGATTGTAATTAGCGCGTTCAGCAGCTATATAAAATACAGTGCACGATATCGTGACAAAGCGTGTCGCACGTGATAAAACCGAATTGTGCATGGATGATAAAATTCGACGCAAAAGAGTCCGAAATAAATGATTCTCTCCTCGATAGCGTTTAATTCTTTACACGACCGCGGCAATTAACGAACCCGTCATTACCAAATATATCCGCTATTATATGGTTAAACAACGTAATCCCCCTTCGGAACTTTCACGTAGCATTGAAATGAGGAGCGTATCGATTTGCCAGTAGGCCGATTACGGCACAAAAGGCGGCGAGAAAAGCATATAGCATAAATGTGAAGTACGAACCGATTGTTGAGCGGGTCTGCGGCTGGACGATCGGATTGTTATTCGCTTCAGCGTTCGTCGAGCGGTGATCGGACGTGACAGTTGTCGTCGAGATGATATTGTTAACGACGCTGCCGGGCACGGATGTCGATGTTGTCGAGGCCGACGTTGTTGTCGAGGACGGATTCGTGGCGTTCGTAGCTGGCTTCGACGACCAGGAGCTGCAAGTGTCGCAGCCTTCGGCCGAGCGTGTTGATAATCGACAGCAGGACCAGCGTTTTCCACTCCAGAGACCCGCGTGGTAACGCCCGCTCAAGCTCGAATTCTCGCTGCACACTGTAACAAATGGGCATCGCTCGTAAATCGTGCTTAAGGATGATATATCGCACTTCAAATGACAAATTCCACTAATAAAGAAAGCGTGTCGTTTTTTTTTTTATACCGATGTGAAACGTACGTGACGGAGTGCTCCAGAATTTCTCTCTTAAAGTTTGATATTGACTTAGCTTATCTATCGTAATAAATATCAAAGTTACTGCAATTTTTATATAACATCTTTTAAATAAAATATTATTCTTAAGCATTATTATGTCATCTATAAATTTATCTTTGTACTAAAACACACATACAATGTTTTTTCTGCTTGCAATAAAAATCACGATTCAGAAAATTACTATTAATACATTCAATATTCAAATTAACATAGATATATGCTCCATGGTAATGCGAATCTTGCTTGTCATTTAACGTCAGACGAATCATTCACGGATGAAATACTTGCTCGAAATCGGAATTGAATATCGATGTAAGAAAAAGAAGAAAAGGAGGAAGGAAATAGAAGGAAAATTTACCAGCGCGTATGGCACGTATCCATTCGGCGCGGTCCTGCTCGCGAGCGGCGAGGAGATAGAGCGTATACTCTTGACCAGCTTCCCGGTATCCGACCTGGAAGGGTAACCCGGATGGTATACCGCCACCCCCGCCGCCTGCATCGCCGCCACCCGCGGTGTCGCCAACACCGCCGCCTCCGCCACCGGTGCTACCACTTCCGAGGCTGGCCGTTTCCACCACGTGGACGCTCTCCACGGCGATCCGTCCGCGTTCCTTGCGGCGCTGTAACAGATAACAATCTCTGATTGGCATTTGATTCACTAAAACACCAATGGTCTCAGAATTACATTGATCTCAGAATCCACCAACAATTTCCATTGAATAGAGCTGTATTTATTATGTAGAGAGTCTAAAAAATATAATATAAATATTTGTATAAAATATAATATAAAATATAATATAAATATTTATATAAATATAAATATAATATAAATATAATATAAATATTTGCACATGAGTAACTAAGATGATAATTGTTTTTAAATTATTTAATTTATATTTGAAATAAATATGAGCGCTGTAGTAAAGTAGTATTTTAAATATAAATTACATAATGCATATAATAAAACATGAAATTGCACACAACTCTGAAATTTTCCTTCTATATTCAGCAGTTTACGTAATCGCCTCAATTTCAGAATTAGGTCCAGAGTTTCAATTTTAGATTAAGATGTCAAGCGTTGGGGTAATCTCGATGTGCTTGTTACCGGAGTATATCTGATTGCACTTAGCCAATAAGGCTTTAGCTCGAGAATACATTATTGGCTTTGATGAGGAAATTAAATTGCGATAAACTATTCATGCTACAATAGCAACGGAATACCTTCCGAATATCGACACAGTATAGTTACGTTTCAGACGTGAAAAAGTAATTTGCGAGCGGGCACGGAGCGACCCTCCCCGGGGACATTCCTAGCGGAATTCGTGATATGTGTCCGTGCAACATGGATTTTCCATCCGAGAACGGGCAAGCTAATCGAACAAATGCGAGAGAGAGAGAGAGAGAGAGAGAGAGAGAGAGAGAGAGAGAGAGAGAGAGAGAGACAGCAGAGAGAACTATTCAAATTCGATCGAAAATCTCTTTACCTCCACGTTGTACGATAGATCCTGCGACGCGGCGAACACGATGAATCCGACGAAGTCGGTGGCTCGGTGGTTCCGCACGTGGACCACGTTATATCGGCCCGAGATCGGTACGATAAACGGTTGACCGTTTAGACGATTTAATCTTCTTGAAACGGTGTTCGGAGGGAAACGAGAGAATATCGAAATTGCAATCGATGCGCCTTAACTATTCGCGACGTCTTACAGTTCCGAGGATCGATAGGTACAGCTTGATCCTGTCGCTCAGGATCAGATGGCACCTGGACAGAGCGCGTCGGATCAGGATCCAGGAAGGTCGACTGTTACGCCAAAGGATCAAGGCGCGCGTCGACGTTCTTCCGCGCTCGTCGAGGGATTAGAGCGTTATAGACTCGTCCGAGGAATCGTCAACTCGCGGAAGAGTATCGAGTACCCGAGCGGAACCGGAAGTCCGACGTATACAGCTTCGTTATACTTTGTCGACACCGACCCCGAAAGACGGCCACTGACTGAGCGAGCGAACGAGCAGCAGCAGTATCAGGAACCCAACGACAACGGCGGAAGAAAGGACGAGGAGAGGAGGAGGAAAAGGTGGAAGAGGAGGAGGAGGAGGAGGCAGGATGGAGAACCCGCGCGGGGGCGCCTGCGCCACTAATTTTACACACGGTATCACGGTGCACGTTATCCGCCACCCCCTGCCGAAAGCAGCCTGGTCCACCAGTCCACCTACCCAACGGCCCGCTTAGCTACAGAGGTATAGCTACTGGTACTAGTCACGACCGCACGCAGTTACCGAACCGATAGTTACCGGTTGCCACCCTACTCGTTGTCGCGAGATTGAGGGGACTGTGCTATCGTGACAAAGACGAGATTAACCCGGAAACTCTGCGACGAAAATTACAACGGAACAGTATATCACAAGTTATCCGAATTAGCCTTTATATAATTAGTGTGTTATTAATAGTTCAATAGTTAACTAAAAAATTGATTATGTAAGATAAATTTTTATTTCAATTTTTTTAAATAATTTAAAAGTAGTTCAAAGAAACAAATTGCACTGTTGTATAATTAATTTTAAAAAACTTGATTATATAATAGTACAATTTTGCACATAATTACTTGAAAAGAAATTAGTTAAGTTTGTATAAAATTGTAAAGAAAAAAGATTTCAAAATAAATGTTTTTGATGTTTTGTGTGAATGCAATATTGTTACATTTTCAATATTTCAGTTATTATCTGTTACAGTTTCTCTTTGAAGCAATATCAATTTCTCAAAATAAGAATTTTATGGGAACAATAACAATGATATATCATAACAATGATAACAATATCATTAACAAAAACGAAAATTTAATTATTATTGTCACATGATTGTCACATTACAAATAATAAATAATAAATTGACTGACTTTGTGCATATCATATTTTACTGGATTTTAGAAAATAAAATTCAGATATAAATTTCAGAATTTTACTCACCTCACCATCCCCATCATAGTAGATGAGATAATGTTTTGTCAGCACAAACCATCGTTGCTTGTAATTGACTGGAGTAAAGCGTTTTTTATTTTGGGAGCGTTTTATCATGAATCCTTGTCGAATAACATCTCCACCTTTTGACTCTGGCTTCCCATCCTTTCCTGCCATCACAGATGAGGGGCCTCCCTAGCAACAGGAAAAATATCATCTTTACATATAATAAGATAACTTCATTAAAATCTAAATATTTTATTATGTGCTCTGAACACAGACTTAGTATTGATACTTGTTGCACAACAGCTTAATTCAGCAATTCTTTATAAGAGATACACAAAAACTTAAGTACATTTAAATCTGGCTTATTATTATGTGGCACATCTGGTCTATTCGAAATAAACAGAGGATGCAAAGGAATCTCTAAATATAGCACATCCGGAAATTTTTTTCTCACTCTATCACCCGCTTCCTGCCATATAATTCAACTCACGTGTGAATTAATGAGCAATTATTATCTTCATCGTTACCGCATAAACGGCCCTGTGCTCGCACAACGGAGCGGAATCGAGAGAAACGCGAGCGAGTGTCGCCGAAATCTCGGTAGTGTCGTTACACCTAAAGGAGCGGCAGCGCGAGAATATGTGTGGTTATCCCAACGTTTGATAATTCGAATTCTACACCCACCGCGAGGTCTGTCGGCGTTTACTGGCCGCGCCAGCGACATTTTGGGCGAAATCTCGCGCTTACCATGCAACAGATATGCGCTACCACCACGCAATCCCGACACTTGTTAAAAACATGACCGGCGCCCAAACAAAGAATTCACGTGGAACGAACGCATACACACACCGACAATCTGTCAAACGAAGACGTCTCGCGGCGACGTCGGGAATTTGCGAGATATCAGGAAATGCCTGACTACGTTGATCAACGTAACGCCGGATTCCCACGAATAAAGAATCACGTGTGACAAACGGGACGTGATGGTCCGGTATTACGACATTTCGTGTAACGCATAAATATTTTTAAAAATTGAGGAGAATTTTACGATTTAGAATGCGCTAATGATTGTCGAACGGTCGGAATACGAAATATCTTTTGACTTGTATAACTTGAAACGTAACAAAATGGCGAGCTAGTGAGTGAGTGTCTTCGTCTCTGTTGTTTTGTTTTACTTGTGAGGCGTTTACCTGTCATATACGGACTTTTGAGATCTTCAAGAGTAATACAAAAGGAACTTTGCGATTCATAGGTTATTTTCCATCTAAGACATAATCAGAGTACACAAAATTATTCTGTTGCTCATTGCATATCAAAGATAGAATAATACTTGTGTCGTTTTGTGTAGATTGAAAATAACTGAAAATTGCTTTTCGATCCATGCGAATACAATATGAACGATTTTAATTAATACATATGAACGCGACCTAACCTATCCATGTGTTCGATGTGTCATCGATGAATCATTATTTACCATTGTTCGTCCACACTGCCATCGGAATATATTGAGCATGGCAGCCCCCGAAGCGATCCAAGTCAGCTCTCTGCCATTACCACCCGTCCAGTATATCAATTCGTACTCGGACGAGAATGTTCGCCGTGGAAGAGCTCCGCGGCCACCGCTGCCGATACACGAGTCTTATATGATGTTCGGCAATGCCTTCAATGCGGACGACACAATCATCAGGTCGTTGGAGTTGCAAGGAATTAAGAGATTATACCCGCAACACTTCGACCGGCGACGTGAACTAAAGAAGCTCAATCACTCTCTGCTTGTAAATTTCTTAGATTTGATAGATTTACTTGTCCAATGCCCTGATAGTCCGCGACGTGCTGAAAAAGTATGTACATATACAATTATAATTTAAATCAACAAGTCTTGTGCACTGGGATTTGTAATATTATTTTGACTGTGATCTTTTAAGAAATATTGATATAATCTTGTTGTTTTACAGGTAGAAGATTTAAGTTTATTATTTATCCATATTCATCATCTATTGAATGAATTTAGACCACATCAAGCTAGGGAAACATTACGAGTTATGATGGAATTACAGCGCAGACAACGGCTTGAAACAGCACTACGTTTCCAAAAACACCTTGAAAAAGTATATTATTAGAATTTCAAATTTCTCTGATGTTTTCATAAATGATTTGTTATACATGGCATTATTCCAGGTGCAAGAAATACTGCAACATGCTTTACAGATGCTTCCAGATACGGAACTGGACTCCAAACTTGCAATAAATACAGATGCTATGGAATCTGCAGATAATTTAGGTCTTGAACAACAAAATCAAGATCCATGTAGCCCAAGTGATCGTATCATGTGCAAAGCGATAGACGATATGATTTCTTCTAATGGATTGTTTTAAGATTTTTTTTACTCCAGTATGACTGTTTACTGCTAAATATGCTGTAATAATTTTATTTTGTAATGTTTATAATGCTTATTAAAGTTATTTTACAATGTTGTGTATATCAAGTACAAATTTTCAAATTTTGTGACCTATATATCATATTAAAATATTACACAAAAGAATGGCTTCTAACAAAAATAATATTTTCAATGTTTTTTATATATTTGTCGCTTTGTTTTCACCTGTAAATTTTATTCTTCAAACAAAAATTGTAGTTGCTTGAAGATTAACGTTTTATTATTTATACATTAGTAATACAGGAAGTTTGACAAATTGTAACTCAAGTATATCATTCGTATCCTAAAATTTAGTAAATTGAGATTATTATATATGATTGTGCAAATCTAAGCGCATCTAATGCAACTACACAAGTTTTTACAGATATTAATGCAATATAGAATCTTAAATATAGAATAGACATAGATCTAGTCACACATGCGTGGACAGTTTGACGGCTTATTTCTAAAATCAATTGTTCTAAATCAACAGATTTTTTTCAACTCATTATTCCCTTGAAATACCTGCATTTACTGGGTAAAAAAACACCATGTAGTATTAAATAATGTTATTTATTGAAGTAGTTAGAAACATTTACGAATTGCAGATAACATAAAACCTTTCTACATGATGATAATGGAGAGAGGAAAAGGAAAGACAGAACACAATGCTTGTTAAACTCACCTCACAAAACAGCAATCACATGAAGGAAAAATATACACAAATACTTAATAATAAGTAGAATAATATCAGCTCCTGTAAAGAAAGTGCGTGTACTAATTAGTTTTTTCAAATACTCTCTGCTTCTTTGCATCCATCTCTCTGACAGAAATCTGTAATAAAAAAATATATATAAGTTTATATGACGTTCGCCTAGTCCTCAATTTCCAAGCCTCTTGTTAGTATGTATTTTCTGAAAAAGAAAAGCAGTATAATTGCTGCTGGTATCACTCTTGATCTTATCGAAGAAACATAGATTCATGAAACCAATATATTTTTACAATCAAAAATATAATATATATTAATAAATTAATATTTTTGAATATAAAATTGAATATAAAATTAAAATAAAATAACAAAAGTATTCAGAATTTATATTTTTCAGAATAAGCATATATAAGATATGAGAAGCATTATTAGAGAAGCATTTACTGAATCTATTGAAACAGGAAGCATAGATTGCGTATAAACACAAATATTGCTTTTTGTAAATGAAAAATTATATCTAATTATATCTGATGTTTCTTCGATCAAATTGTTCTTTTGCATGGCTGCTCGCTCTGATCTGCTCGAATCCTCTGTTACGCATGGACCAATCCTGTAGACAAACAAATATCAAGAAATATAAAGGTTTGGAGCTAGGAAGGCTAATTTAGGAATGGATACAAAAAGTGGTATTCTTGTATTGTTCTATCTGTCGTCTTGGAGATGAAGGAACTGTACATTTCCATAAGCTTGTGCCACTACGTCGATGGTTCAATTGTATAGTATGAACTTGTTGTCAGCATATTTCCGTTTTCCATTTTTATCGTTTTCGTTATTCCATCTTTATGCTTTGTTTCAATATCGTCAACTACAATCCAATTTCTATAATATTCTTGATAAGTTCTGTGCTGCTAAACTTCTTCTTTCTTCATATATTCCATGTTCATGAAATCAGTTATTGTAGCAGTATGTTCTGTTGATCTTAATACATTTGCGTTCACTGTACTCTGTTTGCATACTTTCATATATTTTTTTATATACGTCTGCAATATTTTTGGATTTTTATTGCAGTTTATATATTATAATGTTACAATTGTTTTCTGTCTCTTTTTCGATATTTGTAAAACATTGAAAAATATTTGAGAAGTCAAGAAAGTCTGCAGATTTTTAATTTTCTGATATATGTCTGCAATTTGTCAAAGCATTCAAATCACTGCTATGCTTTTGATGTGTAACGTAAAAATCATTGTTGTTACACGTACGATTATAGAGAGTAACAGTAGATTTTGCAATGTCACTTTTTTGAAAGCATTTTGTCAAACTCACAGGTTATATAAGCGTTTATGTTGTCATTCCAATCTCAATTGCTTTCAATGAATTTTTATGTTTAATAAAAATTCTTTCGCCACGGACCACGACCTCTTGACCTGAATCCGCCTCTTCCTCCAGATCTGTTGCCTTTGAATCTACCACGTCCTGCAAATAAAATCAATAAATAATAATTATAACTGATAAAGTAACATTGTCTGTAAGTTTCAATATTCTTTATCTTCTAATTACTTACCGTAGTTTGATATGTTTGAACTATATTTGCCACTAGGAGGTGTATATATTTCTCTTTTGCTGCTTTTATCTTCTTTGTTACGTTTATTTGAGTTGCTGTCATTTCCAAATGTAATCGGTGTGTGTCTTTTCTGAGCAGAATTCTTTTCGACCTAAAAGAGACGCAATAAAATTGAAATAATGTAAATCAAATAATTCACTGATGTGAATATATTGTAGGTATACATTTACTTGCAAAACAGATAATATTTATAACTGCATTAAAAAAATAATTACCTTCTTGTCAGTACAAGGCGTTTTCCATGAGAGATGTATTACACTTTTAAAACTGGGTGGTGAATGAAATAGATCCTTGATTAAAGTGTTGATGTTATTGGTTGTCTTTAATGCTACAACTTTTAACTGATTTTCGTCAGATTTCAATTCTTCCTCGGTTTTACCACTAATAGCTTCACGCAATTTCTTTATGTACCCTTGAATACCTCTTGCAAAGTATTGTAATCTCAATCGAAATTCTTTAAGCTGTTCTGGATCTTTTATCAAAAATTCAGGAGTCTGTTTGCATAGCTTATGAAACGCATACATTAAACATTCCACGTGACTAAATTGTAACTTTGGTACGTCAGTAATTTCTGTAGCTGGAGGAAGCGGCATGTAAGTCTGAAAGTGATAAAATAATAAATAATGGATTATCAATTTAGTTAATAAGACACAGACATTAGACAAAACTATTCGATTAAATCATAAATAACTTTCTTAATGATAATAAATTTAAATAAAAGAAACGGATATTATTTGTGATTCAACACGCAAAAATAAGATAGATTTGTAAAAATATATCATAAAAAAAGATGTTACTTACAGTAAGAGTGTTGTAGAGTTGTTGAACTTTATCTTCGGGTTTGTCAATAGTTCCGCAAAACACAGTTAATTCAGCAAGCAATTTTAATAGTTCCAATTGAATATCTCTACCATCGGGAGAAATAATCAAAGAAAGATGTGGCAAAACTTGCACACAAATGTATGAAACAAATTTTGATGAATCCGTCTGTGACTGAAAGAGGAATAAATAAGTATAAATAAAGCAATTAAGTAAAATATATAATACACATAACATTTATATAAATTACTCTAATATATATTAAAAAAACATACAAAGCAGTGCGTATACATACACTGAAAAATGGAAGAGCATGTTTAATACATTGCACCAATCTGTTCCATTGTTCGACATTAGTGTGTTTAAAAGGTATTGATAATTCAGCTTGTTCTATTATGATATCAACTAATTCTTGTTGACCAGTTACAGTAGATCCCAATCTAGTCCACGCAAGAATTTCTATGATACTATGAAATTCGTCAGCAGTTACATCCTGCGTAAAAAATATATTAGTTAAAATAACATATACAGGGTGTCCAATAATTGCTGAATCATCTCTCGGGTGTAGGTAGAGCGGTTTAAACCGAATAGAGAAGTCCTCTATCATTTTGCGATTTTCGCAATAATTAATAAGAAATTAATTTAAAAATATCGGCCAATTCGCACGAGTTTAAGAGCGCAGCGAGAAGAGATCCGTGGTGATACAGTCCACTGTTATTTGGTTACTAGGCGCGCGATAAATCGTTGGGAGGAGCGCTCTATAAATGACAATGGCACATACGAGCGGTGTGTAACGCTAGATCCTTGCGTCCTAGCGACCATGTAACAACGAGTTGCCTCTTCTCGCCGTGCGTTTAGACTCGCGCCAATTGGCCGATCTTCTTTAATTAATTTCTCATTAATTATTGCGAAAATCGCAAAACGATAGAGTACTTTTCTACTCGGTTTAACCCGCTCTACCTGCACCCGAGAGGTGATTCAGCAATTATCGAACACCCTGTATATCTTCATATATAATAATTATCGTAAATTAATAAACAATTACCTGTAATACTTTTTTACATTCTGCAATTAACAAATCCTCTGGTTCCTTTGTAATAACATCATGTCCTATTGCTTTGAGTTTGGTAGCTAGAAATTTTATACAACGTTCCCTCGTCGCATCATCACCATTAATAATTTGGCTGAAAAATCCGCTTAAAGTTCCTACAAGAATTATTTTGATTATACAATGTTACATAAATATTAAATGCTGTCCAAATCAAGTGACAAGTTCTTGCAGATATAAATTGTGTTGATTAATTAAATCATACCTTTTGGATCACTTTTCATAAGTGACATAATACTGTTATGAACTACTGCTAGTTCTGAAGAATCCTCAGCTTGCAATAATTGTGCCAAGATATCTGCAATTCGAGCTGTATGTTCTTTATTATCTTTGCAAAGCGATGGTAAGTCTTTAATAGCTTGTTTTCGAATCTGGAAAAGAAAATATTATGGATAAATAATTATTTTAAAATTATTAAAACGTAGCATAAGCCATTCTTGTGTATCGAAATTAAAATAGATAAAAATACAAAGGATTAAATTATATTTAAAAACTTACAGCCATGTCTTCATCTTCACATAAATCCAAATGAGCATTTATAGCTTCATCCGCTAGTTTAGGGAAATGCTTAAAAAACCTCGCAATAAATTGTGATGCTAAACGTTTTTCCTTGGGTGATCCTTTAACTGCTGTTAAAATTTCCAAATATTCTTTTTCATGCTGCAATGTAAAATAGTAACATTGTAGAAAATAATTCATAAATATTATGATAAACAATCTTTTTGATAAATTGATATCATAAAAATATTAACATTTTAAAATTTGAAAAAAATAATGATTTTATCAAGTTATTTATTTCTAAATAAAGATTCATAAAGAGAGAGAAAATAAAGATTCTTTTGTAGCTCAGTAAAACATCTAAATTAATGTCAACATTTATATTTCAATCTGAGATTAGTATTTCTACATATACTTTTTACATTTCTTGAAAGTAACATATAAAATTGCAGACTTTTTGACTTGTAAATGTATAAACAACCTTTATTACAAATTAAATCTTTTTGCGACAAACCAAATAAAAAGCGTTATTCTAACAAAATCACAGAAATAATATTCTATATGTATTAAAAATACATTATTCTGACACAAATTAACTAACTAATATACTAATCAAAATCATATTGGTAATAACTAACTAATATACTAATCAAAATCATATTGTTAATTAAGAAACTATTTGGTCAGTTTGATGACTCATCGTTAAATGATTACAATAATTCTATGTATATATACACAAGTTTCTAGTAAATCACTATAGCGGTTTTTCGTACACAGTAATGTTTACGAGCTATAGTGGTTTTCTGAGAAAGAATAAAATAACATGCATAAAAACGTGCACATGATCGCACATGAGACGCTATGTGTATTTTCAACTTTTCGAGATACATTTGACATTTCATGCAACGAGAATAATCACATAAATGATACTTATTGATAAAATTATGTAAAGATGAATGGGAAACAAAATCTTCTCGGTTATATTTACCGATCAAACGTGATTACTCAATATAACCAATAAGATACGTACCTGAACCAATTTATCCTTAGCATCAGCAAGGATGCCAAAATTTTTGTATAACTTTTCGATACTGTCAGTACTCATGGCAAAATTTATGCGTAGCGTTTTATAATCGACGACACAAGATACATGCACAGAAAATGCGATAGAAAATCCGAGAAAATCGAAAATTTTTGCCGGACGCCGAACACAGCTGAACCCGCCGAACTTACAACGATGACAAAGATGGCAGCGCAAGGGAATAAATTCCCTTTTTGAGAAAATAGTTAGATGCTAGCGCCTCCTACCCGGAAGTGGTAAACTAAATATGGATACGTAATGAAAACTTGGTAATTGCGCCAAATACAAATTTCAACGAACGCGTTAAAATGTTAATTTTTGTCTAATTAATATTATTCTTAATCATTAATATCGTGTACAAAAATATCTGTCTTTTTTTAATTATTAATATTTGTTTTTTTTTATTATGCAAATAATATTTTATTCAAATGTAATAGAATTAATAACAGATTTTCAAATAATTTCTATATATATTTAAATACTTGTAGAAAAATATTTCTAAAATAAACAATAAAACATATTTTACATAAAATATCTTTTATATTGAATAAAACAAAAGAAGAAATAAAAATAATATAAGTTAAAAAAGTAATGTTACTTTATTCTGCCCCCATTTGGAAAGCACTTCATAAAAAAATCTTAATTAAAATAAAGCCAGTAAATAATAATTTATAATATTGCGTACTAATGCTCCGGAAATTCAAACTGATAAAGTCAATATCTCATTACCTCATTTCCCGGTGTGCAAACCAACGGGAGGCATTCCTAGGAACATTAGAATTTAAGCGATTGGCTGCAGGCAGGGCGTTGACATTAGTCAAGGAGGCGATGCGCGTGTGATGTTGCGCTGGTTTTGCGATTGCACGGTTGCCCCCGTTAATAATACAGTTGAATTTGTTATGAATTGATCCAGCGAGAAACATGTCAATTGATCTGACGAAAAACAAAGATGCCTTGGTGGCTGCTTGGCACAGCGTGGTCGACGATAAATTGTCTACTAACTGGTAGGCGTACATTTAAGTTCCATTGCGTTTTGTCAATCCGGCATATACACCAAGTAGTTTCGGCATACGTACATACGTGCACACAGTCATTAAGTTAGCCGGTTCTTTTCTGCCGGTATCAAATCTACCATGCCGAATTGATATATTCTTGTGCATTCGCCGTAAGCTATTTTGTTTCACATAAACACCAGGTTGATGATAAGCACTCTTTCTATCGATTCTGATTTTTTAGCGGCTATTGCATTTTGTCGATGGGAATTCTTTTGTTATTTGTTCTTACTTTCTGAAAAATAGAATATACTAAAGAGAATATGCAAAATAATTATTATTAGAAGAAGCTGTCTTGATATCAATATATATTAAATATATATTTTTATAAATAAAAAATTAATTATGTAAATAAATATGATTATTCAAAATGAGAATTCATAGCAGCACGATTAACAGATTTATACATAATTTAGTTTATAAATTAACATAATGTAATCTTAAATTTGATTCGCAATTTGCAAATTTCAACATGTAAATCTTATTCGATCAAATATATTGCTTGAAAGCTAAGATATTCCTCTTTTTATTCTTGGCAGGGCTTTATTTGGCTACGAAGGGCAGACAAATAATTTAAAAGTAGCTGGAACTGGAGAAGGTGGATTAGAAGAGATGATTGATCGATTAAATAGTAGCCACATTATGTATGCATTTTGCAAAGTCACTGACACTAAAACAAGTCTACCAAAATGTTTGCTCATTAATTGGGTAACTAAAATAACTAGATAAAATTTGTCAAATTTTATAATAGTTTAATATGTATGGACTTATCTAATAAAATATTTCTATAGCAAGGTGAAGGTGCTCCCATTGTTAGGAAAGGAACATGCGCCAATCATATCAGAGATGTAGAACGTTTGTTAAAAGGAGCACATATAACAATTACTGCGCGCTCCGAAGATGATGTAGAAGTAGATGCAATTATGCAAAAGCTTGCACGGGCAACAGCTTCAGCATATAAATTTAATGAGCCTCGTGGTGAAAATGAAGGACACGCAGGTCCTATTGGAACAACATATCGCAGGTATAAATTTTTATCACATGATATTTATATTTCAAAATGCTGACTAATCTTTTTCAATTTTCAAGAAATTATTACTGTTCACGATACAGTTCTTAACTAATATGCACTTCACAGAGTAATTCCTGAACAAGAGATAAATGCATCAGAAAGAGATCAATTTTGGCAAAAGGAAGAAATAGAAGAGAAAAAAAGACTGGAACAGGAGCGGGTCCGTACTGAAGAAACACGACAGAAGCTCGAACGAGAAACTAGAGCTCGAGAAGAAAAGGAAACGCAACTGAGAGAACAAAAAGTATGTTGTAATCTTATCTTGTATTCATTTTCTTATCTTGTCTTTATTTTTATATCAAATATATGTACTATGTGCACTACTTCTATCAGGTAACCGCTAAGGAAAATTCGATCGCGCGGCAGAAGATGGCGGAACAACGCGCTGAAGAAGCGAACAATGTACGCAATCAGGTAGCCGCACAAAATTATACTAATGACGTTGATGATGATCATAAATCACGAAGCGAAGAGCTACGGAGGCAAAGGAGTAAAGAGACGCAACAATTGATAGCTCAGAGAACGATAAACGCTAGAGCGGTGTTCGAACAGAATTCAGCCGCCGGTCAGATGAAGAAGAGCTCTGCACAATTTTTACCTAAAAACAATCACGTAGAGTCCATGAGAAAAGCATTAGAAGAGGCTCAGATAAAGGATGAATCTGATGTAAAATCTCACGAAGAAGTGCCGGTTGAAACGAAAAAATCTACAAATGCGGAAACAGTAACGACTTCGTCTGCAGTGCCTCAATCTCAAAATGTCAATCAAGAACCAAAAACGACCGCTAATCCACAGCCAGAATCTGAACAAGCAGAAACTAAAGTAGAGTCTGTTGAAAATGAATTGTACAATCAATTAGATGGCCCATACTTATATTTCGACCCTAATAACGAAGGGATGAAAGCCAGAGCTTTGTACGATTATCAAGCCGCCGACGATACAGAAATTACTTTTGATCCCGGAGATATAATTACACATATAGACGCGATTGATGAAGGCTGGTGGCAAGGCCTTGGGCCTGACGGGACTTACGGACTTTTTCCTGCTAATTACGTTGAAGTTATCGACTATACTACAACATGATAAGACGTGCTTCCGAAGGAATTAATTGAGATCATTGTTCTGTTTGTTTCTTCGTAATTACCCACATAAAATTGTTTGCATGTTAAAACTGATACCGATGCAATCTTGTCCCTTGTTCCACCACAGTTTTAGGTGTAACCACGTGATAAAATGATTTTGAATGGTTAGTGAAAAGCTTTTGTAACGAAAATACGCATAGCATGTTTGATAGCTAAAACGCACGTCTTCAATAACATTTTGCGCCTTCCATTATTAAATGCCATTGTTCAATCCTAAGACATTTATGCAAGAGTGAGTATATACACAATTAATATTTCAATTAGTAAAAATTCAGAAACCAATTGAAATGTTAATCGTAATTGATGAAGTGTATGTGTCTTCCCAGCAGGCATATAAGTTTTATCCAATAACCAACCAATATTACATAAATATATCTTTTTATAACATTATGTAACAAATGACGAGATGTAGCAATAACTAAAATGCATCTTACAGTATAGAGACAAAACTGTGTTACTGATGAAATTGTAACAGCTTAGCATACGTCACTTTTAGAACGACAAATATTTCAATTTGTTATAGTTTAATAAAACAAAAAATCTAGCATTAAAGTATCCGCTTATATTAAAGTTGTTCTTTCATTCTGTATATTACCTTTTAAATATATTGGTGCTATCGTATCCCAAAAAAGGAAAAAAAAAGATGTATGGAGATGCCAATAGTTATACAACATTATAAGAGCGACGATGACCACGTTAGGCATGTACGATAAATGATTTTATTGTATAAGAGATAGAAGTTTTTATAAATAATTAATATTGAGATAAAATAGCATCACAATATCTATGTTACCTTAATGAAATAAAGAAAGTTATCTCCGATAATTCTGATTCTGTCCACTACCTCCACTACCCGCATGACTTAAAAACGCTAAATGACCCTTTGGGCATTTATTGGCGTAATGTCCTTTCTGGCCGCATTTGTAACACGTCACTTCTTCGAGTGGCTTTTGCGGTCCTCGCGGTTGCGGTGGCCCATTGTGCATATTCATATGATGATGTGATGTGTGAGAATTATTGTCAAGCTCTTGTCGTACTTGAGCTTCCCGCACGTCGGGTGGCATTTTGTTGCAATAAATCGCTTTATGGCCACCTTCCCCACAGAAGTGGCAAGTGATCATAACCTTTTTACCTTCTTTTGGTTGCATGTCTTGCACCGCTGGCAATTCAAATCTCGGACTAAACACAAAAATCAAGTTATAGATATAGGGATCCAATAAATTTTTATGGTATAATAATCACTAATATTTTATACAAATATACTTACTGCATAAATTTGCAATTTGGTCCCTCTGGACAAAAACCAGCTAAGTAAGCCATACACAGTACACGTCTGACATGCCGATGCCGACATAAAGGACCATGTCTACAGAAACCACGATCATACCACGGACAATCTCTGACTTTAGTTTCAGGATCAATGTGTAAGAATGGACATTCCTTATTATGACATGCATCTGTAATAATTCATCTTGTTTTAGATATAATTATATTTAAATATAATTTAGCTATATAAGTTGTAACATTGTTCAAATGCATAATAGTTCTGTTAAAATTGTTATATGTAATTCTTGTATAGAATACTTTATTAAGTTATTAATTTCAATAATAATGACAGTAAATAAATAATTATAATAGTTGTATTAGACTACTTACTGAATCTAGAGTAAAAATAACATTCTGGCATTTTTGTCATGTCATATTCATGTAAGAATTCACACTGATCTCCTTTTTTGCAAAGACCTCTTAACCAATGTTTACATACTATTGTGCGATCGCCACGAACATGTCTAAATGGACAGGAAGCTCCTTTACTGCAAGAACCTTTTGGATAAAATTGACACACTGCAGCAACTGATTCTGTAAATTATTAGAAGAAAAGAAAATTATTTTATTATATTTTTATAACTAGATGGTAAATTAAACTTTTATTATAATAAAATTTATTTAATTATTGCACATAACAATCTATTTGTATATCTATAAATATAATTTGTAATAAAATCTACTTTTTATCGTTAATTGTTTAAAAGTTCTAAGTGCAAGATATAGTATATGTTTTTATCAATTAAAGTAAGATGTAAACAAATATGATATTGTACTGTGCAATGTTAACCTACAATACACTGTATATAAACATAATATAGAAACATACTATCCATGCCAGTAAAAGGTAAAGGAAGAGCTCCATATTGTTCATCAAGAGCAATCTCAATATCAAATCGCATGCTATCCACACTTGCTACCATACAATCCATTATTATTGCAAGAATTTGAACAATCAAATACAAAAACACCCTGCTTTCGTTTGATCTGAAGTTTGGCTACGTTCAGCAGAATGCTGAACTATCTTCTTGTCAACACGTTGATTTGTTGGTTTTAAAAGTAAAGAGCCAATCACGTTCGACTGCTACTAAGCGGTTTGTTCTGCTGAACGTACCTTTTATCAAAGTCTAAGGGTGCCGTCACATGAAGCGTAACTTGCGTAAGCGTATCTTGTGTTAGCCAATCAAATCGTTCAGATACTATACGCAAAATTTTGCATATGATAGCTGAATGATTTGATTGACTGACATAAATTACGCTTACGCAAGTTACGCCTCATGTGAAAGCAGTCTAAAGGCGAGTGACTCGCTTTACTGTTAACTATGATTGGTCGATTTGCTTACGCCTTACGGTTACAAATAAAACTTTTTTACGTATAATGACTTTAAATCTTTTTTAGGATATATTTAGACAAACTTGAATAAGCGTATGACATATTCAAGTTAGTTTAAATATATTTTTAAAGTCGATATTGAGTAATTACTGTGATTGGTTCGCCGTATCAATCGATTCAAGATTTCGAGAATCGTAATATCGAAGTATTCTCTCTGTTGCTCATTGGATATCAAATAAAGACAGAATGATACTTGTGTCGACTTGTATCCTTTGCTGGAAAGCGGCCATATTCAGAGGTGGTCAGTCACAAATGCACCATTAAAATGGCGGAACTACATTCGAACCACTCCGTATCATTCGCAATTGTAACTGTTTAAGAAATATTGTAAATAACAAATTATAGATTATAGCAAACATTCGTAAGTATCAAATATACATAATAATGTTTTAAATATTGTGTACAATTGTCATTATTAGGGTTTTGATGTCAGCAATCCTTTTCTGTGTGCACACAATATATATATATATATATATATATATATCTATATATATTTTGTAGTAAACTGCGCTGGTTATATTTTTTGTAATAATTTGCTATTTTGACCATGTCTGATATTCATTCAACAATTTTAGATAATTTTTTACGGTAATTAATGTGAAGTTTATTGCTTTAACCGTACCAACATTGAAAAATGTGCAATTCATTCTTTAATAAATTTGAAATTACAAACGGTTTTAGAACGCACCGCGACGGCGATAGAGTCGCATTTCCGTTCGCTCGTATTTTTCGCGATTGTTACTGTATAAACAGATCTCATGCGTGAAAAATTATTGTGAATATTTCTCGTACAGCGAATGTTTGTCGTAGCGTGTTAAATGCTGTACAACTGTCACCATTGTGTTTTAGGTATAAAGATACATTTTTGTGAGCCTTTAAATCGATCGAAATTGTCTTCGCGCTATTTTCTCACCAAAGTTCCAACAAGTATGGTCATCAACAGGTATGTGCACAACATTGCTATATTCTACAATAAACGGAGCTGATGTATTTCTTGAATAATAATTAATAAATATTTAAAGCTATTTTATGATACATTGTATATTAATGATGTAAAATTCATCACCAATAATTGATCATGTTTGAATTTTTCAATCCCAGTGAGAAATAACATGTCAAGAAAATTTATATTAGATGTCTGTAGACGTTTTTTCTGTGCTTTTCACTGGGGCATTTTCGTAGGATTTTATTTGTCACAAAAATGTAGCTGCGTTCCATAAATAATATTAAACATCGGTGTGATTAACTTTGTCTTAAAATTATAAAAAATTGTTTTTTTCAAAAATTATTAACAACGTGATGTTTAAAGGCAAATCATCTGTATGTTTAATAAGCAAAATATTGATTTTTTAAAATCAAATTTGCTCAAATTGTAACAGATCGATAGCAAAAGATAGCAGCGCACGGTTAAAAAATAGGTAAGTCATATTTCATTTATTTCCATGTAATATTTTTTCTAATTAGCACTATTATTTGTTTCATTTACATCCATATTATTATATACAATTCGCTGCAGTATCGATGTTACAACCATCACCTGTGCATAGTTCTTGCGTGCAGCCCAGATGGCTGTACTCGCTACCTTCGAGGCTGCTTTCCGGTTACGTCAAAAGCATGAAGCCGCGAGATGCTGCCCTCTCACGATAGCGGGGAATCGTGCTTTCGACACTACGTGACAGAGGGCTTCGCGTGGGAGTAGTGGGGGAGCGGCGCGAGGAAGAAAATGGCCGACGGGGCTACGGTAAAAGGGCAGGGACGTCGTGCGAGGTGCGCGCTGCGCGACACGAGATTGCCAGTTTCGCGATAGACCGCGCGAAAAAGGGCCGTCGAACTTCCGCCGGGAAAGGTCCCTCGTCGTCGCTCGCGGTCGCGCGTCCCGCCGGGAGGTCGTTCAGACAGGACTGGAGCCCGTCACCGTCGCCGTCGCCACCAGCGATCGCTCGGCGCTACGATTCACCGTTTTAAAAAGCGTTCGCGGATCGAGTGTTGCAGCTGACGGAAGGGCTCGCCGAGAGGTAAACACGATCTCGTTACTAGTGAGGCTTCTGCCTGCCGTCTTGTCGTATTATCCAGTTTTCGTTCCCGCGTTTGCGTTGCTAAGCGTGCTTGCTTGCACGCGTCACTCGCCGTCGTGCGATCGCGTCGTCGCGCGATCGTCATCCGTGAGATTTTCCGCGTGCGACGATTGATCGATCAGCAGGTTGTGGCTCTCCCGCTCTCGCGCACTTGTCAGGGCCACTTGTGGCCGTCCGCCCTGCAGCTGCTTTTTAAAGGGCGTGCTGCCGTCGCCGTCGCGTTTACTCGTTTCTCGTTTTCGCGTTATCCTGTGTGTCCTCCGTACTGTGCGTTGCGTACGAGCATCTTTGTTCGCTGTCGTGCTATCCGTACGCGTACGGATCCGAGCGCACGTTCGAGAAAAGTCCGGAGTGGCGGACGCCGCGTCGCGGTTGATTATTTATCACGCGAGAGTCTACCTGCTGTGTGCGAGGCTGAATCGCGACGGGCGCAGTGAGATTTAAAGGGATCGATTTGTCAACATATCGATGAGAGAGTGCGCGCTGTTCTGACACGGTACGGCGGATTTTCGCTTCGCTTGTGAAGTATTATTACGATTTCCGTCACGCGTTTCTCGCGAGCACTCCAATTTGCGTGCGTTTGTCATTTTATTATACGTTGATAAAACTCAGCGTCCGTAATACTGTATCAGTGAATATTTCCTTGATGTTCGTTTTGTGGAAAGTAGTTTTCATCGCGGTTTAAAGTCGTTCACAGTAATAAAAAAGAAATGTAATAACGATTAATTGCTAGTTAAATATCAAATATTTGATTGTTAAAATTATGTTAAAATGTAAATAATAATTATTTGCTTTTCGTTTGAGATTTTGTGTGCATTGGGATTGTTTTCAGATAAATCCAGTTTGCGAGTCATATCGCAATTATTAAAATCTACAATGGCAGTTAGGTAGTTGTGGAAATTAACATTGGACATTTTTTGTGAACTTCAATCGTATTTTTATTTATTTGAAAATGTAAAGAATACGATCATAATGAAGCCACAGAAAAAGGCTGTTGTTGCCAAAAAGGCAACTAAAATGCCAACAGTCGCCAAAAAACGTCGCACATTTATAGAGAAGACCATGCCCGATGTGAGGAAGGAAAAGAAATCAAAGAAAAATGACAAAGTGGAAGATTCAAAAAGGAAGATAGATAATGATAAGAAGAAATTAGAGAAAGCCGAAGAGAGAAAAAAATTTGATGATAAGAAGAAGATGGAGGATAAGAAAAAAGAACGATCTGACAAGTCAGATGAAAAGAAGAAACAGTTAAATAAGGATTATGACAAGAAAGCTGACAAGATTGACGACAGAAAGACAGAAAAAGGAGATGATAAAGCAAATAACGAAGAAATAAGTCAAGAAAATATGGATAAGAAAAAATTACAAAAATGTGAAGAGAAAGGAAAATTAGAAAAACAATCTGCTGATAATAAGAAGAAAATTGAGAAAACAGAGGATAGAAAAAAGAAATTAGACGATAATGCAAGTGTAGAGGATAATGTAAAGCCTTTAAATACAACAGAAAATAAGGATTTACTTGAAAACAAAATTGACGCCCATCTTCCACTTAAGAAAAGAAACAATGATAAAAAGAAGGATGTGAAACTTATTAAATCTGATATCAAGTCAATTTCGAAGAATTCCACCGTAAAGGATAAAAAATCTGAACGCAAGAAAATTCCTGAGAAGGAAGTGGCAAGCAAGATTTCTTCTGCTAAAACAAAGAAGGACAGTTCTAAAACAAAACAAGGGCAGAAGAAGAGTATTGCAAGAAAAACAGTTTTAACAAAGAAGCCTCATTTATCGATAGTTAAAAGATTAGTGGACAAGAAGATCAAGTTAGTCAAACCGGTGAAAGATGAAGAAATGAGCGAAGATGAGGATCCAGCCAAGAAAGCGAAGAAGAAGAGCAGCAGCATTGTGAAGAGTAAAGTTTTGCAGGAGAAAAAACCAAAGCTGGCTAAACACATGAAAGCCAAATTGCCTCAGAAAAATTCGAAGATCAGCGCTGTTCTGAAAAGGGAAGATAAATTGAAAACTATAACGGAGAAAATTATGGCCAAGAAGAAGTTGGAATTAAAAGAGTCTGAGGAAGCTGGAGCCGAACATAAAAAGATTACAAATAAAGATGAAGTTTGTCAAGGACTAGAGGTGAGCAACATTAAAAGCGAGATTGAAGAAGACAAGGATACCGATAAGAGTAAAGAGGAAAGTCTTCAACCAAAATTACAGGATAATAAGAAAGCTATCAAAAGTGGTAACAAAGTTAGCAGCAAGATTCCAAAGAAGACTGGAAAAATGATTAAGGTACAAACGGAGAGCAATAATCAAACAGCAGCTTCATCCGAGGGCATATCTTCCGAGGAAATTAACAAGCAGTCGAAAATTTCCGAAGATAGCGCGAAGTCTGCCGCGAATTCCAAACAGGAACAAATTAGCACTGAGAACACGGTTGAATTGGATTTAAAGGTTGAGGCGATGAATGGAGAGAGTGCCGGTGGCATTACATCTCAATCTTCCGAGGACGATTCTGACGATGAATACAAGAAGAACAAGCAGAGGGATTCCAGGAATAAAGAGAGGGCTAACTCACCATCGGACGAACGGGCGCGACGAATGCGACTTTTCGGCTTCTGGAGTGGACCAAAACGACACAGGGTCGCGTCATTGAATGCCTTGGCTAAAGTTCACTGCCTCTACGAGAACGAGACCGGTGGAGTCTATCTTGGAGGTTTCTGCAAACCGAGCCCGAGAAAGAAAAGAAAAGCCGAAGAAAATGAAAGAAGAGAAAGAGGAGCAGCCACCGCGTAAGGAGAAGGAGAAGAAAGTTGAGTGCAAAACAGAAGAGAACGTTTTGAAGAGAAAGTTGAGGAATGTGCCAGGACTACGTGGCAAACATTGGGATATGATGGAAAGTTCATCATCTTCGTCGTCCTCCGAGGAAGACTGCGAGAAGGAAAAGAATATCGAACCGAGCAAGAAGAAAATGACCAAAAGGAGGAAGAAAAACGAGGAAGTAATGGATCTGAAGGACATGGTTGTTTGCAAGAGGATGGCCAGTCTTAATGCCACTGCCATTTTGGCTGCTTCCTACTCCGACGAGAAAAATCGTTGCAGCGGCAGCAGCAGCAGCACTACTGATTCCTCCTCCAGTGAATCGGAAGTAGAGATAATTAAAAGACGTAGACAAAATGACTCTGACGTAGATAAGAAGAAGCTTAGACAAGGCTCGGATCCGGAGGATCCTCTTATTAAGCCATCCAAGAAAGTTGTCATCGTTAACCAGGACACGGACGTCACTATCACTGGTAATTAATCATGTGTGGATTAAGTACGAAAACTCTAATGATCTTCTTGTTACACTAACAAATTCTTTTCAAGGTGTTTACGTCAATCAAACCCGGTCCACCCACCATGAGGGTTTCTGCAGTATTGCTGGTATGCAGTACAGGATCAGCTCCACCAGTCACACTCAAACTGCAGCTACCGCAGTGGCTACTGAACTTCACGATCAGGTTTGTGTTTAATTTAAGACTGTTTGCTCCTCATATGTTACACATACATTCATTTTACGTCATGCACATGCCTCTAAAATAGAAGTTCTGACTTATTGAATATTTATAGAAAATTTTTAGAGATAAATACAATGTTGCTACAGGCAGTATAATAACATATTAAGTTTTACATTACTAAATGAAAAATACGCTAATATTACGTTTAACGAAAAACATGAATCTTTAGTATATATTTTGACACATTTAAACAAACTAAAAATTTTCTTATGATACTTCTAAAAACAAATAATTGTGTGTGTTAATTATATTTATGTTTTGCTTATTGAATACAACATAGTTTTGAGCTGTTTATTGTTTTTTTCCCTTCAAAGTTATAAAATTGTTTTAATATAATAATATATCTTATTGTATTTTAAGTTTAATGATATGAAAAATATTTATTATATTTGAAAAAAATAATATTAAATATTTAAATTATGTAATAATTCTGTAAAGAATCTATATTTAAATATCTTGTGTTAAGTCACGCTCACATATCAATGCGTAAAATTTAAATTACAACTTTCTATCAATAATTCTTTCTTTTCGTTTTTTGTCGAGTATATATGTATATTTTTACAGTTATATGTTTCTTTTTATTAGCAAAAAACGGAACAGCCTTGCAAATCCTACACACCACTGGGTGCATTGTCCTCTATGCAGCCTCCAGGTAGCCAGGGTAATCATCCTAATATGTCACCTCGCAGGCATTCAGCATTCTCAGCCCCTCATCAGCACGGTGAGTCAAACGTTCTTGCATGTTTCTACTCTTTATTTATCAGTTGCATCGAACAATCGCATCAATTTGCGATTATCAGACTCTATTATAAATCGTTTTAGCGTACTGTCGTTGAAAAACCGGTATATACAATACTCTTTTCATATTCCATTCTATTTATTATTTGACGTGATTTAAATATGGTCCTCACGAATTGCATTTTATATATGAATTTACACCGTTCATTAAATTAATTTACTCGCTTCCCGTGAAAGCGTATATGCGTAAAACAATCTAAACGAGGAATTACGCGCCTATTAAATAAACGGCCGAAGCGCTATATGGCAGAGAGAAATTTTGCGTAAATTATAATAAATTAACCGGCGCGGATTTTTTTCGCTAATCAAGGTACTCCGAAAAATATTCTCGTCTTTTTCGGACGTACGCCACTGCATCGTCCGAGCGCGCATTACACCGCTCGGCGATTTCCTCTTCCAACTCATGGCGAGCGGCTGGCTTTTCTCTTTGTTCCATTGACGCTTTCTCACCGCGTCTCGTTCTCTCACCCTTTATCCCACTCGATTCATTGCGAGACGTACACATTGCACGCAAGCCGAGGTGCCGCGTAGCCTCGATGACAGCGTGTGAATACATGTATATGCGTATGGAAAGCCGCGCCGTACAGTTTGCGCCATTTGCTGGACGATTCAGAATCGAAAAGGCGTCGTTCTGCCATGTACTTGTTACGCCTTGTATTATTCTATCTATCTTAACGACTTGCGTAATTACGGGCCTTTTAATTTTACTCTTCAATTATTTTATGCATCTGTAGATTACGCGTTAGGATGTTATACGACCCGATAAACTTTCTTTGTACATGTACGCGGTATTTTTTATGCTCTCTAAATATTTATCATATTATCATATTTCATCCGATAATAGCCTTAACGAGCTTAGATCTATTAAAGTAGGCGTACTATTATTATAAAGTTCCGCAATAATTCATAAGACTTGTGCTTTCGGTCATAAAAATATATAAAGAATTAGTGATTAGTGCTATTATAAAGTAAATTTTCTTGTAGAAATTTATAAATGAGAGAAAACGCGCAGGCCTTGTTCGAAAGTAAAAATTTCATAGTGAACATATTATGTCTTGCACTGTCGTACATCATTTACAGCGTAGACTGTATTTCATTGAATTAGATGCGAACATATTTTAGTCTCCAAGGAATAACATGTTTACAATGGGTATTGTACAAGTGGATGGGATGGAAATTATATATATTCCGCGATGTAATGCGGAATCATTCTGATTCGAGTCGAATCAATAGCTTAGACGATTAATTTTTCTAATCGTGCAAGTTCTTAGCTTCGCGGTGAATTTTGAGAAACAGATGAGTAGACGTGTTCTGCATAATTTTTCATATTGCAAACGTGACATGCGATATTTCGACTTATTAGATTATCACTTGACTCATTTTCCTTCTATTTTACATTTATCTAATTATTTTGCGCAAACAGCATAAAGTTTTTATATGGTTATTTTTACCAATTGCGTGCAATTTTCATATAAAGTTAACAATTGGCTTGGGAAAGCATCAAAGAGCAAAAGTTTTAGAGCATCGTGAGGCGATGTAACGTGTCTAAGAACGTGTTTCACTTTGAGACGAGAGAAACATACTAAACTAGAAAACTTCTTCCTAAAACGGAACTTTCAACATCCGAGAAAACACGCTTTCCCCTCTTTACTCTAAAGATTAATTTGAAACCCGGATTTACACATAAGCTAAACAAACTGCAGTATAGAGTCGCGCGGTTATAGGTTTCACATGGTTAAAAAAAAAATACTTTCTCAACATTTATTATTATGTAGTGGAAGGAAAAGTGTTTTAGTCATGGCATAGCTTTAGGGCAGCAACAAGTTTAATCCTTAGTCGAGCGAGAGAATTACACTGAATCTCTGAAAATATCTGCTTGTTATCATTGAAATAATATCTAACACGAAATAATCAATTAAAGCTGAAAAGTTTCAGCACAATTGAGTAAACTTATCTCTCTGAATATTAATGCTAAACGTGATACTTACGTGAAAATGTCGAAATAGCTGTAGGGTGCTTCGCACTTTGCATCTCCGATCGCGTTATGAGAATAGATTGCCGAGATAAGGGCTTAATCCATTGGATTAATTTGCACAAATATACGTTATCCTCAAATGAAGCCCTCCGGAAACTGTGTGCTTCTTTTTCTCGCGTTTTCCTCCCATTAGCGCACAATTCCCCGAAGCTTCGTCCATTAAAAACAAATCGCACGCGTCCCGTTCGTAACACGCGCTAACGCGAACGATGCTGAACATCCGCCTGCACAATTATCCCGCGCCGGTTTCCGAGAGCAAGGTCAGTGCGTGCCGAGCTCTTACTGGTGCAACATCGTGTGCCAATTACGCGTATGATATGCAGGACGCACGCACGCATAAGATTCGTGTTACGTCTCGAAAACTCAGTCGACGATTTACACTTCGTATTTGTCTGCAGTATGCATTACCGAGCGAATCGACATTCTGCTAGCAATTTAAACGCCGATATCTTCGATAATTTTATTATATTTGTAAATTAAATTTTGTTTTTATTTTCTAAATGTTTATTTATGTTCAACAATATTTAATTAACAAAAACATGATTTCACTTCACTTTCATAGTTTTATAATTCGCGAGCTGAAACATTATCGAATAATTTAATGAAATAAACACATTTGGCCGATGCATCGACGTGATAAAGCTCAGAGACTAAAATTTTTAATTGTATTAATTTATGTTGATAGGGCGAAAAGTGATCTAGAAAATTGTATCAATACTGTTGCGCTCGAGGTTTTTCGCGCTCGCGGCGTTTAGCGAAACAAACATTCATTTCAAAAACAAGAATGTTTATTATTCATTGATTCTTTACGGCATAAGAACGATAATCATATTTCAAATTCAGATATATCGAAACCGATCGTGACTCGTCCATCCAGCGCCGGGGGCTATATCAGACTCTTTCATCTTCTTTGGTTGATCCGTTAGCATAGCTATCAGACTTTCTTTTTTATGTCTTTACACAACTCAGTATTGATCTTTCTCGATTTTCGACTTGGCGCGAAGGCAATCTATGGATATTACAATTTTGGCGCAGATTCAACAATATGATGACGAGGATTCACGCTACGTCTTTCTATGCAAAGTATATTTGAGTATATTTGAAACATATTCACATTTTCCTCTATCCTCTTAGTATCTTTCACAAATGCGTGAAGGAAAGTTGGAACGTATAAGGTTTCTCTAAATTGTTAAATCTGTGCACAACAACGTTGCTTATAGAATTGCGAAGTCATTTTTTCTTAGCCAAATTTTGATTGGATGCCATCCTTTTTGCCCGGTATTTAATCATTAAATATTTGGTATTTTAATCAATATCGTATTAAAATATCTAATATTAACGAAATGATGACGTCAATCAACATGAAATATGATTTTTCATATGATACACGTTGGAGTAAATTATCGATAAGAGATGTGTAAAATAAATAAATGAGAATAAATTTAGATAAAGTAAATATAAAATAGATAAAAGAAAAATTTAGCTGTTGGTTTGCTTTAGATAAAAAAATGATATGTTTCTTTTCAGAGAAGTCTATATCCAACGTCCTTTTTCATATTCGTTTCATTAGCAAAAGTAGTTTTGTATAACATTATTGCCACATTTATTGCAATATAGAATGATTACATCTTTTTGCAAATAGTAGTCGTCCGCAAAAAAAAAGTAACACTCTTTCCAGCACTTCTCGAAGAAAAGTAAATAGCACAGGGTGCTCGAAAATTCCTTTTTATGCGCTCCAGATCAAAAATCGGGTAAGAATGTGAAAAGTGTTGCTTTAGAATTTAAGAACACCCCGTAGAGACACGTTCGACCGAGTGCGCGAGTCTAATACTTACTTCCCTTCTTATGTAAACCGTGTACCGTCGTTGCTTCCGACTACGCAGTGCTCCAGTGTACGTACATACCGTGTCGGAGATCGCGCGCGTGAGAGTGGCCGCCGGCGGCGGCAGCGGCGGCTGCAGTGGTGGTGGCGCGCTGCTACGTACGCGTCGCGAGGACGCACACCTGACAGTGCTCGACTGGTAGCCGAGGGAGACGAACGTGTGTCCGTTCCCTTACGGCCCGGCATCCCGTCGCTTATTCGGAGCCGCGCGCGCCGGCGGGCCGAAAGTCGGCAGTAGCGCGATTCGTCATCACCGCCGTCGTAGTCTTTCTCTTTCCCTGTCGCGTAGTGCCGTGCGCGTCGTCGGTCGGTTCGGGGTTGGACGCAAAGTGTTCGGCTTGATAGTGTTCTGTACTTGTGGTGCGCGTCGTACCGTAGCCGCCGGGGGGTACGAACGAATGAAATGGAGCCATGGCGTGAAAAGTAGGTAGAGCACTCCGGAGTCCGATTGCATCGAGCAGTCTGCTTCACTGAATTCTTTCTCTCCGCGTCTGCCCTGAAAGGTCCGTCTTTCGTCTCTGGATTCTTCGAGTATATTCCGCTGTCGATCTCTATTTTTATCTGAAATATTGAGACACAAATAGTCTTCGAGATGTAAACTATTGAAAATGTGAGATTACGTGTTAATTAACAAAAAAAAATTTTTATTTTTTTTTTTTTGTTACTTTCAAGAACATTTGGTCTTAACAGAATTTTTATTAGAAAATTAATTTGACAAAAATATTTGATTAATGTTAAATACTAAAGAATGTTGAAAAACATGACTTCTAAGCGAGAAATCGACACCAGATTATTCAAGACATTTATGGACAAAGGAAATGGCGGTGACATCACAAAATAATTTGCTAACATTTTGCGCAGTAAATAGGGCCATAAATTGAAGCAAAAGCGAATCATTAGGCAGACGTAGTCGACGCAGATTGTCGATGCAATTCGGCCTTACTTGCGGCGAATTCGACGAGTGACACGTGTGCGGCGCTCGATGTTATGCATCCTCGTGATCGACATGAACGAGTCGTCGCAGTGTCACCTTTCGATTCGGCGGACACTCGTTGACGAAGTGACGAACGCTTCGATATCGCCCGATAGGTATTGACGGCCGTTTTCGTCTCGCGGCCAGCTTGATTGATGTAGATTATTGCAGATGATCTTCCACGCCGGTGAATTGCATTTCATCAAACACTTGCTGGTGAAATGAACATTTCGAATGTGAGATAGAGCGAATGTTAATTTGAGTGTGCTGAGATACGTTTCTAACATTTGATGAACATTTCAGCCAGTTTGCGGCAAAGTGAATATAAATGCCATAAAGAAAGCAATAATTTTAGCTATGTACATTTAATTATTCAGCATACAAAATGTTGGAAAGTAAACATGTTAAATTTTGAAGTCAAATTTTTTAGCGAAAATATTAAAGGAGAGCGTTTTTGACCTTCTGATATTTTTCAAGCTTCAACATTTTTTATCGCTTATTAGTCAGATTTTAAATTAAAATTCTATCTAAAATGCCCTTTAAATTGAAAAAGCAACATTTCGTTATTTATTTGCGTTTTTTGTTTTTATTGGATTATGGTTCCATTAATGCTTTGATATTTTCGCTAATAGAAATCAATCCTGATATGCGTGTGTGTTCATTAATTCTCTTCGTAACATAAACTTTAATGATTAATTTGAACTGTTTATTATAACAGCCTCGACCATTTAAATAATGAAACTTTTCAATGCACGATTTTCACCATTGATAGTAATCAATGGCAGAATCAGTATACAAGGTATGCATTTTAACATAAAAAATATATTATCAGAATTAAAGATCTAAATGTAATAAAAGATAACATTTAGATATTACAAAAAGTATTTAAAAATTTTATTACGATACAATACTCGTGAATAGCGATTATTTTAACGATTATTTTTCATATGAAACAAAAATGGAACGACATTACAATTTTTTTTAAAAGTAGACACAGTCACGATCTTCGCTTTTATTACTTTTCAATTGTAAATTCATTCTGCAAGTATGAATTACAATATGCTTCCTAGCGAGCGTGTTTTCCTGTTATCATTATTTTATACATTCGTTCCCTTACCCGGAAACTCACATAACAGTAAAACCGGCAATAAAACAAGGTCACGCACGCGTCGCAATCGCTCGTATAATCCGTCTTCTCGTCCTTCGGAATTATTTTGGATCATCCCCTTTACAGTCCAGTTGCTATCTCAGAGCAGATCGGGGATATTTCACGATATGATGAAATGTTGGAACGACAAACGCGTGTCTTGTGTCGCATTTAGAAGAGAAAATAGGAATATCGATAGTGCGGATGTAATATTTCGTAAATACTCTTGTGCTTACTTTGCAGAAGAGAACAAATCTGCCGACTATAAAATGCTAGTTTTTAAGCGCTAATATTGACAATAAAATTGATTGCACACGATTTAAAAAATAGTGCAATTTTTAAATAACAGAAGTTTTGAACAAATTTTGCTACAGCACGTTTTATAACAATTTATTTTTTATTTATAAAGTTAAATGTTCACTTTTACGACTTATTATGTATCTTGAATGTTTTATTCATTTCGGCAATGTAAACTCAAATTATTAATGTGTAGACTATCGTATACGTCCAAAATTGTTATATTTTTGTAAAAAGTGAAAATAAGATCACGACTTACCGTCGTGAGATTACCGTCTTACTTTATACTCCCGTCGCGACGCGTCGTTTCCTGGTCGATGAGAATCATGTCATATGTATTATAAATCGCTGGATTTCGGAGCTTAGTTTCTGTCGCGTCAAAAATGTCGACGCGTGTCGACGCAATGCACGCCGGCGCCTGGAACGTTTCGGCGCCACTTAGATATGCGGGTATGGTTATCAACGGGGCGGACATGAGCACGCGATGGTTTTAGTCGAATTTGAAAATAGACCCGTAACACGGGACGGGCGCGAATGGGACCTGGCCGCTCGCCAGCCTCCGCGGCGCAAAGCCGAGCGGAAGCTGGTAATTTCCACGGCCGTGACTGATGCGCGACCGAATACGCGGAAGAGATAATAAGGTCCGCGCAGGATCTTCCGCGAAGCGTGTCTCGTGAGAAGCACGAGAGGTCTGTGCCCGTTCGCGGTAATTTCGCGTGTGCCGCTGGAGCGAAGCTGCTCCGGAACGCATCGTCTCTTGCTCGTCGATGAAAGTTCACCGAAGCGGCAGCGAAGCCGCGATACCTCGTGGGTCAAGAACTTGAACTCTTAGAGATACAACGTCAGACTCTCCGTACAGGATTGAATAGTTTCGCCGAGCGCGAATCATTGCAAATTCACGCTGTTAACGCGGCTATCGTAGAATTTCAAAATGCACCGCGTAGAATATAACTTTTGCATTATAAATCTTAGCCACACGCGCGAAACGGAGATTTACTGTTTCTGCTGACCGGGGCACCAAATTTATCTGCTAAAATATGCAATCGTGCAAATTTTAACGGATATTAATCGCGTAATTCCGCTATACAACGGTAGTGTGGTCCGACCGAACTTGCTGCTTTTCGAGGACACGTATATTCTTCGCGAAGTAGTAGACTCTCGGAGTTTTTAAAAGTCATTCTAGTTTTACGATCCGTATTTAAAAGTTTTATTTTGTTTATTTATGTAAATTTCCTCTTAAACTTCAAATTGATCCCAAGTTGAAAAGATATGTCAGTAAATTTTCACATAATGGACGTAATAATAAATGCGGAATATTTAATTTGCATTTTTTTATAATACATAATAAAGTTTCGTCGATAGTTTTGCCTCGTGCTTAAAAGTCGCAAATGTTTTTTCAATATCTAATTTTCTCGCCGTCTCATCGTGATCAAACAAGAAAAGATACGGGCTACTCTAGGTGCAATGTCAGGCGCGCGCGCGAAGTCCGTAAGATCGAATCGATGGGAAAGTCGTTTGCGCGACGTGTAGTATTTCGTCTGTAATGCGATCAATTCGGATAACGTTGTTAACCGACGGCTTCATCTGATGCCCGAGTTCAATGCTCCAATACGCGACTCGCAAATCCCGATATACTCATTGTGGCACTTTCCGTTTCGGTGACGTAAGTATGCGGTCCGTCCGTTATAAATCCGGCTTCGTGCTTTAATCCTCGATCGAACCCCGCGCGAGTTTTGGCTCCGGCTGCATCAGCCGCGAGATCACACGGGTTCTCTTACATCGCGGCGTAACGGCGCTTTGAAGTGTGTTGCGGGATAACGCCGCAAAGTTCCAAAATTTACGTTCAACCTACGGCCGACAAAGATTAACTAAATACACAACTTCCTGATGGGCGGAAAACGACCGGTATGAAATATCGATTAGGTCACCCGGGGGTGCGATATCGGTTGTAGGTCAGCACTCTAAGCCCGATAATGACATCGCATTACAACGAAATAACACAGGGAAGATTTATATTAGATCGCTGCTGTCAGGAAAAATGAACTGTTGAAAAGTCCATTTATAGCATCCACTATTTCTAAAATAATAGAAAAGAGAGATATCGATGCGCGCGAGGAGTCGTTGAACATAATTTAAAGAGAAATTGCATCTGTCATTTTAAAAAATACTTTATTTCTAAAAAATGTAGGTCGAGATAGTTTGAGATACAAAATTTTTTAATGTTTGTGCAGCGACGTGTTATTTTTGAAAATAAGCTTGATTTCGGAAATAAATTCTTTAGTTGCATTGAGAAAGTAGGTTGTTCGGAGGCCAAAATGAATAAATTGAATAAATAAATGAATAATGAAGCCTTTTCGGAGTTTGACAGCGGACTCGCAAAATTAGACGATAAAACGTCTCTGATTGAGAACGTCTACTTGTTACTTATTCGCGCAGGACTTTCGAGCGTAATGCAGTCGTTCGGAGCGATTCGTTCGAAGTCGAGCAATGGCCAGTTTAAATGCCGCGTTTACGATCGAATAGGACATGGAATCGTGCTCCGGTTTCCTCGCCGAGCGGCCGCGTCGCTTCCGAAAGGTTTTTCAATCATAACTTTTATTTACGTGAACGGGTTTATCGTTCCACTTTTATTACCATGCGCGTCTCTACCGGTTTGCAATGTATGTTTGCCTTGTTCGCTGAATTACTCACGTAATATTGCACAGCGTATTCGCGAATACGTGTGGCAAATTTTTCGAACGGATATCAATGCGAATGAAATATCGGAGTTTATAAATTTGCTTGTAATCGCGAAGAACACATGTTCTACTGTTGTTCGCGGAACATAGTTACGCGCCGAGAAATATCAGCGCTGTCGTCACACTGAAGTAATCGCTGTTCGCAAGTAACACATGTCCAGTATACTTAGGCATTTACGGCTCTATTAGCACGTTGCTATTTTTTAGTATTATGGCGGCGAACCGCGGAGCATATGCGCGTTGTTGAAAGGGCGGCTGGAGGCTTCGAGAATAATTTACGACTGTCTATACACGCGCGCAAGAGACGACGATGTTGCTCCGCTTTTTGTCGCCTGGTTTTTGGCACGTGTCGGCATTCAGGAGGTATTTGCGTCCTTCCCGTTGAGGCGTGTGTTATTACCGTATCGTAATTGCGGCACTTTAGCGCGGCTATTTCGTCGCGTTTGTGCGCGCAAGTCGCAATGCAATCGATTGATACGTCACTCGACCAAATTGACCACGACGATGCTTTAAAGTGCGCCGCAAACAAGTATGGGCGCGCCGGTTTGATCGGACTTCGTCATTTCTTTTATCGCCCGGCGCGGCACGTGGCGTCATGCCGAACGCGTGACTTCCTTATCGCAAATATTTCAGCGAGTCGTATAAGAGTATATAAGAGAGACGAATAAGGTTCGGATAAATATTTACGCGGTCGAACCAAACGCCGCGGCCTCATTCTTACGTGTTCGGCAAACAGATCCGTTCGCCATCGCCGACAATCCGCGCTTCAAACTGAAATGCACAGAAATCTCTCGCCGCGATTCGTCTGCTCTTTTTCTTTCCTCGTCTCTTTCAATTGAGAACGTATCGGAATAAACAGCGCGATATAATATAAAATTGCTAATTATGCGCGGAAGGAAATTCGCTAAAGTTAAATTTGCTTTCTTCTTTTTCCGCGGAATGTTTCGGCACACTGTTTACTTTTTTAAATGCTAAGCAAGTATTTGCAACAAGTACTGTCTAAAATCGTTGTTGCAGCCCATATAAATGCA